CAGAGAAATGGGATTTTTGATTTTGGCCGCGCGAGAAATGAAACGAGCGCGCGGTCTTTGACTCTCGTTCCTCGTTTTTTCCTTAGTCGCACTGAAACGCTTGCTACGCAGGCTAGACCGAAGCAGGACATGCACTCTTCAGTGTTACCTGGAAACCCAAAATGCTCCATGACGACACACACTTGATGACGTAAGGGAGGACACCAAGCGATATCAGGAGATTGATAAATAAATAGAAATATGGGGAGTCCGAGTTTGCACCCGGCTAAGACCGCCCTCGCCAAGTGCTTCGCGAGGAACATTCTGAGATTTACAATCAAAACTACAGTGAATATTAAATAATAATGCTAACAAGACCATACATTAATTGAAGTTCTTCTACAACGAAATTGAAGAAATTGGTGGGCAAAATGCAAAACATCTGCTCTCAAAGCAGGCCCCTCTTTCTCTCTTTCCCCTTTCACGCTTTGGACCAAGCAGTCAACTTACCCCTAATCGCACTTTGGTTTATCTCACGAAAAGCTTGACGTCTAGCCCCCGCCTAAGGGCCTGTCTACATGAAGGTGGGGGACCCCACGTAGGCTAGATAAACCGCCCAGCAAGCCCTCGTGGGGTAAGAAATATCCCACGTGTTTAGTCTTCTTGCATAGATGCTGCGCACGTAAATCGACGGCCGTCGTGATTACCAAAGGCGTTTTTCAGCGATGCACGTCTACTGGAAGTGAGGCTTTTTCCTAATTAATAAGTCTTGATGCCACAAAATTTGTATTGCTAAGTGTTTTTTCTCTTACAGACACGATTTTCCCCTCAAAAGAGGCACAACTGCTGCCAAAGAATGCAACTAGTCCACCCAATAATAATAATAATAATAATAATAATGATAATAGTTTATTATTTTTATACTGCTATTTACACATACAGATCAGTTGCACTTTACATTACACTTCCGATTGACGAACGTCGCTCATCAAATGTTTTTGCTTAAGCTATCTAAATGTTCAGTTGAAGAAAGAACTAAAGAATGGAGGGAATTGATGTAACGTGAATCCGACGTTACCCCATCATGAAACGTTTACAAGTCATGGCAAAATGTGACCCCGCCGGCTGAGAGGTTCCGGCAGATCGGACAACCCGCCTAAGCGAGTCTCTCCAACTGTCGTACAAACATGGTCAAGTTGTACGGACAGGCGGATTGCCCTACTTTTGGTGCTTGGGCTGGTTACCTTCTCTACGGTTCCTCATCTCCATGTAAAAAGATTTTAGCTATAAAAATGGAGCAATGGAGTGGTTCAACTTTATCCTTGCTTTAAATTTTGTTTTCCCTTGTCTCAAACTTATTATCATGTCATTGTCGTACATTACCATACCCCAAAACAAGGAGAAATATAATTTAAACCAGGGATGATGAACCACAACATATATCAAATGCTCTCCTACCATCTCACAACTTCATTAGTGTACCTCATATATTTTTATCAGTTAGCTTTGCGGTTTAAGGTGACTCGACCTAGTTTTTTTGGGGGGGTACCATCCTACTTGGAAGCTCTGTGGTATCCCCACCTTTACTTTTATCGTAAGTCTAACACATAGAATGGATAACATATAGATCCGGGTTGCGTTCGGGTAGCGTCCGGGTAGTTAGTTAATCAATTGTGGCCCTGAAAAAATTTGAAGGGAAAAAAACTACGAATTTTTAAGAAAATGCTTTTTTTCGTGAGATTGACTCTTAAACGCTGAGAAACGTCAACAAATAGCGAAAACTATAATTTCTATATGTTTGCTTTGCTCGAAATCGCGCGCATTTACAAGGCCCTAAATTGTTTTGCTGACTTGCAAGGACCCATCTGTTATAACGATGCCCAAAATACAGAGATGAATCTCGTAGTTTATTAGATATAATCCGTGTAAAGTTTGCTTATCATTTTCGCATAAATTATGACCTAAATTTGGAAACCGCTGAATTTCTCGAATTGGGTCTTTGCGATTTTGGTGAAACTCTGTTCAGCGGAGGGCACTAATGCGCACTATGTGTAGCCGAGAGATTTTCACGAATAAATACCGGCAACAGCAGATTTTCGACTCAGACCTCAAAGGGGCGTGGCATTATAACCACGTGACATTTACTCCGATCGCCAAAAATTTTATGTTATATTGTAGATTGATCTATATGTTATCCATTCTATGTGTTAGACTTACGACAAAAGTAAAGGTGGGGATACCAGAGAGCTTCAAAGTAGGATGGTACACCCCCCCCCCACAAAAAAACAAAACTGGGTCGAGTCACCTTAATAAGGATCGAAACTATTTTACTTACAGCTTTGGACCTCAGTTCGCCAGTCCACTGACATCCTTCACTTGGGCAATGGACTAAAAGTGAGAGAATCTTTCGTTTTGTTGCTTCGTCTGGGAAAAGGTCCTAGACAATATAAAAATCGTATTTGAAAAAAAAAAAAAAACAGACTAAATCTAGTATTTTTCAGCAATTAAAAAGGGCTGCTCTTTCTTCAAAACGACCTCAGTAAATGCGACCATGGTCTTTAAATGGTTGATTATGAGAGCCCATTTTTGTAAACGAATCTAGTTGCAACCACTTCTATGGAATCACGTGCACGAGGAGAAAGGAGAGCTTTGCCCACATTTGCATTTGCTTAGAGAGGACTGATCAAGTGTCTCAGTACTCCACTAGATTACCGAGTTTTATTCCACGTCAAAGACGTTTAAGCTAACAAACCTGTTTACACTTACTCTTGTTCGTATCAGGGCAAGTCGATCAACCGGACAGGTTGACCGGAAACGATTGCTAAAAAAAGAGAGAAATAGATCTTCTTAGTCGAGCACTAATAAATTGATACAGTAGAATATTACAAAGAGTAACATAATGAGAGAGTTGAAAAGGCAATGAAGGACAGATACACTATAACCATTACTTTTGGACACTTTAAGGATATGCCTACATTTTAGAGCTCTTGGCATCAAATCCTCAAAATGCAGTTGCAAAAATCCAGTTGGTAGGACTATCTTGAAGTGTCAGGCTGCCTGCAAACGGACAAAACATTGTTGACCAACAACTCCCAATATTGTTGGATGTTACACGTTGCGTCCGTTTGTACACCCCGTTGCATGTTATTGGATGTTGTTGCGTGTTGTTGCGCAAAGTTTGAAACCGGTCAAACTTTTCAGCCAACAACTCCCAACATTTCTTTTGTTCCGTGATCGCCGAAGCGTAGCGCAACAATGTTGGATCCGTTTGCACAGCTCTTCCAACATTGCTGGGGCCACGCACGCTCATTATGCATGGTTTACAAAGACTTATGGGTTGTATCGATGCACCGTAGGTCCCAACATTGTTGGGAGTTGTTGCATCCATTTGCACACCACTGCCAACACGCACGCAACAACGCCCAACATTGTTGGGGCAACAATGTTGGGAGTTGTTGTGTCCGTTTGCACGCAGCCTCACTCCTTGGACCTTCAGATATAACAAACGCTTATGTTACCAATTGCTGGTTTGCACGTGACGTCACGGCGGCCATGTTGGTGGTCAAGAACAAAAGCATTTCTCTCCTCTGGGAACTAAACTCAATTTTCATGTAAATTCTTCGAGGAAATATTCTTTTGTTTTGACCCCCAACATGGCCGCCTTGTCACGTGGTTGCAAACCAAGAATTGAATCACGAGGATGCCTATGCTGTATTTTTTTTTGTTTTCATTTATAACTCGTGCCTTGGTCTTACTCAGATTTAGCTTCACAATCTATAAATTTAGCTAGGGCTAAAAGCGAAGCTCTCTTTAATGTTTATAGTTTCCTCAAAGAAAATATAAAATCGAGTAGTACTAAAGACGAGGTGAAGACAACGAGAACGGTAAAAAACAACAACAATAGATCTAATTAGCAAAAAAAACAACTTTGTACGTGCAGCACACTTTTTTTTTCTAATTAGCGAAAAAACAACTTTGCACGTGCAGCACACTTTTTTGTACATTTCCTTGCCGTTGTTTTGTACGACGTGAAACCTCCTTTAACTTCCAAGTTACACGCTTTATGGAGGAAATGTTTGTGTTCCTGTTCACTCTGTTTTTCACTGCCGCTCATTTTCACCTTGGTAGCCGCTAGCATTCCCATTTTCTCACCGCCGCTATATAATTTTCATGTTTTTTCCCCCAGCGAAATTGGTCTCCGTTGATTTATTCCTAGCTGTCGCTCTTTCCCTGTTATACAAGTTAATGTAGACGTTAAAATTTAGTGAAAAGAAAGACTCGTTTTTTTGTTATTGTTGCTGTTTTTTCTCTCTAAAAGTCCGGGCGGCCATGTCATTTACCGCCGAAACGAACGGGGTGCTTGAAATGCAAAATTTCACCTCAGCTGTAACATGCTCTTCCCCCGACGGGCTGACTTCCTACTTCCCTCCCCCTCCCCCTCCCCCGGAGTCTGTACGGTCAGCGTTCGGTCGTACCCTGACGTCATAACCAAATTTTCTCGTGTGGATAGATTACCAAATTTTCTCAGTTATGGGGCTCCGCTCACGCGCGCTTCGCGCAAGCGTTGAGCTCGGCTAAAATCTCCTCCCGTAGGCTTAAATATTTTCTACCCCCTCACAGGAGGCACTAGTAAAAAACACAAGGCCCAATGGGTATACCACACGTAAAGTCATCTGCCTACTTAGTCATCAAGGTACTTTAGAAAGTGGGACCATAACGGTGCCCTGAGGCACACCTCCTTTGATAAATAAGAATAGGGCTATAAAATTGTCGATACATACCCTTTGTTGACGATATTTTTTAACAAAAAAATCAATAACTTAATGTACGATATGGGGTATAATATCAGCACTTTCGTAGGCTATGTTAACACTGTATGTGACAGTGCAAACACGAAAAGCTACACTGTATAGTATGAACAGCTGAACGGCAAAGAACTGGAACAATTCGTTCACACAAATCGAATATCGTGCAGGGGCGGTTGGTCTAGAGGAACTAAATCCCAGTCGTCAGTCCTGAATATTTACTTCCGTCTCAGTGGATTGCCGATTCCAGTTCTCTTACCTACTTTTTCACTTCAGTTACGGTCCGAATATCTGTTTACACTGCACCAAAATGTGGCATACGTGACGCTCCACTTTCAGGACCGTCGCGGCGCAGTTTCGCGTCATCTTTTCTGTTGTATTTTGAGCTTATAATATTTGTTGTTCAGACACCTTGATTAAAAAAAAACAGCTTTATTCAAGCTTACAGTTTCAGGAAACGATGTATTTTTTGCCACGTGCGAAATCACTCTACTGAGTGAGGTTGAATAGTAATAGTCAATACTTGCTTCTCCGAACAGATGTTTCATAGAAAACAGTCGTTGGGTGCCCCTGACACTCGATTGCTGGGGGAGGGGTGGAAAATTCGTTTGCCGACACGGTTCTCGCACTTACTCTATCCCTACTCTTAAAATAGTCCGGTGACATTAAATGTGCGAGATATGGATGGAAAGAACCTATCGAGAAATGCAGTAAGCGCCCCAGGCTCAATACCATCAATCAAGTGTGATAGGTTGGTTAGCTATTTGTCGAATGACTAGATCCAAAACAGAGGCGTTACTTCAGTATCACTCTGAAATACTTACTACATCTTGATGCTTTCTTTTGATCTCGTCAATCAAAATCCTCATTAGATAGAAATAAAACATTTAACGATGTCCTATTGAACGGTACTTTAGAAAGGTTCTCAATTTGGCTTAAATTGTGTTAAAGTCAGTGTGCACACAAAACAAAGGAACATGGTGCACCCTTTTTTTAAATTCAAAAGTAAAACGCACAATGCTTGTTTTACATAATTTCTACTTATTTTTCAGTCTTTACCACTGGTAAATGGTAAAGCCTGAGACAGGCACGAACATAGTCTTAATATAAGAAAACTGAAACACTGTATAAACCGCCAAAGCGTTAACACGCCGGAAAGATACGCATCAGTTATTCGACTTCCTGTTTATATTTGTGCCTTAGAAACAGCGACAGCAAAACAATGATGAAATATAAGCTAATGTGAAGCAAAAAAAGTTTCATGGTCGATAACGAAAATTTAAAACTTTGGTATCACTCCGGCAAAGTAAAACACGATATTCGGAAACTTAATTATACTAAATCGTGTTTTATTTATCAAAATATCCAAGACAACCTTTTCATTTAAACCAATCTGACAACAATGCGAAAGGGTGCAAACTATTCTTGCAAGAAACTGGTAGCCTTTCCAAGTTCGGTTTGCCGTGTTCGTGTCTTTTCATGTTGACTGGCTGCTGCGCAACTATGTTTTCATTTTACATATATTTTTTCAGTACTAGAACTAGAAGCAATTTCTTCCATCTTGTCATTTGTGCTTACCTACTACGAAGTAAATGTAACATTTGCTTAGACTTCCATAGCGTTCATTTATTTCTCTGAAGGAATCACTTTTGACATTCACTACCATTTCAACACAAAATGTTAACACCCATGACTGATAAAGCTCGGTTTAATCAAGCCGCAAAGAACATGAGCTGTCAGTCAACTCTTTCTTCCCCCCACAACCGACGGCACTACACTTCAGTTGAACATGTCTTTCTTAGATCTTTCTTAGAACAGCTTATATTGCAAACTGCCCCTCCAAATTATAGCACCATTCAAGCCATCAGCTCCTTTTTGGGAACGCCAAGCAAGGATATAAATCCCATCATTATGTTTCTCATACGTATCAGAAGAGTGCAATCCATTACTATTCGCGTAAAAGGACGGTTGGGCACAAATAAATCACAACATAAACTACCTGCGGCAAAACGGAATACCTGTTTAAGTGCCCATCGAGACACACCCTGCAAAATCTGTGACCACATCGTGTTAGAATTGGGTCGTTCAGGGGTAATTTGCAGATTCCACATATCAAATCGTCTTCCACTGAGTTGACAAACTTATCATCATATCCACCAAGGGATAAATTTGCTCGAGCTTCCGCCATATTTAATTACGCCCTAACCAGACAAAGTATGCAAGATTCACAAGCAGACCGAATTAATCTGATACACTCGATTGCTTAGGGATCGGAGGGGCGGAATAATTCGTTTGTCGATACAGTTCTCGCAATTTAAATACGGTATAAAGAGCTCATGTCCCCTGTTTCTACTACGATGGATCACTCTATCTCTCCTCTAAAAATAGACCATTAACTAAAAGTTAGAATACAAATTTATATGGATGGAACAAACCCACCTAGAAAAGCAATAATCCCCTCAAGGCTCAATACAGGGCGCCCTTCAATAACAGCTGTCAAAAAAAGTGCATGTCATAAGCATTATGATAGGCTGAATGAATACATCCAAAACAGAGGCGTGGTACTCCATTCTCACATAATAGAAGACTGGAATGTAACTCACTTTTTTCACTTGATCTTCCTTGAAATCGTTTAAATGCGTCATTCATTGTCACCTTTGGGGTCATCATGGAGCAGCAAAAATTTAAAGTTATATATTTTCACCTCCTTTATGCCCTATTTCAGCAGTAAAGGTCTGGTCATATGCAACAAAACTGTATCCAGCTTCCTTGTATCAATTTGTTTGTCAACTTATGCTGTTCTTTCACTTGTAATTTATTCCTTTTTAAAACTGAAACGGATCTCTCCTTTTGTGAGAAATTTATTTTACAGTTTAAACCTTAGCAGCAGTAAAGGGTCTTTAATAGAATGCAGAAACTAGCATCAGCTCAACATTTTTTCTTTTTTTGTGTGCTGATTTTTCGCAAACAGAAATCATGTTAACAATAATAATAAACCTATTATCGGCATAGTGGCTTCGCTTTACTTTTTCGGCACCCAGAAAAATAGGCAAATGAAACTTTAACGATAAACTGTGGCTACAACAAAAAAAGGTTTTTTTCCTTCCACATCTGATTATGTTCATGCCGCACTGGAAGTGACTAATTAACCACAGGCCACTCGTTACTCCTCAAAATGCGTTTTCTGCTAGTTTTCTAAGAGACCACAATCTTTCTCTCGGCAGTCGCTCTTCTTTTCAATAAATAGCGTTTAGAAATCACAGAAAAAATGAAAAATACATATCCAACTCTCATTTGAGTCCCTTTAAGGTGACTTTCTAAAACCAAATGAGTTATAGTCACTGGTTAGTCCGAGCTGTTTGACCGCTGAACCCTAATAACTTCATTTAAATTCCTGCTGTTGGCCCTATACGTTTCTATTGTTTAAGTATCAATATAGTTAACCTTTATTATAAATAAGTCCTTAATTTTCGAAACCATTCTGCTTTATAAAGCATAAATATTACAAGAAGAAATTGGATCTGAGTCTTCGGGGTTAAAGCGTTGTTAAGCTTTGGCTTACTTTGGACCATGAATAATTCAACAGCTACTTGGTCAGGTAACCGCTAAACCACCACTGTGTCGTTGAGTAATCCCCTGCTGTGCAACGAAATTTTACATTAACACCACTGTATAAGCCAAAGTTGTCTTCACTGGCAACAGCACTGCTGACATTAGGCTTAAACTCACAGCCCGTGAAAGTACTGTCCGTGTGAAGAAACTCACGGTCCTGACCCTGAAAAAACGGTAATGTGGTGCCTTTGCCAGCCGTACTTCCGCGAATATCCACGTATTCAACCGGGAAACACACACCTTTTCCTGAAAATGCCATGATGTCCAAATCACTGAACTTTCCCCTGATGTAATCTCTGTAATCAATCGCCTTAACCTGGTTGAAGCTGCATGTAGCTCGCCAGTGAGTGGAGCGACTGCGGATGTTTTTCATCCGAGCCAGAGTCTGGCGGTATGAGTACCAATTTGGGGTATTCTCGTTGACTGGAGCATCTTGCACAAATGACTTGCTTCGAAACTGAGGCAAGGTTCTTTAGTGAGCGGGTCCAGGAAATAACTAATGTCCAAGCTGCACCTGGTTCAGATGCGAGATCACAGTAGGCCAAATATCTCTGTCCTTGATCATCAAAGAGCAAATAAAAACCGTTCTCCAACACGCCATGCTTCAAAAAGTCTACGCAGGATCGGGCAATGAAGCCATTCTCACCCAGATGGATTTTTACAGACTACAACACAAAAAAAGCCCAGATCTTCGTTACGTCAAATGCAGTCATAAAAAATATGTTTCATTCTACAGTAGACGACTATAATTTTATATGTAAGCAGCGCGTATGATGATGACGCTGACATGATAATGATGATGATGATAATGTGAACTGCGGATGAAGATACTAGAGTGGAAGTCATCCTCGCAGTAAATGAACAAACCAAGCGGTTCAAATGTACCCTAGTGGGAATCGAATCCCGACCTTTGCGATGAATGGGGGCAACGCTCTATCCAGCAGAGCTAATAGAGCCAACAGAGAAGTGCAAAGTCGCGGAATAGTCGTAATATCCCGACGGAGGAAATGAAATGACTCAAGAAAAAGAAAGATATGATGTGAAGAGCGGGATAATTCAGGCTCCGATTCTTGGTAAGCTTGCGGAAGTTTTTTCAGGTTCTTTTTCAGCCACTAAAGTTGTTCATGCCAAGTGTAATTGTAAGGACAGCACCACTTTTATATCCGCCCCTGTTCATTCACCGTTCGACTTACCTCTGAGACGGCGTTTAAACAACCGAAAATTGAGAAGCTCCACGCCTAAATTAAATCAACTGGAAAGCCCGGCTTCCGCCATAAATATGCATTTATAAAAAGTTTTTTGTTTATCCTTTTGACTGTAAAACTATCGTTTAACTACCGTAACAATTTTCTTAACTTTTCCTACACAAAAAAAGCAATGCAAACTCGAAAATACGACAATCAACCATCACTAACTTTAGCGACTTTTGGCTCCATTTTTAGTGAATTTTCGACCGATATAAACATGCCCAAACTTTCTTAACTCCTGTCGTGTTCTCTACTCTTTGGGTCTTCGGGCTAGTGGGACTCAACTGTATTTGTTTCAGAATATTCCACCGGTTAGGTCATCCATCGAAGACAGTAACAGCTACGACCAACAGGGCCGCTTTACTTTGCGGAATAGTCGAACAAAGAAAGTCAAGTCTAAGATAAGAAAAGGTTTGCTTTGCATAAAAACTTCAAAGAAGTCTAACAGACACTCAACGTGCCACTGATCACCCGAGGATTAATATGTCAAGAGATCGATCACTGAAGCGGAAAAGTAAATAGGAAAATTTACTTTAATATTACCTGCGTGACAACTTTCACGGTCACTAATTTGATGTCACGTGACAAGAAGAATGAAAGTTAAGTCAGTTCAAGTCAAAACCACTCAAAACGTTATTGAAAGAAGATTCTGCCTATTCAGTAGCACTGAACTAGATGTAACTGAAACTTGAAAAGGATAGGTAGCTTATTTATATGTATTTATGTTAAAATTTGATAACCTCAATATCAATGGCTGTTTCCATGTGAAGTGGACAATTTGCTAATGACAATGAACCTTTTTACTAGACTATCATTGATAGATGTACAATCTGTACAAGCCCAGCTTTAGATTTTACTTGAAAGAGTAAACTGACGACATTTTCATCTGGCCCCCATAGGAAATAAAACAGAAGCTTGCCTTTGTTTTACTTTCTAACTTTGTTGTTGAAAGAGGCTCATGGAATCAAGGAAGCGAAATTACTTAATAAATGTGAAAGTATAAACAAGTGAAACAAGCCTACCTTTCCCTGGGAAAGGATACCAGTATAAAAGGAAAACAGAATTATAATGGCGAACTTCATCTTGTACAAGTTAACATAGTCGAGGTTGGATTTATGAGCGCTTACTAATTGATTCTGTCAAATTTATGTTTATCCGTTGTAATTAGGTGGCGGGAAGGTATCAATTTACGCACGTGCCCACTGGCATAACTTCTAAGCCATTTGAAGTCATATGATTTTGTCTGTTGTTAGCCAAGATCGCGATAGTCTCCGCAATACGCTTCTGACTAAACCAATAAACATATATTTCCAGACAGTTGCCTTTTCCCAAGTCGATTAGTGCATGTTCTTCGAGTCTCCGGAACAAGACGGCGCTAATTAATATTGGAAGGATGTTGTGAAGATAAACAAGTCACGTACAGGGCCCGCTTCCTCGAAAGATGGTTAAGTTTAACCCAGGATTAAGCCAAATCTTAAGCAAGGTTTTCTTGTCCAAGAACATGTCACTCCAGCTTACAAAATCAGTACTGTTGTGTCTTTACTTCGAGATTCAGTGATGATAGCACAGAATGTTACTCTAAGCAACGCATAGGAATTAAGGTAAATACAAAAATGGAGCAAAATTTTTGATCCTGGATTAGCGCTGATCGGCCTTTCAGGAACCGGGGCCAGTAATTTAAGTTATACTTCAGCAACCCTCAACTCAAAATTTGAGGACTAAGTAAGTTTAGTGTCTTATTGCTGCGTAACGTGGCGATTTATAGTTTGAACGGATAAAAGAGACCTTTTTAGAAAACATTACCTCTGATATGCAAATCTCTCTCGTAAAAGCGGGCCACCTGTCGAAAATAGGGACTTTTAGCATCGACAAAGGTAACGGCATCGAAAACGTGACTTGGCGTTTTTCCAACTTTGTCGTGTTTATTCCAGTTTGCTGAAAATTTCTAATGTAGGGAAATTTCCCTGGAGTTGATTTCTTCGGGACCGCACTCAAGTTTAGAAAGAGAAAGAAAAGTTCGTCGTCGCTTGTTTACGTCCTCCATAAAACGTGAAACTAGGCATTTTCACCTCATAGTCGTGCAGTAACGGCAAAGAAATGTACAAAAAAGCGTGATGCACGTGCAAAGTTGTGGTTTTGCCAATCGGAACCTATCGCTTTTTTGAAGTTCTTGTTGCCGTCGCCGTCGTCGTTGCTAAAACTCCCTAATGTAACTATTTCCTCGGTGCGCGCCTCGATTTCGGTCCAATAAACGCGGTAGGGTCTGCCGGATTATGCCGGCAAAATTTTGAGCATAATACTGTATCTGGAGCATCAGGCATAATGCTGGCATAATACTAATATTTTTGGAGCATAATGCCTCTGTTTCTGAAAACTGTGAGAGGTGTATGCAAATTTTGCCAGCAGCTCGCTCTTAGCGACACTCTAGAATGTACAAAGTTGATAAAAGTAGGAATATTTTAACTTGATACGTTAGACTCGTACCCAGTGCATTTTGCTATAATCCAAGTTCACTGGAGAAAGACATATAGTAAGCCTTTCAATGCCTCATAATTTCCGACCATTCGCTTGCTCATCAAATGTTTAACTGAATAATTTTTGTCTAACAATGCTTTCAAAAATGAAAGACTAGGAATGTTTATTAATAGATACAGGCCTATGGGGGGCGGGTGGAGTGGAAGTGTCATTTTAGTCCGGCATAATTTGAGCATAATACCTCCAGTCAAGCATAATTTTGAGCATAATACCCCAGTTTCACGGGTGACGCCCGAAAGCATAATACTCTATTTTCGAGCATAATCCGGCAGACCCTAAAACACAGTGACAGTTTGGGAAGGGATCCGCCCCCCCGCTTCCCTTTATCAGGCAATGACATCAAGTCGTGTTTGAGAGATGCATCAAAGGCACTATTTGTCAGGGACCGCGGAGGGGAAGGGCTGGTAGGGCCGCGGCCCCACCACTTTTTTGCGCCCCCGACCCCACTTTTTGTGCTAAAAAGAAAAATAATTAAAAGAAAAAAAAGACTTGAAACAAGTTTTTTTCCTTCTATATTCCGCTATATTCTCCGTATTTTCTTTAATTTCAAAAGCCAGGCATTTTGTGGTTTTCCTGCGACTTGCCCCTTGATCAAACGCCATGCCTTAGCCACCCCTTCGCTTCGTTCGGCAGCGTGTTTTGTACTTCCAGCTCCGGCAGAGTTTTTTATCAGTTTTATCAGACGAAATGAAGAAAATTACTAGCTTTTTCAAGCCAAACGAAGGTGAGTAGTTGTTTTGAGTTGATAAAAGTTTTATATTTTGTCTTTCTCCTTTCGAAGCAATGAAATATTCGATGGCAAGAAGAATTACATTACTTCAACAGTGAACGGCCATAGTCAGAAATTTTTCAGATCACTTCAGTGTAGTATTTTCTATACTAAAATTCTAATCGCGTCTTTTCTTGCATTGAATCTGAACTGACAGTGTATGTTGGTCGTTTATTAGAAAAAATTATTTTCAATTGTCAGCCCTCCCACTTTTCACCTTGCTCCGCGGTCCCTGTTTGTTGGAACAAAACAAAGGACAAAATGAAGTATTTGCTATGCTAAACTGTGCCACACTCAGGGGACTTCGGCATTGACAAAGACGAGTCGAGGAGTAATAATGACACTACCCCTTCATTGTTTCAGCAGGCCATGTTTAAGGATGACCGTGGTGAATAGAAATGCATGGAAATGAATAGCAAAAGTAGTATCAATAGATGTTACGATATTTAAGCAAGACCATATTTGATTATGTACTTGCGTTGCAGATCCGCCAAAAAAGACACTTTTTTACGGTGTGATAGCGCCTCTCCTGGAATATCCAAAATGAAAGTCGGTTTGATTTTTCTGTTGTTTCTGACCTCGACAAACCAACAAAAAATGGTAAGGTATAGCTCTTCACGTATTTTTATCCCAAATGCTTACTATCAACATCGAGCTCCTTACAACTTTTCATCTTTATACACCTACCTTCAAAATGGCGTCAAATTTGGCTATTCTTTTACTTTTCTGAAAATTGACCATCAGTGCCTCGTTTCATGGTAAAACTTCTCTTGAATTTTGCAACTGCCATCGAAGCAAAGAGGACTAATGAACACTTTTAAGGAAAGTACATAAACAATGCATCAATTTTGGAGGTAATACACTAACAATTTTTCTAACTCTTCATTTGTTACAGTCTCCCGAAGCAAAGCATTTGGAAATGAAAGGCTTTATAGCTAGATCATGTCTTGACTATCTGGAACATGGGATGTTGGAGAGCGACTTCTACTGCCTTTTTGACTACAAAGACCGACGATATGTGGCTTACTGTGACCTCTCATCTGAGCCAGGTTCAGCCTGGACGCTAGTCATGTCCTGGAACAGAAGGATTTGCCCCAGTTTCAAAGGAAGTCATTTTTAGACGACGTCCCTATCAACCATAACACCCCAAACTGGTACTCCTACCGCCAAACACTGGAACGAATAAAAAACATTCGTCGCCGCTCCTCTCACTGGCGTGCAACCTGCAGCTTCAACAGCAAGGAAGTCATTGATTACAGAGATTACATGAGGGGAAAGTTCAGCGACTTCGACATCATGACATTTCTTGGAGATGGAAAATGTCAACCTGTGGAATATGTAAATATCCGTGGGCATGCTGCTGGAAGTGGTACAACAGCACAGTTTTGGCAAATGTTGAACTCCTACATTTTGCATATCAACAGCGAGTCCACAGGCTGTGGTTTCAAGCCTAATATTGGAGCCATTCCAAGTGAAGACAACTTTGGCTTCTATGGCAGTCCCAATAGCAACTTTTGGTGCACCGCAAGTGATGATTCAACAACCCAGTGGTGGTTTGGTGGATATTTGGCTAAAGCTTGAGTAAAAATAACTCTTCCCAGCCAGCATACAACGTTCCTTGGAAGTTGAATGCAGTGATAATAATTTGAATCTCAGAATCTAAAATTAATTGGTTACAATCTGTAACTATTTGTTTTTAGGCTTAAATTAGGTAAAATTGTGAGAATTAAAAATAGCTTTCCCCTTAAATTTTAAAGAAGTGTTTTGATATATTCATAAGGTAATGTAAGGTTCCGCGGCAAACTGGTTAGTTGTGTTTTCCCTTGAGTCCTGATGTTTCGCTTGACTTGAAATTGGGAAAACAAAACTTCATCCCACATATGGGAATCCAAGACATTCCTTGATTCCGGATTTTACCCCTCGTATTCTGGATTCCAGGTACTGGATTCTGGATTCTTTGTCAGTGGAACTTGGATTCTGGATTACAATTGTTAGTGGGATCCAGATTCCTTGATCCGTATTCCAGATTCCAAAGCCCAGGATTCTGGACTCCACAAGAAACATTTCCCACATTCTGGATTTCAAAAAAAAAATTTTTCCGGATTCTGAATCCAGATTCCAAGGGTTCCCAATAGGGTTCTTCAATCCCGTAATCCCGATCCAAAGTTTCGTTCAATCACGTAATCCCGATGGCTATTTCTTGCATCTCACCTCCCGCTCATACTTTCAATCCCAAAACTCACCCTACTTGTGCCGTAAAATCCCGAATCCCCAGTTTCAAATAAAGGGAAATCTCGGATCCCGAAAATACTATAGGTTTTCTTTGATCCCGTTACATGAGTCTTAAAATGACAGGGGAATGCTGGCAACTTAACTCAACATTCACACCGCTCCTGAATAAATTATTTTCAAAGTACTTTCCATAAATTTTCTCAATCTTTTCCCTCTACCAGTTGTTGTATCTCTTTATGCGAAAAAAAAATTGTATTTTAGCTCTACGTTAGTGAATTTCTTACCGCTATTAACTCCAAAATTTGCTTCTTCTGTGTGCACGTGCAAGTGACACAAATAGCTCAGGTACGTAGTCTGCATTTTATACCGGTAGTTTGGCCCTGGGAAAGTAACAAACTTTAAGTTTAAATTTATCTCGAAGATAGAGAAAAAAATTAGCAGAACACTTGGCTGATATACCTCGAATTCCCCTCCGTGGTACTGCGAACCTCTGCACTCAGCTGATGACACTCAGCTCACCTTTTCGCCACGTGAAAGAGCCCGCGATCTGGTCAGCGGATACTCTATTAAGCGATTCCTTTTCTGTGTAATTCTTTCAAAACTATCATGGCGTCCAGAGCATCGTCGCGTCGATTTCTTTTTCACGTTCCTTTTTAAGGGGTTAAACTCTATATGCAGCCTTCTGAGGAGGATCAAGGCCAATCTGTAGTCTTAGCAAGTCATTCAGGCTTGGGATTTGTTGCAGTTCACGTAGGTAAAGTCTCCGTCAAGTTACAACAGAATTTTCTGCAGCTTTCTGCGGTCAAACAACACAATCCTATTCGCTCGATTAATCCGAGTTCAATATTTGACTTAAGCACTCGTTCAATTGATATTTATTTATAAGGCGTTGTCATTAAAATGATGTTAGTCATGGGGTTATATCTTTTGCCCACTCACACCCATTTAGTCTATGAACAGTCCCGATTTTTTACTGACGGGAGGGGAGGAGAGGGCATCTGTACACAGCCTAATCCCATTAGGTCCATATTCTCTTGATCAGTTAGCAAGAAACAAGTTTTCACTTGATACTTCTCTTAAAAGGTGCTGGATTTCATTCTGCTGTGCATGAGGCTGAATATAAAGAAGCCTGCAAAGCTGCTTGTACAAAGGTATAATAAACTCAGGCACCTCACATGCTGACCCATCACACACACTGATTTATTCATAACTTGACATTATTACAGTCAAACTGGGAAAACCGTGAACACCAGTAATATTTCTGGAATTTTATTGTGTTGCAAAAAAAAGCCAATCAGGCATGACAAAACTGAACCGCGAGCAAGAATGCTAATAATTGGGTATTTAGGTATTTTTAGGTATTTTTATTTATTTGCCACACAATTACACTACTTAAAGATGCCAAAAGAAAAAAAAAAATGTAGGAAGAGATGGCGAGGAGGCCTAAAAGAAACTATAGAGCTTATGTTAATTAGGCCTCCTCAATTACAATTTTTCGAAGATGGCATAAAAATTACGGCGACGGGTACAGTATAATATCAGGTGAAAAATTAAACTAATCAATATTACGGAAGTTTACATGTACAAATGTTGAATATTAAAAGGCTTTTTCCCAAGATTTTTGTTGAAGTATACTAATAATTATTACAAATAAATGCCTTAAGTGCTCTTTTAAAGGAGAAAGGTGAGGAAGCGTTGATGATGTTGGTGTTTAAGGTGTTGTAAAATTTAGGTCCTTGATAAAAACGGAAAATTGCTTGGTTCGAGTACGACAGAAAGGCAGACGAAATTTACACGAGTTTCTTGTATTATACTTAATGAATTTGACTTTGTAAGGTAAATTTACAATGAAATTTTAAAGGTAGAGTATGGTTTTGATAGGAGTACATGAATAAGCCTAGTTGTATTAAGTATATATCATGAAATTTTAAGATACCAAGATTTTGAAAGATTGGATCAGTATGTGCATCGAAAGTGGTTTTAGCTATAGTTCTGATCACTGCTTCTGTAAAATCTCAAGACGAATAAGGTTAGTTCTGTAGGTAGAGGCCCAAACTAAGTTGCAGTAAAAAGGTATGGATAGACTAGAGAAAAATATAGTGTTCGTAAGGTTTTCGTGGATAAATAGAAACTGGATTTACGAATAATTCCTGTGCATTTAGAAACTTTATTGGCGACATGTGAGATTTCAGATTTCCAATTTAAATTTTCGTCCATGATTACTCCCAGGAAAACTGTTTCTTTTACTTGATCAATTTTTTGACTATTAATTAAAAGTTGAATAGTTTGATTTGTACGCTTTTGGGATGGTTTAAATGCAATGAATTTGGTTTTTTTCAAGTTTAATGAAAGCCTGTTAGCTCTAAACCATATTGACAACTTATTTAGTTCAGCGTTCAGTATATTAGTAAGGCAGTCTTTATCCTTGTGAGACACAAATACGGCAGTCTTTATAAGGCAGTCTTTATCCTTGTGAGACACAAATACGTTTGTAATTGGTTTGTGGTTTTGTTGCTAGATCTTTGCTGTGATTGGTCATAACACAATAAACATTCCTTAGATATTCAAGTGTTCATGGTTTTCCCTGTCGCACTGTAATAATAGAGAAATGCAAGGGCATGTGGATGTTAATCTTTTTTGAAACTCGCAGACCACATCATGGCAGGACTATTTATTAATTGTCTCTCTAACCCTTAATTATCTGTGGAAATAATTCTATGGTGTTACCATTAAACCCCTGAATTGTACTTTGTTCTTGGGATTTTTTACAAAAAGAATTTGAATTTTTTTATAGGTTTTTCTTTGGCCACCATCAAGGTTAAAATGCCTTAATTTTTAGTTATTTTCATATTGCATAGTTATATAACATTCTTAGAGAAAAAAATATGCATGTCTTGCATAAAAACCTGAAATGTATCAACCCTCCTTTCATTTCAAAGTTGATTAAATTTAAGACATGCCTGCTAATCTCTGTAAGTTAAATTTTTAACCATCTATTTCTTTTCCATCCTAGGCTATTAAGGCGATAAAAAGAGGCTTATCAGCAAAAGAAGCTGTTGTAATCGCAATATCTACTTTAGAGGTACAAAATAACTTTTATTTTTAATTTATTCATGAATATATGTGGAGTGGGGTAGGGTGGGATTATAAAGTAGAACTTTATTTTCTTACTAACCTGATATGGTATATGGTAAACTTTGAGTTAGTGCCTTGCCTGAAATCTTGGGGTGTGACCATTCAAAAGAAACTTCCTTGGCAGTACATACGTTTTTAATTTTTTAAAAAAATTACAATAAAAGGTTTGGTAATGTTATTGAAGTTTGACTTTGAACCTTTGGTGATGAAAGAATATAACCTATTAATTAACTCAGTGATTTGCAAGGAGCATGGTCCCATGAGCATGTTGTGGTTCAATGTTATCCTTGATTTAAATTTTTGTTTCCTTAAATTACTTTTGGGTATGGTAATGTATGATAATAACATGATAATGAGTTTGAAACAAAAGAAAATAAAATTTAAACCAAGGATAAAATTGAACCGCAACAAGTACATACAAGCTTGTGTATTCTTATTCTTCAGGACTTCCCTTGTACAAATGCAGGAACAGGTTCCAATTTGACCAGATCAGGTACAGTGGAGTGTGATGCATGTATTATGGATGGTGATTCCTCAGCATTTGGAGCTGTTGGTGCTTTAAAAGGTTATTTCTATTGGAAATTTATATTGTTAAAACATAAATTAAAAATAAATAAATACACCTTATTTAAAGAGGGTAGCACGGAATAGTTACGGAAACTAGTAAACTTGTGGCCCTCTATTTAAATCAAAATATTACAAAAAAGGAAGATTCCAAATAAGTACGAAAGTCTAAGTACAAAATAAATAAAACTAAGGAAATATAGAAGTTCTACAGCAATATGAATGAGTATAAGAGCTAATGATATGGCTAGTGAAATATATGCAAGAATATGATTAAACTATGAAATGGTGTAATTCCTGCTGCTCTTTAAATAAGATATTTCGTTAATTATTCGTAAAGGATTCTAGTGATACTGCTTTTCTAAGTTCTAGACTTAAGCTGTTCCAGAGTTGGCAAGTAGAAACTGCAAACGTCGTACCGCATTTGGCCACCCACTTAAATTTTGGGCAAATAAAATTTACGTTACTATATCTAGTTATACTACTATGTTGCTGACTGTTGAGCCTTAAGGAGTCTTCAATATACATGGGGAACTTCACCCTTGATGCATTTGTATGCCACACAACATTTAGATCTGTTTTATCTTGTTAAAAGTTAAGTTTCGGAAGGGAATTAAACCTTAGCTTCCCAAAGTAATTGACACTCACAATAACATCTTAGATACATACCGATGAAATCACGTTAAATAGATTTTTCTGATTTACAAAGTGTATATTCTGATATACATGTAATAAAAGTTTTTTGAAAATTTTTATTGTAGGAATAAAGAATCCCATACAAGTGGCCAGTAGGCTGTTGACTGAAGAGTTAAAAGGCCCTTTTTCGAATGGTCTCATTCCTCCAATGTATGTGTTGAAAATTTAAAAAAAATTATTTTTGTTTCTGTTTAATACTTAGATGGCTGGTAATTTTACCCCTTCCAGTGGAATATTTCCATGGGTGTTTCTGCACCCCTTGAAAATTTAAGGAAAGGAGTACATGCATGCTGTACTTCCCGTAGAATATCTCTGTCAACATTGTAATCCCTAACATTATTCATGACAGTTATTACTATCATCATGTTTAAGCTTTCTTGCTGGAGAAGGGGCATTTAATTGGGCTCTGGAACATGGATTTAACGAGTGCCAAGATAAAGATTTAATCACAGGTGAATCTCGCGGTGTACATATTGCAGTGTTTTTTTGTTAATTTATAACAACAGGAAAGTTATGGTGGATTAATTTGATTTAACAATACTTTTTGTAAGACAGGAGTTTGCGAACATGGTGCAAGTGCAAAGCAAGGATACAGTCCACACAAAATGCTGATGTGTGCCATAAACCTTGCCAGCTAGAAAACTTGTGCAACTTTCCATATGTGAGTACAAATGTGCAAAACATGTACTGGGTACAAATTAAAGGAATGGTTCAGAGTGTTTTTCTTTTAAAGAAACTGTGAATAAACCAATTTTCATCAGCTCATGCTTTTTGATTTTTAAGAGAGCTACTGATAAATTTGAGTAAACAATATTATTACAGTGTGTTTGTTTACCTCTAGGAATCTAATAGTATGGATACTGTTGGCGCTGTGTGCATGGACCGGAACGGCCAACTCTACGCTGGAGCATCAAGTGGCGGGGTAGTGTACAAGGTGCCAGGTCGCATTGGACAGGTCAGTCTTTCTTGGAGAGCTCTTTCTACAAAAAATTGTCCAAGTGTACCTGTATACAGTCATTGTCAGAAAAGGAAGTCTGTAATGTTGTCCCAAAATAGAAGGTCTTGTCCGGTTTTTTCATTCTTCATCTTGGATCCCAGTACCAGGTTTCTAAACCATTTTATAGTGGCAGTGATCTTTGCAAATGGCAAATGTCAGTGCCAAATGACATTTCTTAGTCTGGCATTTTTTTTTTTTTACTATAGGTCTTCTTCAGGGGGTTCAAAAGTTCGTGTCTGAAGATGTCAATTTTGTTGGTATAGATTTTGACCCATTTTCAGGGCTCAAAAAAACCTTAAAATTCCAGTTTGTCGTTTGGGCAAGCAGCTCTCACATTTTTGTTTTCCTGGGGCCACTACTTACCTGGACCGTCACCCATTGGGGAAGTGAACTTCAAAAGTTAGTTGCTCAGCAAGAAAATCTTCTTGTCCCAGACTACCAAATCAGACGTTTTTTAAACTCTTTTTCATTAACTTCATGCAGGCGGCCATTTTCGGCAGTGGATGCTGGGCAACTAGCCATGATGTTAATGAAGTAGGAGTTGCATGTTGTACATCAGGTTTGTATGTTACTTTATATTTCGCTCCAAGGGCTCTTTCCTACTCTTCACTACAGAGCGATACCCTAGTAACAAGGTTGAATTTGCTACTAGAGCACTCATTTTGTATTTGTTTTACTAGGCTGTGGGGAACATTTGATCAAGACTCTGCTTGCTAAAGAATGTGCAATCTTAGCTTTAAATAGGTGAGTTAAGACAGTACCAGGTATGTTGACCTGATGGTCCATTGCCTAGAATGTGAATGGGAGGAATTAATTCCTTATTTTTCCCATACAGGGACTTTCCACTGAAAGTTGGGTTATGTTTTTTTGGCCCCTCCATCCTGAATGAACTATGCAGTGTTGGGCTAATCTGTGATCGGGCGGTCCTTTGCTGACTTTTGTACTATCTCCAAGAAAAGGATGCCTGATCACAGGTTAATGTTGGGTGGGCTTTCCTGGAACAAGACCTTATTCTTCAGAAAAAAAAAGTATAGCACATATTTTGTCTGTTTTGGACGAGAGGTTGAGGTGACATAGAAAACGTACAAAACCTGTCACAAACGTGACTATTGTCACTCTAATTAGAAAGTCTCTAAAAGTTTTTTTTTTTTGGTTTTCACCAGAGATGCTGTCAGTGCGGTTCAAGAGGGGCTTGGTAGCAAGTTTTTAGGTATGTTTTGGCAGTTAAACTAACACTTGAAGACTTCTTCTGAACAAGCCTAAGCCTGTTGCAGTAGCCTTAGCCTGTTGTTCAGATAATCGGTACATTGCAAAGAGAAGTGAGCTTTTGTTTTCCCTCCATTTCTCGGCACTTCCCACTGCCTGGAACAGGCTAAACCACAATGTTAAGTAACAAGAACGAATACTATTTGGAATCACAAAATCTTAGTTTTTTATATAGTTTCTTTAAATAAAGGAATTTTTCTTTCAACACAAGCGTTCTCCATTTCTTTTCCCGTACATTCCCTGAACTCATAGTCAATGCAGATTGCTGTTTTTGTCCTCTATTTAGGTTCAAGTCTCCTTTCATCCGTGACGAAAAAGTTAGGAGGAGTGTTGTTGCTACGAGTAGAGGGAGGGGAGGGTAATGAAGGTAAGTGACAGTCCTCCTACGCTAGCGTTATCGCACAAATTTCGCACTAAACTCGTAGAAGCTTGACTCTGGAACGACGCAAGATTGCTAAAGAAAGTTCTGTGACAAAAGATAGTTATTCATTGACCTGTCTCAGTGTAGGCGTCGATTCATTTGCAAAGTAGCCTATCCCAAAAGAATCTTACCTAGCCTGCGACCAGGATGTCGAGGTGAGAAGATGATGGAAAAGAGCGATAGTTCATATCCTTGAGGAGCTTTTTCTTTCCATGCGTTCTCTTCTGTGCGTTTAATTTCTGCCATATTTGTTCGGCAACTCTACAGATGCCGTTCTAGATCAATGATATAGTGTCACGCTTACTTGTTGTTGGCAACGTTTTCATTTGAAAGGTCAAAGTAATGTGACGCTTGCTACATACTTTCACAAATATGATTGGCTACAAAAGCTCTCGCTTCCTTTTTTCAACCAATCATGACGTGGGTGTTCTCATTTTTCCCGCGCTTGGCAGCGGCTACGCGTTTTAGTGCGAATTCTGATTGGTTTATTTCGTCCTGATTTTGTCATTGGCCAGAGTTTATTGGCTAAACTAACCGGTTTGACAACCCATTTGTATCTCTACAGACTGCACTGTTGATCTCGTCTGGGGTCATACAACAGACAGCATGTGTATTGGCTATATGGCGGAACAGGACAAAAAACCAAAAGTACGCAAAGTACTTTATTTATATGTTGGTAGAGTTGCTATGGTTTTTATAGCTTGCTCGTTCCCCGTGCCCGTTTCTCGGAAGTCCCGGTAACTTTTCGCCCCTCAGATCAAATATTCAAATCAAAATCTTATGAATTAGAAGCGCGGGTCTCTGCTAATCTATTGAAATTTCTATTTTGAATGTAAACAACAACAGCTTGTAGTGCCGGCGTCTTAAGTATCGGGACTTTCGAGAAACGGGTCGCTAGGAAGAGCTTTCTAGCATGTTATGTCGTTCTTTAAAATCTTCCAGTCTATTAAAGACGAAGTCTAGTGCTACATGACTATTGAAAAAAAAACCATTTTCGTTTGGTACTGTTTGTTTTGGACAATATTACAAATTTAGCAATAAAAGATACTACTCTCTCACTTGAGATTTTTAAATGGCTTGATTATTACCATTTCATCCGTTATTAATCCCTCGTAAAATATAGTTGCATTTAACTTCGTGTTTGTTTGTTTTTGTTTTTCAAGGTGCGACTGTCCCGTTTGCAGCCAAGTCAGGTGGTTCCTTTATCAGTGGAAGGCACAGTTTACAGACTGTCCAATAGCTAGCATAGAGTTAGCATAAATAGAATAACCACCATGAAACATGAGAGATCGGTGTTTGTACCAGTGGGGACATTTCCAGGTAGGAAGCCTGTGCCGCTGAATTCCGTCAGTACATTCAATGTGTAGGAAGCCTGTGCTACTGAGTTTTATCTTTACTTTCACAGTGTAGGAATCACGTGTTGCTAGGGCGGTGCCTTTAGAGACAGTGGAACTTTTGGAGGGAGTTAATCAGTTAAGCAAAAACAATGTACGCACAGAATTTGAAATTAATGCGGTGGTTGGAAAATATGGAAATAACCAAAGTTTTAAATAAAAGTGTTTTTGTACACTTTCTTCTCCCGGTGAACTATTCAGTTCCGGTTCGAACGTCGCATTTCGCAAGTGCCCAATTTAATGCGAATACGGAAAATCTTTTGTTCTTGCTTATTTGCATTAGATTTGGTGCATGTGAAATGTAACGTTTAAACAGGGCCTTACAAGTCTATATTGACGTGTTTTATTCTCGTGAAACTTTAAGGATGTCGATTGAGGGGATATAAACCGGCTATAGGGAGTTTTAGCAACGACGATGGCGACTGCAACGAAAATCTCAAAATAGCAACAGGTTTATTGAGGAAAACAACACGTTTGCACGTGCATCACGCTTTTTGTACATTTATTTGCCGTCAATGCACGACTACGACGTAGAAATGCCTAATTTCATTTTGTTATGGAGGACATAAACAAGCGACGGTGAAATTTTCTTTCTCTTTTTAACTTGAGCGCGGTCTCCAAGAAATCATAAACGCGACAAAGTTTGAGAAAAAATGCCAGTTTTGTTTTATAAAAGTGACGTTTTCGCTGCTGTCGCCGTTGTCGATGCTAAAAATAGGGAGCTTTAGCATCGACGACGGCAACGGCAGCGAAAACGTCAGTTTTAAAATGAATTCCCGTTTTTTCAATCTTTGTCGCGTTTATTCCAATTTGCTGAAAATGGCAAGTGTAGGCGAATTTCCCTGGAGTTGATTTCTTGAGGACGGCACTCAAGTTTATAGAGAGAAAAAGAGATTCGTCGTCGCTTGTTTACGTTCTCCATAAAACTTGCAATTAGGCATTTTCACGTCGTAGTCGTGCAAGGACGGTAAAGAAATGTACAAAAAAGCGTGATGCACGTGCAAACTTGTTTTGCGTAATAAAGCTATTGCTTTTTTGACGTCACTTGTTGCCGTCGCCGTCGTCGTTGCTAAAGCTCCCTAATCTCTAATAGGGAGCTTAAAGGAACCTTACGTTTTTTCTGTTTTGTACATTAGACTACATTTCTTTGCCGTCGTTGCGCGACTACTACGTGAAACTGCCTAATTTCGCGTTTTGTGGAAAACGTAAACACAAGACAACGACCCTCTATTTCTTTTCCTCATTATTGATGGAGTCCTTTAGAATTCAACTCCCGAAAAATTATCCAAGATTTGACGAAATGAACGAGATGAAATATGCACGATAAAGTTTGGGGCAACGCAAACGCAGTTTTGAAGTGACGTTTTCGTAGCGGTCGACGAGGGATACTCCCTATCTTGGGAGTCTACACCTGAAAGGGGAACTTTTGCCTGTTTCAGATATGATGAAGGGGAACCGAGAGATCTCACTTGTTCTAGCATAGAAATGTTAAGAAGGTTAGTATTTTTAGGGGTGGTGGCGTTTTTAAAATTTTTAAAGTGTGTGAGTAGTATAGGACCCAACGATTGGTCCGCGTTTTGGAATTCTCATTAAGATCATTCATAATTTACAAACGGTGTACTGAAGTCATAACCCATCGTCCTTCTTGTGAATTGAATTTTGCCTGAGAATCTAATAAACCATGCGTAATGTTTTTGCAGTATGTAGAGGGAAGACGAACGAGGAATGAATTTAATAAAGCTTAAGTCTTACAACAAAATCACTCACAAGAGGCAGATAAACTTATGTTCACGTATTTATTGTAAAAATTTCTTGTTTAACATTATGTACAACAAAATCAGTGCAACACTTAGCTACGATCATGTACTTGGAAATTACACAATTTTAAAACAATCAGATAATGATCTATTTCGAGAAAGGTTGTCGGAAAAAGTGCACGCGACAATCCTGAAAGGCATTGTCGGTGGTTTTAAGTTCACTGTTCTTTAAAGAAATTTAAAAGGATTGGTACGAAAGGCCGTGGAAATGTGTTTGCGAGTGCTAAAAGAAAGCAACAAAAGTAGGTTCGAAAGATACAGTCGTCCGAAACGGTGTATTGATTATATCCCATATTAACTTTCGGGATTGTCGCGTGCACATTTTTCCGACAACCTTTCTCGAAATAGCTGTATACACGGTTATGTTGAGCTCTTTAATAAAACTTTGCGGGAATCCTAATCACGTACCCAGATCTCTTGACAGACGAGACTTTGTCGACGAGATCTGGGAACGAGACCATTAACTATGAAACAGTTATATCGAAAGAAAATTATATTTACTCCCAGTTCGACGAATTTAACTTTCGTGGTTATATTTGGGTTGGTGACCGAGTCTCAAATCCCTGGTACGAATCGATCACTTCCATGTAAGAACGAAATAAATATAGCTACAGAGGGCGGTACTGTACACCGCCCTTTCAAATTGTTCACATTGCACTGGATTGCACTGTTTTCAAATACATTTTTCCGCTTGTTATTACTTATTATACTAATTGTATTAATCTTTTCTGTGCTTAATAACAACATCAATTACTCCATTACTTTCCTATGATTATTGCTATGTTGATTATATATAGATGAAACAATTTCTAAACTAGCATTTAATTAAAAAACCCGTGTACTGATAATAGTTCAAGGCAAGTATATCAGTATTTTATGCAGAAAAAGAAGATAATAGTTTTGAAATTTTGTTGCAGACTGAGACGAGCTCACCCTAACAGTTAAGAAATGTAACTTCAAATGACATCGTCTAAACATAAGAAACAGTTTTTTTTCCTGGCCTTTACTGAGTTATCTTTTTATCAGAAGACAGTCATAAAAAATAACTACATGGGATATGTTAAAAGAATCTATGACTGCCCAACTTTTTAAAAAGACATAATAACAACATAGTCCTATATAATGCTCAAAGACAACTCAGATTATCAGCTTCAATGTACTCTAATACTGTTTAAAATATGAAGTATCTTCTTGAGCTGAAAATGCCAGTGTAAATCGACTGGTTGGAATAACTTTAGAGACCTGTGCCATTTGGTTTTGAGGTCTTCTTTTCGCATCAGTCTTCCTGGAAAACCTGGAAGACAGAGAGTAAAACCAAATTTTCAAGATACTGAAACTCATGTGAGACGGATAAGCTGTACAAAGACTACAAACATATAGAGCTATGAGGATCGTCTCGAATTTCTGGACAATGCGTAACGTGAGTAAAACCTAAAACGTTTCTTTATCGCCAGAATGTATGAGCTCCTACTATATTTAGATCGCTCGATACTGGCTATTATCTCTGGAAAAAGCTTTGCCTAGTCCCTGTTTCGCGTCTTTCCAGGTCTTTCTGGTCAATGCATTTCGGTGATGAATCCGAGACAAACTCGCTGAGACACGTGACCCGAAACGCATCGGCCGCCCGCAATAGTAAGGCCTAGAGACCAAGCAAGAAAAATCTTATACCAACAGGTACCGACGTCGTTTTAAATCAACCTCTTTCCCTAGGCCTTATCCGTTAAAAAATGGAAGAGGTAAAGGCCCTGGAAACGAGGTTGGTTTTAAATAGGTGGATGGCTGTTGCATACCACCTCCCCCACGTTTGTTTATTTGTAGTTTTGACTGACTACTCATTTCATTCTTGGATTGACCTGCTGACATTTGCTCACTTTCGTATGGAAAGGACCTTAGCCATTGGCGGATCCAGGGGAGGGACCCGAGCCCCCTGCTCCCCCCCTTATTTTTAGACTAAACTGAGGCCCGAATGGTCGAAAAAAATTTTTTGAGCAGTGCTACCCCCCGCATCTCAGGGTCTGGATGATCGCAACCCCCCCGCCCCACACCCGTTGTCTGAAGGTCTTGATCTGCCACTGTTAACAGTCGCTCTAGGATCGTCACATAGTCGGAAATATCGTCTTACATGTTACTTGACTACCTATATCAGTTATAATTAAGCAGGAATATACCTGTAGCTTTTGCCAGCTTACCCACAGAGAATTGATAGGCTACAACTAGCTTATTCTCAATTTCACAGCTGAAAAATAAAACGTTCATCAAAATTGAACATAATGTATCATGATAGGTAGTAGTATAAGAGTGTAGAGACGTATATGTCCTTACACGGGTAGGGTGTTGAATTCCATCACAAAAAAAATTGATTTTTTACAGTGTTGTCCTCTCAGAGATTTTGGCGGGAGACATTTGCATTGCATTGTTAGATGTCATGTGACCTCGAAGTAACCAATGAGACCGCACGCTGTTGGGAACAAATTTGCAGCTATATACGATTTTTGTCAGTTCTCACCTGGCAAACGGGAGGTTGAAGCGTTTTCTCAATGCGAGATCATAGGCTAACAAACCTAATGGTTTGTTGATACAAACTCTCTTCAACCTCCCCTCAAACCTGTGAAAATTAAGATGGTAGTCAGTGAATGCCATCAACACAATATCAAAAACAAACTGTTATCATGAGTTTACTGATCTCTCGTGATTCATTTATTTACGTTCTTTTGCAGAGTATTGATATTTCTAAACTTAAACTAAAGAATCAAGCAGTTTTATCATCACAATTTTACTCCAGAAATGATGATTATGCATGCGAGGAACACACTTTCTTATAACATGAAGAAAACAACTTCGATGATTTTCCCACTTGTTACTGGAAAGAATGCCGATGATTTATAGGATGAATGGGAAAAGAAGGAGGGAACACAATTGGAAAAAGAAGGGACGAAAATTTTTATTTTTCACTCAGCTATTTTTAGACGCTCAGTTGCAAGCCATTCTGCTTACGCTTAAGCTCGATTACCATCCGCTGTACGGGAAACGAGCCCGCGCTCCTCCCCCTCTCTTCTCGGGGATGACTGATAGAGCAGCGGAGGTCGGGCCTAGCGTAAAATGGAATACCAAGCGCAAACCATACACTGTTTTTGCACGCAAAAATTAAAACTACGAAAGTAACACCAAATATTTTTAATGTTACCTCATCTGCAGCCTTTGGCAGAGCTTCTCAATCAGGCTGGCACACATTCTGCTACAGCCTGCCTCGTTATCAATATCTTCGATAACGATTACAAAGGGGTCACAACCAACCTTTGTTTCAATTTCTTTGGGAATAGTTCTGTAGGGTGATAATTAAGAAAAAGTCAGCGTTAAAAGACCTCCTTAGTAACCTATTTAGCGTGTTTTATTTAAGACAGCGCGATGCATCTTTCAATTTTAATTTCGTTCTACAAAACGTTCAATTCTGGAGAATTGTCAAATTTTGAAGTTAGATAGAATATCCCATTGCTTTGATGCGCATTCTAAGCTACGGAACTCCCGTTTTCCTTCTATTTTTTGCGTACTGATCCGGTATAATACAGAAGGTGGGGGCGGGGGCGGTTACCCGGATATAACTTTCTAGTTCCCAGCTGAGGCTCATTCTGTCATCCCTTCTGTGAACTTTTTGATAAAGACCGTAAATATATGATGGTCATGAACTCGAACCAACCTCGTACCAAATTTTCTGCCTGTCGCTGCCCTATGGGAAAACAAGAAGACCCTGGGGACGAGGTTGGGTGAATCTCCTCAGTACCCCGGGGGGGGGGGGGAGGGTACTGCCACATATAGGCTGTATAGGTATGTGCCGCTGTGAAGTGTATGGTTTTCAAGCAGTTTACTCTGTGACCGGGTCAGGGATACAAATCAGAATCAGGATCCCAGCGGCATATCCCCACCCAAAAATTCCTAAAGTAACCTCCCCCTCCCGGGCTCTGTACCTACCTTAGAAAGTACTCGAAGGCCGTGGAGTTCCCCCAAGGAAGGGAATGAATGGGTCTATTATCATTAGTTCTGATCTCTAATAAGGGCCTTGGAGTGAGTGATAATATGTGGAATCCATATTCATGAAATCCTTTATAGTTTAGACAAGATTTCACAGATGAGAACAACTGTTCTTTAGCATACAACTCCACCCACTCGTAATGATCTTTTCTCGTCATAAAAGACAGAACAGAAAAGTCCTCATAATGGATGTTTGAGGCTGGGGCTATTTTCTGTGGTGCACTCTGCTCGAAAGGAGAACTGCATTCTAACGTGGATTGAATCACAGTCTCCTCGAGCGGGTCAACATACCACGTAGTTGTTCTCTTGTTCACCTGGCAAAAATCATATTAAAATAGTATAAAGTAAACTCTTTTTTGACAAAAATCTTTGAAGCGAGATTCATTCAAATTTGCGTGTAAGTAAAACATGTTTTATTCTATGAATAAAAAATGTCATTTTTGATTTAAACTGTTCTAAAATTTCAATAAATTTAAAAGCGCTGATTTATGCACAGGTGGCCCAGACGTAGTATGTGTCAAATGAATGTATTAATATTCACATGGACAAAATAGGATAAGTCGTCGAAACTCCCATGAACCAAAATAGTCCAAAAGTCAAAATATAACAAAACAAAGCTAAGATACCTTTGAACGTATCCTTGTCTTTCCTGGCCGGTTAAAGTGGCATTTTGTTGAGTTTTGCATGCAATTGAAGGTGGATAGTACCTACAATTGCAAAACTCAACAAAGTGCCACTTTAACCGGCCAGGAAAGACAAGGATACGTTCAGTTAAAGGTATCTTAGCTTTGTTTTGTTATATTTTGACTTTTGGACTATTTTAGACTCATCCTTTTTTGACCATGTGAATATTAATATATTCATTTGACAAATTCTACGTCTGGGCCGCCTGTGATTTATGCGCGCGTTCAGTTACTGCGCGCAGCAGTCAAATCATGCTAATATCAGTATAAATTTAAAGAGGAAAGACGGCAGGCAGACAGACGGTTCTAACAATTGCTACATTTTAAAAATACATTGGAAATTGAAATTGAAACCATCTTTTGTCTTTATTTGTTTGTTTTTATCCCCAGTCGCCTTTTCTTCGAAGCACTCGTTGTTCAGTAACGGCTCAATCTTTCTACGTACGCGCGCGAGACGTGGAGAAAACGCGCTGTGATTGGTCATTTTATGGTCAAACTGGATTCACGTGGGGCCTACAAACAGTATCCTATGATTGGTCAAAATTATTCAAATTTTTTCCTTTTATGGTTACGTTCACTCCGGCCACGTGGTCTACAAATAACTCCCTACGATTGGTCAGAATTATTTCAAATTTGTGCCCTTATATGGCAAGGCTGACGCCATATGTTTTTAACGACCTTACCACGCACTCTCGAAAACCACAATGAAAGATGCATAAATTAGCATTTTTCTTCATTTATTACAAAACGTTCATCAACCACTAAGTTGTGCTTACCCTCTTCCTCTCAAATACTTGCGAAAATCTCAATTTGCTCTGATTACAACCCATTTCAGGCGCTATTTCTCTTCAATTCAAGTGACATAAGTCAAGTATACACAATGAAAGACAGTGCAAACTGACGCTTGCTCGCGTGTGGCGTGTCGTTATATACTATACCATGACGTCACATGGTGACGTACTGGATTTGTTCTTTAAGTTGATTGGTTAAACTGAAAGCGAGGCCAGGTTTAAAATTTCCGTTGCGTTTGCGCCTGCGTTTCCGTTGGAACGAGGACGTTAGCATGAATGAAAATCAGCACATGAATCAGCAAGAGCTGAACTTTTTCAGAAGCAAAAGCCGGTATGGATTGCAACAGATAGACATTCTCAGAGGGAACAAAACTTCTCTTTTATGCAACCAGACAAGTTTCCACAGCATATCCATCATAATCAGTTTAAACTCACCTGAAAATCACCGTTGAATTTTATCGCGCCGATTAAGATCAAATTCCGTACACTTGGTTTTAACAGAAACTCAAGAGTTTCTGGATATAGTAAGGAGCCGTTTTTTTTATTAAACAGATAAGATTTTGGAGGGATACAGATTTTGCCTCCTTTTAATCACATAGCCTTCACACAAAGAATGATGATTGCTTAAATCCCGCATCTGCTTTGAAAGAACTCGCAACTTTCGACAATCATTAAGAAGATGAACGTATAGCACGCAGCGGGAAAAAGCCAACCAAAAAATATAACAGGCTGACGAAATATGGCGCGGAGATTCAGTGTGCCCCGAAATACTGCCCGGAACCAGGAGAGAAGTCGAAAAATCCACCACTTAGGTATTAAGAAGACCCAAGGGAGGACGGTTGGCTTCGCTCTAGTTCCGCACGAAAGTAGTGCCTTTTAACGAGGCAGATTAGAATTTGCGCACCGGAAACTCACTACACTATATAATGTAAAAGATACTCAAGTTTACTCTGAGGAAAGCCGGATACTCCTCTTTTAAACACTAGCTTATCAATTACAATTTAGTTTGTGTCTGGCTTTATGCAAAAATCTTGAACAAGCTAGGTCTTGACATCAGTAGTTACTAGTCCCAGGCTACGTCATCAGCTCTCCATGGCGTTTGCATAAGGAGTGCCTCGACTAATGTTGATTGGATACTTCCCGTATCAGGATGCCGTATGGACGAACGTCGGCTGTACTACCTCCACGGGACAACCAGTAGTCCGCTCCTACTGTGGTTTGTGCAGCTGGGATGATTTGAAGATGGCCATTCTTCTGATCAGGATTAACTCGATTCTGTAATACAATCTTATAGGTTTTTCCCTGATAAGTGAACTCCTGTGCGTACAGCTTCTCAATCATTTCCAGGTTGGGGCTGGTGTAAATGCCCCTTCCAAATAACTCTCTCGACCCAGGTTTATAACCTTCTTTTAAAATAAGCTTTGCACTCTTCATATTTGTTCCGTGATAGGACACGGGCCATTCCCCCGGGGCTTCTTCTGTTCGTATCCCGTCGGGGCCGAGCCAGGTATTATCTCCATATTTGCCCACAACTTTGATCGCAATTCTCTTCCAACCATAAGGTCGCTTATACTGGAAGCCCCCTCTCATGTATCTCGTACCATCATCTCTGACATTACTGAAGTCATAATCAAAAGCAGGATGAAGTTCGTCTGTATTAAACGCGCACTGGGATCCTCCGCCGGTCGTACAAATCACCATGAAAATGGTTTCATCAGGTTGGATTCCATAGTCGTTAATAGTTCGATGATTTTCAAGCTGTTTAGCAGTGTATATTAGTTTGATCTCATCGGTGGATATACCTTCCGTTTCCTCAATTTTAGCTTTTACTTGCTCAATAGTATCGTCTCCTGTCACTTGAATAGTTATAGTATTGCCTGATAAACCCCGTACATAAACATTGAATTTCTTTCCAGCTTCAACTTTCTCCACGGTCTCTACTGGCTTCATGATGTACGTCTGGCTGAAAAGATCGTGTATGGAATACTTCCCTCCAGTCTTCTGCGGTACGACTTCTGTACCAAGTATAGCTGAAAACCCCGCGCTCAATAGATCTAAGTTAGACATTTCGCTGAAGAAAAGTGATCGAGGCAACCAGATTGCAGATATGAGCAAAATTTAAATTTATGGAGAAGTATTTCTATATATGGTGTGGAACACTGTCGCGTGAAGGCTTCCTGTTTTTCGTGGAAACTGTCTGGTGGCTCCGTTGTTATTAAAGGCTATTGAGCTATGACGAACTTTACGTCATACCTTTTTCGGTTTTAACACAATGGCTGCGAAACTTTGAGAAGATTTTGTAAAAAATGTTTATCACCAGTAAATTGATTATCTCATATTATTGCCGAATGATAGCTGTTGTTCTTCTCAAAGTTTCGAAGCCTTCGTGTGAAAACCGAAAAAGTTATGCCATAAAGTTTGTCATAGTTTAATGCGCCTCAGCTAATATAACAACGCAGCCACCTTTTAAGGTGGCAAAAGACTTTATCCATTCTCATCCCCATATGGACGTACATCGGCTGCGTATATTACGTATCCTCAGCGGGACAGCTAGTAATCCGCCCCTACTGTAGTTTGTGCCGCAGGGATGATTTGGAGGTGGCCAGGATTGACTCGATTTTGAAATACAATCTTGTAGGTTTTTCCTTGATAATTGAACTCTCGAGTGTACAGCCTTTCGATCATTTCCAGGTCGGGACTAGTGTAAATGCATCTACCAAATACCGCTTTTGATCCGGGTTTACACCCTCTTTTAAAATCAGCTGGGTACCCTTCATATTTGTTCCGTGATAGGACACAGGCCATTGCCCCGGGGCTTCTTCTGTTCGCATCCCGTCGCAGCCAAGCCAGGTATCATCTCCATATTTTGCCAGGACTTTGATGGCAATTCTCTTCCAACCATAATGTCGCTTGTACTGGAAACCACCTCTCATATATCGTCTACCATCGTCTTCAACACTATTGAAGTCGTAATCGAAAGCAGGATCAAGTTCGTCTGTGTTAAACGCGGGCTGGGGTGGTTTTCCGCCGCATATACGATGTAGTAAATTGATGGTTTCATCGAATTGGATTCCATAGTGATTTACAGTTCGGTGATTTTCAAGCATGTTAGGGGAGTAAATGACTTTGATGTCATCCTTGGCAGGGGCGGATCTAGGGGGAGGGTGCAGGGGGTGCGCCCCCCCCCCTTGAGATGACCTGCGGTTTTCTAATACAACTGGTATTCTGCAAAAAAATAAAAAAAACTATGTGGTTTATTGGTGTTGAAGTAGAGCAAGAGACGAGTGCACCCCCTCCTAAAAAAAATCCTGGATCCGCCCCTGTTTGGATTTAACCTTTAGATCTGTTTGCAGCAGATCGAAATAACTTTCCTCGATTTTAGCTTTCACTTCAACAATAGCATCCTCTCCTGTCACTTGGATAGTTGCAGCTTTGCCTGTTAAAGTTTTCGCATAAACCGTGAATTCCGTTCCAGCTTTTACTTTTTCCATTGTCTCTAATGGCTTCGTGACGTATGTTGGGCTCAAAAGATCGTGTAAGGAACATTTATCTCCACTCTCCACTCTATACATTAACTCTAATAGGTCTCTATTGCTATCGACCGCCTTGATCATAATAAAAAAGATCTTGGATGAAGTTTTTTAGTGTTATCAGCCGAGGCTGAATACTTACGTAAACTTTGATAATATCGTACTTGACAAAAGAATTTTAAAATAATATAGTCTAGAGCACCCGTTTAGGCGTCATTTTGCCTCGTGATGGTCAGCGAGAGGACTGGGTCATCAGACTTCCGGTAAAATTCTCGGAACAAAGCCGGAAGTACTTGATTACCATCGCCTTCCTTATACTCCATTTCTTAAGCTGTTTGTAAGGCTTCGTCCTTTGTAGCATTGATGGAAGGTTCAAGAGGAAGCGTTGCATCTAAAGGTGAACCAGTAAGTCATCATAAAACGAGAATACTCTAGTGCCGGATAGAGGGGATAGCTGATGAGATATTCCCATTCTTGAGGTCGTCAAATACTTTTTTATCAACTTTAGAATTCATTGTCGAATACAAATTTATTAAATGAGCCCTCCAATTCTTTGGGAAAGGAAAGGAAACGTTATGATATATGTAAATAACGGATAAATCAGATATCCTAGGTTTTACTTTGAAAGAGATTTATAGCCATTTTTTAGACCAAACATCAATCAATGATCATTATTAGCTCGCTCAGGGCTGAGTAATACTCGATCTGGTTTCGGTACATTTTACGCTGAAGTAAAAGCTCTATTCATGGCTAGACCTTAATCATGATAAAAGTTCAGGTAGCTTATGATACAACTGTGTCTATGGGTTTAACATTGAGGCACTGTCTGTCTATAAAGTTCTGCTATGCCACTCCTGGTCGTTATTCAGCTAGCTTGCACGAAAGCAAACAGTTATAGTAATTTTTTCACCCACCCTCCCTCCCTTTGGAGGAGTTGTGTTGTGTTTTGTGTCAATAAAAGTCTGGCAGGTCACTCCTTGTGGTGCGATTAAGTCTGCATTGTGACTGCCCCCAAGCTTTTGGAATTGCTTGTGTCTTGCCATCTTATTCCTTTGCCTTAATCTGGTCCCATCCAGCCCATACAGTGCTGGGTAGATAAGAAAGGCTCTGCCAATACTCATTGTCCAACCCCACGGTAGTGGGGTGATAAGTGAGGCTTGTGTCGTTATAACCTGCCACAGGGCTGTGTCCCCCCTTGTTACACCATCTTTTAGTTATAATAATCATCATAATAATAAGGACTTAAAGGGATAACACAATTACCGGAAATTCCAGTAGTTTTCATTGTGGTCCATTTGTTGTGTTTTTTTTTAGCCTCTGTGCATTATTTAGTTGCATGACTTTTGCATGCGTATCTTAATCAAAATAGAGACATTAAAAGGCCTTTTGTAGTTTTCAATGTTATTTCTTGCATAGGAAGATCCCACAGTAAACCAGCAACCAGTGAATGAAGGAGACACTACAGCAACTACTGGTAAATATAATATATGTCAAATAATTTATTGCCAATGAGCAGCCTCGTGTCTTTGCGAGATGGCAGCAGAAAGCTGTGCTTGAAAGCTCCAGGGCGGAATGAATCTCGAAGCGATGTAACATAAGGTAGTCTAAGGTAACTTTTATGATGTAATGCAGAACAGAGAATGCATTGTTTTCGAGCAAACGAGCAAGCACGCGCATACAGATAAAATCTTTGCTCATTAGCACTTAGTGATAGCTATAACTAGTATTATATAACGTTTCACTGTCACATTGTCAGTTTTACAATGGGAAGTCACTCCCTGGGGCTAAGAGAAGATATGAATTTCTCATTTTTCAACATCTTTTACCTTCCCTTCCACATTTTCTTTTAAATCCCTTGTTTCCTGTCTTATACCCCCACCTCAATCCCCATACCAGTCTTTAAAAACTGTTACAGTATCATTTGATCATGTATTCTATTTTTCTACAAAGGAACTTCATGGGGATGGAAAGATCTGGCTTTAGGTGCAGCAGTTGGCACTGCCGCTGTTGCAGCAACTCCAGTGGTCCTTAGTGCTGCTGGCTTTACCGCTGGGGGGATCGCTGTTGGTTCTGCTGCAGCATCTATGCAGTCAGTGCTTTATGGATCAATGGTGGCTTCTAGAAGTATATTCGCAGCATTACAGAGTGCAGGGGTGGCTGGAATTAGTGCAACTGCAAGTGGTATCATAGCTGGAACCACTGGAACTGCAGCTGTGTTTATTAAAAAAGCTGGGGAAAAGTGGTTCTGGAAAGGCAAGGATAAGGAATCATAATATGGAAAAGGTTGACGCGAAAATGAGAAATGGTTTACTTTCAAGAGAAATGAGATGGAATTGAAAAAAGCCTTTGTCATATTGTGCACTGTAATTTTTCACAATTCAGTAAGGTTACTGTATAGAAAAAAGGTTCAACCCATCAGAATTAATTAAAAAAGAAGACAAAAAGTTTGCACACAAAAAGTATTACAATTTCTTACACAGCACAAAAAAACATTGACCAGTGAAATTTCTCTTATTTATTTCCCAACTGGTTTACAAAACTTAGGTTATAAATAATTTAAACTACACAAAGTGTTCAACTAGTTCTACTTATTTTAGTCTGTCCTCAACAATAACACTGTACAAAAATAATTTTTTTGAACTATTAAATGGTAGCTTCATTTAAGACAACAGGAAGACTCAAAGAGTACTTTACATTTATTTCTCATCGTATACCTGTGGTGTAGTAGTTTTTCCTGTTTGGTTTGCATACCACAGGGTCCTTACCACCCACTATTAAAAGAACACTACAGCGTCTGATTGAAAAACACTCTAAAATGGAATCTATTTCAAGATGAACGTAACTTTATTTTGTTTGTTTGTTTTTTTTCTTTTTAACTTAATTTTTCCCCTATTGAATTAATTGCAGCTTACATGCTGTGCAACCAATGACAATGAAAGTATGCAAATAATGTGCGCCAATCTCTGTAACAGTTGTCTTCAACTGTTAAGAAAATCTTCATAGCCTGGGTCAAGGATTATAATATCATTGTACATGCCTCAAAGAAATACAGGAAAATATACATTCAGAAATATCTTGGGAGCAAAAATAAAACGATTCTTCCCATGAAACACAAATACAAACACACATACATTGAGTCCTTGATTAATTTTGTTTATAAAATAATTTATAATAATTATTATTATTTTCTGAGGAAAATTAATGATAATGTTATTTCAGCACAATGCTTATTAGGTGACACTTATGAAATACTTCACATGATAACTTTGCACTTTGTTCTAATATTCCAAACTCTTTGCCATCTTCCTCTCTGTCTGCTGCAAGCACAGCTTTGACATTTAAAGCAAGTAATAATAAATAATTAAATTTCAGTACTATGTCTTTCTAAATGACTTTAGGATGGGGTAGATGTTTTCAAAGGCTTCATAGATTTCTGAGCGGACTTTAGCACCTGAAATAGATAACCAGGGACCATAATAAATATGAAATTATTTAAAATGCACATTATGAGAGAATGTTCTATGACCAGCTGTCATTGTGACCAGTAATTGGCTGCATGACAGTTTCTGAAGAAATGATTGTTAATAGAGGATGTTTTGACTATAAAGGAAGGAAGGAGTCATGAATGAAAGGACAACGGAAGTGCCCTCTATTTTATATTAATAATGTGAACAGTAAGCTTGAACGTTGCAATACAAAGGAGCCACTGGCAGCTGCCCTGGTCCATATATGAGCTTACTGTACCCACTCAACCCTTGATGTGAATGATGTGATGAGTGAAGGTTGACCACACCGCCGGGGTCTACACCCGCTACACTTTTCGAACAGTGGTCTGGGTTCTTTTATGTCCCACAAGAACCAGGTAAGTGTAAGTGCTGTGAGACAGGACCTATGATTTTTCCTGTAAAGCTGAAAGACAAGTTAAACCTTACCAGTAAGAACCACTTTCCCAGAAACAAAAATCAGCAATACTATCCTAGGTTTGACCATTCTATAAATCAAACCAGGAAACAGCTCTGGTTCATAGCTGAAAGGAAAAAGAAACCAACCATTTAACAAAAATTAATACCAGTTTATGATCATTTGACTGTCAAACAACAACTACTGAATAGAAAAAGAAAACGAAATTATACACATTTATAAATATATAACAAATTGTACCAAATGTGCTGTTTATATTGTAGTTTATTATTGTCTAATAATAATATTTTAATCACAATAAAAGTTTATTGTAATAAATGTAAAAGTTTAAATTTACAACTGACAATAATTGTGTCACTTTAAACGAGACAGGAGCAAGAAAAGTTCAAAGTCATTTGTGAAGGTTTATGTTGGCTTTTCACAGCTGCTTGGGTCGTAGTCATGCAATTGGTAAAGATTTAGGAAGCCTAACCAATTCAAACACTTAATAACATAATTATTACCTTGAAAACTGCCCATGGGCTAACACGAGGCCTTCAAGACGAATTGGAAATCTGACGTCACAACTACCTACCATGTTCTGGATTTTGAATTCTGTAAACTTTGCCTGCAATAGACATAAGATAAGAGTCAGACTCTCTACAACATGGCCTTGTCGCCCTGAAAGGCTGTGCAAACCTACCCTTATCCTTTTACACACTTTTTCACCTAAAAATTGTGGTTTTTGCATTATAAAAAAAACAGTGTTGTATTTTCCTGAATTAATGAACTTACTGGAAAACCAAGCTTCTGTACAACCCTGGCATATTTTCTGGCTGCTAATCTGGACTGTTCTTCACTGCAAAATAAAAAAGATACATCAATGTCACAGGCCACAAACAATTACACAACAAATCCTAGGGACAAAAGGATTGTAGAAGGGGCCTGAGGATCACCATAAGATAATTTCTCCAATGTTTTCGAGTCAAATACTCCAGAATTACTGTGACGACAAACTAGCTGTTGCACAAAATGGACCTTGAACAACAAGAAAAAGACAACAAGCTCGTTTTGCAAGGAGCAAGAGAGCCATAATAAATAAACAGTTTGTGAGTCATTTTGCCCGAATAACACATCTCAATCAGTTAGTCCACATTTCACTGCATACTCTTTGCCAGAGACATTTTTTGTTAGTAGATTTTCACCATCATGCAGCACAAATCCTTTCACTATGTAACCACAAGTGTCCAAAGTCAAAACTTCATAACTTCAATTTGTATACTGCTAAAAAACACATAACACCATGTGAAAATACTGCTGAAGAGGTTTTATTTGAACGGCCACACAGCAGGATTTTGTCCATAAACTCAACAGTTTAAACCACCTTTAGATTTCCTCATTCACTCCGGAAGTGAAAAGGCTCAGTCTTAACAGCAAACAGAATTCAAGGAATAAACTTGAGAATTAAAATGTGAAAATTTCACTGGTTGAGATGTTTGTCTTTTATTATGTTTTCTGCTGAGACACCTTAACTCTGAAGGCCTTCATCCATCCTGTCAAGACCAAGATATGAGTAGTCACACATCAGTGTTTATTTTTACCTTATACATCCTGGATGTAAACCCTCAGTCACTTCCAACCTTTACATTTTTGTACAAAGGTTTTTATTATGTTTTATACCTCTTTGCTCCTGTGCAGACCATCTTCCCAGAACTAAATATCAGAGCAGTGGTCCTTGGTTCTCGTATTCTCATAATAACTGCAGCAAATCGCTGCGAAAATAAAAAGATGGAAAAAATTTCACAAAGAGCAATGACTGACAAAAGATATGAAGACAATAAAAGATAATAAGTGAAGTATGAAAGAGAGATAAGCTTATGCCATGTGAGTCACTTAGATTGTACCTCATGAACTAAATGGTAAAATGCTATAGAATCTCCATGAGAATCAATTCAGTCTTTGCTGAAATATATAAACAACACATACCTTAGGATTGTACTCTGCATTCCTAGCATGGAGAGCAATCTTTTTCAAGTCCAGTTTACATCCAAGATTTACAGTTGACACAATATTTCTACAGAAAAAATACACAGCCCTCTTAAAACGCTTTCATTGTAGTAAGCAAAATTATAAGGACCAGAAAGAAATATTGTTTGATACAAGGTGTAAGTTAAGTTAATTCCAGTGCAAAGTTAGAATCAATTAATATTGATTGTAAGAGCCCATTAATTTACAAGCTACAGATACTATTGTTTGTAAGTGACTAGTAAACAGTCCCAACACGACAAAGCTAGCTTCTTTTAATTCCTGATCAAGCTGAAATAATTTTTGAAGTAAAGGTTACTGCTGAGGGTGGAAAACTAGAGGACCAGAGGACCTGAAGAAAAACCTCAAGACCAAAGCCAAGAACCAACAATTGCAGTTATGAATTTCACGACAGAGAAATTAAATGACCTGAACCACAATCATAGTTGTGAGAGAAGGGTGCTGGTGTACTGACCCAGCCACAAAGGGGTGTATGGTGTGAGGCCCAAAGTGGGTCCTGATCTAATAGCAAATTCTCCCTTTGATTTACAAGCATACATGAGAAAGGTTGGAAGGAGAATTGAGCCATTCACCAGAAGCCCCTTCAACCAGCTGTGTTTTCATTTCTTGTTACTATTTGTACTGTTCTGTCTCATATAGACTTGAGATTTAACCAACCTTGTTCCCAGGGTTCTCTCCTACCCACCCTATAGAGCCCTCTCTCTTGCTCTGAAGGGCGGGTAGGAGAGAACCCTGGCAACGAGGTTGAGATTTAACCTGTGATCAGGCATTTTTTTTTGGGTGGGGGGGGGAAGGGAAAAAAAGAACACTTGATACGTTTACTTCACGAAAATCTGTCAAGCCTTGCGACAGTCATTTGCAACTGGAATCTTACTTCAGTGTTGTGCCTTTCTATGAGCAGACACGGAAAGAGTGTCAGTTCCAGGAATGCAACTGGTTTGAAATTTGAAAGTCATACCGTCAACAATCACTAAGAAGAACACCTCTGGGGGCAGCAGTATGTCTGTCTTAGAGAGGTGTGTGGCTTATTGAGAGTCAACTGTAAGGAGCAAAGAAAGGCAGGGACCAAATCTAGGTGTCCATTTTAGCAAGTTAGCCGTGTTATAGAGGTTTCTGTTGCTTAAAAGAGAGTTCACTGTACTTGTACTCAGTCTAGCATTTACACTTCAAATTTAAAGGTCACAATTCTCATTTATATGTACTCACTGTAGTTGTGGCACAATCCCAGCCTGTTCAGCTGTCATTGGTGTCATGGGTGTGAGGGGAGGCATAGGGCTGGGTGTCGGAGGATACAGCCCTCCTGGTAATGATGTCGTTGTCTGCAGGCCTGAAGGACTGGCAGACATGAGGCTGCCGTGGGCCTGCAAAACCAATTCACTATTATTTTTTTTCCAATACTTTTCAATTGTACAGCTAAACCTCTCCACAATGGCCATTTAGGGGGCAGAAGAAAGTGGCCATGCCAGAGAGGTGGCCATGATAGAAAGGTTTTAACAAGAGTCAATGTACATGTATCAACTGTCCACCAGAAAAGTGGTCGTTATAATAGAAAGGTGGCCATTAGCGTTAGTGTTTTGACTGTTTCTTATTCCTAGCAAATGGCCACTTTTGGATTATCACATTTGCATTATAACCATTGTATTCAATTTCCTCCGAGTATTACAGTTGTCCCAAGAGAATCAAAAAACAATCTTTACTCAACTTTGCTTAATTTGTAGGTGTTGAGGGCATTTTTTTTTAATAAGGACAAGGTTACAGGCAGTGCAAAAGTGGCAAAAAAGGTACATTCTTTTAATGTTACTACCAATCTGCAGTCTTCAACAATAGACAGAGAACAACTCGTCAGTAATTGGAAGAATTTAAATTCTCCTCTCTCCATGGAATACCAATGCAAAAGTTATTTTTGATGCAGGTAAAATAGAATTTGGTATACTCAAACAAATCTTTCACATTCGAATAAACAGTGCATTGAGACATGCTCCTGAAAAAAGCTTTCATTTTATTCTCTTGGATTCAAATTACGTGCCTTGCATAAACCTCAGAGAACTTATTCAAAACGTAAGTATATTGAGTCGCTTGATTAAAACATCAATGAAGATTCCATCCATGAGGCAAGAACCCCTTTCAGCTACAAAGAACGAGTAACTATGGCTGGTTCATTAAATTAGTCAAACGAAAAAAAAAACATTAAAAATCCTTCTCAACAGTCACCTTTTTACAGTCACAGAGTATTCTCGAACTAAAAACTACCGTACCAGTAAATGTATCGCGGAGCGAGAGGTTCGCCCTCTCATCAAACTTTTAAAGCGTGCACTGAACAAAACTAATCCTGGAAGACACAAACCTGCACCGCTGATGTTGGCCTGTATCTGTTATCTTCATTCTGGTCTAATCTTTCATCCATTACAGTACCCAAAAGATGCTTTCGACGAACACAAAATGCGGCGAAGATATCAACAACAGACGACTTGTTCCGGTGATCGAAGACTTTATGTCCTTTGCAACTACGACCCCTGTGCTTTGTGGGAGTAACGCCCAGTCCTTTCGCCGTTGCCCATTCCAGGTTTCTTTCGGCAGACGTTGCGTCATTTGCGGAAACTTGTGAAATGAATGCCTTTACTACAACGATTAATCTTTCATAAACAGCTGCCCCTACTAAACACGTTTCCTCTGCCCCCTCCCGTTTTAAGCCATGTTTTTAACAAGAAGGTACATTCTTTTAATGTTACTTCCAATCTGCAGGCTTCAACAATAGACGGAGAACAACTCTTTAAACCCTAGTAGTCAGCTGGTGTGGCCAGCCGAAATATTGTTATGAAAAATGATCAGCTTTGCAGCAGTCTTTGGACTTCTCTTCTTTTGGTTCTTAATATTTTAGTTAATAGTATCTCTTATCTAGAGATCCAACGTTGACAACCAGCAGGATCTTCGTCCACGGTTTTTGCAGTTAATTTCTTTATCACATTTCTAGGGCATACGCTCCCCCAGGTCAAATCCCACCAGCAGCGCCGATTCATAAAAAAATAATAAGGTAGAATCCACCGGGATTTTAATTTTCAGTGGACAAAAACCTTGTACCAGAATAATTTAAGGTACAGTGCCTTCTTTTTACCCTTTTCAAGGGCTAAAGATGTAATTAGTCATCTGTAATAACACCGAACAGAATCTCTCATGGGAGCCCGAGAAAATAAATGTCAAATTTCACAAAATGACATCTTACACATGAAATTTTCGGAAGTTTACCTGTGTTTTCACAATTCTTGTGAAATTGGACATGCATTTTCTCGGGCTCCCATGAGAAATAGCCTTTGGTCCTTGAAAAATGCAAAAAAGAATGCAATGTTCTTTAACTTATTTTGGTACAAGGTTTTTGTCCACGGAGAATTAAAATTACTCATTTTCCTGGTGGATTCCGTCATAATAACATTTCCAAATATGAATTTGCTCAAGTAAACCGCCCCACTTCACTGCAGCGTTTTCCATCATTCTCAGTGGGAAAATCCGCTCACCTTCTCGCGATCGCCTACGTAAAGTTGCGGCGTCTGCGCAAAAATATCAGTTTTATTTCGCAGGTTCTGGTCTAATGTAAAAGCAACCAAGCCATATAAAAAGTTTAACTAGTTTAATTGTAACATCGCTATTTACAAGATTTATCACCTATAGTGACTTAGCTGGATGTAATCCCTTTCAAGAAAGAAAATTTATTTGCATTGATGAACAAAATCGAAACGGAGAAAAGAAGAAGCGACAGCGTGCCCCTAAAAGGTCCCAACCTGTTCCCGAAAGGCCGATTAGCGCTAATCAAAGATTAAAATTTTGGTTCACTTTTTGTAATTTTAACCTTCCTATGCATTGCTTAGAGTAACATTTTGTGTTTTCATTTCTTTTTTGCGAAGTAAAGGCACAACAATATTTTGTAAGTTCGAGTCACGTGTTCTTAGACAAGAAAACCTTACTTAAAATTTGGCTTAATCCTGGGTTAAACTTGAACTCGGCCCAGGGAAACATTAGTCAGTCTGCAATAAAGCAGACTTCATGAATAACTTTCTGTTCAGGTCATCTCGACTCTCAAAAACACTCCAAGACTACAACAGCAGTAAAGTATCCCGCACCGAAAATTTTCTATTTGTATGCACGGTCTTCTATAATATTTTACAAACTAAACTAAGAACAGCTGTACCTTTTACATTATTCAACCTTTGTTCTGACACGAATGATGTGCTTATTGTGAACTGATTACGTAAGGATTCCAATAATTAAGACGAATTTCCACCTTCTCTCTCCTCCTTGAAATGATTTTAAATGTGCTGGAGTGCATCTCAAGAAAATCGCTCGAATTTGAAATTTATATTTAACAAAAGAAACGTTGAAAATTTTTCCTGGCTTTCCAATTAGCAAAGCACTTCCACGAATTCCTCGCTCATACATGTCAACATGAAGGCGTGGTCATACATGGGGCGGTATATCTCTTTTTGATGGTGTTGTAGTCACATCCGGGCTACAGGAGGGCTATCCCGCTTTGTTACTTCGCCCAAACGTCACCAGAATCATGTCCGCCGGCTCCGGGTTGAGCGCCCCTCGGTAGCGTCAAGACCCAAGTCGGAATATCGCGTCTCAAAGAAGGCAGACAGCCGCACCCCAGCTCGCGCCTCTTTGCCTCGTGGCCGACAGTATTCAGAACAGTTGATAAACACTTGCCGCACATCTGCGGCGAAATCTTCCACTGATTCATACGCCTTGTCAGCAAGGTTTTTCTTGATGGTTCCCAAATCAATGGGTCTTTGTACGAAATGAAGGTACTCAGGGTTCTGGAAAAGATAGAAGATGACGGTGGTATGGGAGTCGACATATTGATCACCTTCGGTCCTGTAGGTAAGGTAAACCGCTTAGGTGGGGTAACCCACCTGTCCATAATTATAATCTCTCATTTTAATTTGATCACGTTTACATGATAAGTGGGCAGACCATATGAGGGATTAGCCGACCTAAGCGGGTTACCTCAGCCACCTGGGGTCCCCCGCCACCATGTAAACAGACCCTTAAATACAGTAAACACCCGCAAAAAAGAAACCGTGGTTATTGGCAACATGTTGAAACAGAAGCAAAGAATTGAGCATAGTGGTTCTTTTATATATCAGTGACACTTGAGAAAGATGATTTTTTAAGTTAATGACACAGACAACTCGAAAGGATAAACTGAGTTCTCCCCACAAAAGTCGAACGTATGACCTTCTGGTTACTAGTGCAGATGCTCTATCACTGAGCTACAGGGGATTCATGGAAGCTAAACTAGGTTCATGTGAAGAAACATCCTGCATACTGCTTGGATTGGAACGTCCATATGTCCATATGTGACGCTGTAGGAATGATAGAAACCAGATGCTCTACCAGCGAGACTCGTGGGAAGTGATATGGTACTTATCAAACCAAATTTCAGTCTGGAAGTTCTTTAATTTGCTGTTTTTAATGTGGGTGTTTACTGTGTGTGTTTTTACAGCATACACACTAAAAGAGAACGAAAGAGGTTGTGCGAACTAAAAAAAAACTATGCAGCCAACCAAACAAGAACAATGACAGACAACTGCAGTGACATCACAAAGAAAACAACTGGACATTAGCTCTGATTCACAATGTAACATTAATTTACAATACAGGCTCAAAGGTACAAACTACCTTGATAGCGTAATAAAAAGACCAGGAAAGAATGGCAAGAGAGGGTGTCACAGAGGTGGACTTTTAGCTCGTTATTACCTCAGCAAGATCCACGGGTTCCAAAAAGGGCCAGCCATCTTCGTGAATCATAATCTCGTCCAAAAGTTTCTGACACAAAGCGAACTTGGCGTTCAGCTTTGGATCCCTCCTGCCAGAGGTCTTGTTACTTTGACTTCGCTGCACTGGGGACGATGAGCGAGAAGAATCGATAGAACGCCGACCACGCCCTCGTGCTGCGATCTTTATACTCCCCTTGCGAGTTGACTTGTTTTCAGGGGAAGGAGAACGAGACGAAAACGATCGAGATGACGAAGACAATCGTCGGCGTTTCGTCGGCTTTTTGTCGGTTTTGGCGCTGGCCTTTCGCGAGCGCGGTGGCGGCGACGGAGATGAAGACACTTCTCGTTTTTTGGACCGGCTAGTGTTTTTCTTTGTTTGTCTGCTACTTGGACGCGAAGTGCTACGAGACTGTTTCTTCTTGACAACTTTAATACTTCGCTGAAGTCTCTTCTGGGCAGCTGGAAAAAGGAAAAAAACACATCCATGATACCTCGACCTTCTCTTGGTCTTTAACTTTATCTGGACACTTAATACTCGACTCTACTAACAAAAATCAGCTACCACTATACCATTCCCTTACGGACGTGCTGGAGCCAGTTGCATAAAAGAGAGTTTTAGATCCGAGTTTACAACGAACCTCTAACCGCGGTTTGCGGTTACCAGTTTGCGGTTCGACGTTCAAACATAATTTGATTTAGATTGGCGGTGGATTAAAGAAGTGGATTCTGGTTTATTTTTCCATTTAGAAATAGAAGAATAATCAATCAGTGAAAATAAAAGAAATTTACGGCAACACTGGGTTATTTAGCAGCAGAGAGCTGTAAATTCTTACATTAGTTCTTCTTGCAATTTTACGGCCGCCATTTTAAATCAGCAGCCATGAATGGCACTTGTTTTCAAGATCCAATAGGATTTATCAAATTTAGCATTTCGCCCGAATTTTGTGCCTCTGTTAACGGATAAAGACTTGCTCCACAAGATTTTTGTATCATTACGTGGGATAGAACAAGAATTATACGCTAAAAGCTTTCAGGTAAATAACATACGTGAAAACCTATCTCCACACGTTGAAAACGCACGTCGTAAACCTCAAACGTGACGCGAAAGACTTGTCACGTGACCTCCAGCGGTTAGAGGTTCGCGGTAAACTCGGATCTAAAACTCTCTAAAACCTCACGTCGGACGTACTTGTTAAACGCCAGACATTACGATAACAAAAACGAAGTAAACTTCGAGAGAATGACCAGAAGACTATAGCTCACTTGCAAGTGAACAGGTACAGGTAAATTATAAGTAACCGTACCCGTCAATAGGGGTAGACCATCCCAGGCCCTCTTATCCCGGAGAAACGGCTAGGGTACTGGGTAGAACGATAACGCAGATATCATTTAATATGTGTAAATATCATTGACTGTCACTTCTTTTTTTAATAATTTTATGCTTTGAAATAGTTTTCTTTTTAGAAATTGAATGTAAAGCGCATTTGAAAACTATGCGTTGAATTTGCGCAATAAAAATGAACAAAATATTATTATTATTATGAATTATTATAATTATTATAATATCTGGGAAGTCATGGTCGCCTCTAATATAAGAACGAAGCAAACATGTTGGTCAAAACGTACCCGTGGGAAGAAATAATTTACCTCGAGGTCCGATGGTTATAAGGTCGGGGAGATAAGCTACGAGAGAGTGGCGTCAACTCTTTATTATTAGGGAGCTTAAGCAAAGACGTTTTTGAGCGACGGACGTCAACCGGAAGTGAGGACTTTTCCCTTGTAATATGCCTTGACGCTATGTAATTTGTATTGCTTAGTTTCTTTACTCTTATAGAGACGATTTGACTGAAAATTTGGGCAAAACCATCGCCCAAAAATGAAAAAGGGCAACTTCCGGTTGACGTGCGTCGCTCAAAAACGTCGTTGCTTAAGCTCCCTACTATCGGATGCAAGACTTCTCTCACCTTCTATCGTAGCTTTTTTAACACGACAGCTTCGCGGCCTCTCGTCATCCGCCCCAGTGCAGACTTGACAGGCCCAGTTCCCGCGCGGTATTCGCCTCAGTGGTGGGTAGACACAGTGGATATGATAAGCCAATGGACAGGTGTCACAGCAAAGCAGCTCACCTCCCTCGGAACATACCGCGCATTGGTCAGCATGTTCGGAACTCTCGCTTGCATCACCTGGTATAGAGAAAGAGAGTAAGCACAAAAAGTAGCTTGCGAATACAGTCGTCTCTCCTTGCTCTTCGCCGCTTGGGGCGTTTCTCTGGCGAAACGTCCCAAGCGGCCCGGAGCAAAAGAAACAAACGGCTGTATTCGCAGGCAACGCAAAAAGGTAAGTGGACCTAAAATCATTTTTGCGCACGAAGAGCGAAGATCGAATGGTTTCTCGCGACGAAATTTTGTCTCTTTTCGACGCCACTTTGGCTTCAGGGAATTCCTCTTAATAGCCGAAAACTGGTACCTATCTCGTGTATCACTCAATCACGTGCGTGATCCTTCCCTCTCAGACGCAATAATAACTACCACAGTACAACAACAACGCAAGAACGGTATGAAGTCAGAAACCAGGGGGCTATGGCGGCCCGTAATTTTAAAACGGATGAGGGATTGAGAAAGCAGGGTCCTTAACTATGCGAGTGTGAACCTCCAAAGGCGAATGAGGTTTTTCGTTTTTAGTTAAATCAGGCTGCAAATTGGAAGTCTCGGCCTTGTTTTCAGGCTATTAAAGAAAAGGATCTCGAGATTTAGGATTGCACTCTTCTCATTTTGAAACGAATCTTGACGCCAAGTATCTTTTCTGGTTTATGTGGGTTGCCAAGGAACGTAAACGCGCATAAATGAAAAGAGTCAAAATAAGCTTCTTACTCTGTTCCTCGTCGTCTTCGCTTTCAGATTCACTTTCTCCTTCTTCATCCTGGTCGCTGTCGTCTTCACTGTCTTCCTCTTTATCGCCTGATCGCTTTCCATATACCTCCTCCTGTTCTTCATCATCAGCCACAGGCCTTTTTCGTCTTTCACTGCGCCTCGTCTCCTTTGGACGGCAGTCGGAACAAAACCACTCACCCTCAGGGATCTGTTAACACAACAAAACCCTCAAATAAGTATTTCTTTCCCTCAGAGAAGTCGTCTGACCGTAAGGAAAAACTTTGCCAGCACACTGAGCAAGGGTTTATGTGGATGGATGTGTTACTGGGTGCAGGGGGAAACCGGACGAGTTGCTCCAAAGACCCAATATAATTGTCCCAGAATGCTTTTTTTCAATGAAACGTTCTAATTTATTACCTAATAAACTTTGAATGTACTGATGGCTTTGCGATCTCTCTCAAAAGAGAGGATGGGAATGGAGCGAATCAGGGAAGCGGGGAGCGAGAAGAGAAAGAGTATTTTTTTCCTCCGCTCTCCCTTTCCCCCCTCCCTTCTTTCGCCATAGCACCTACCCTAAGGGCTGCTATTTTTACTCACCCCAATCTTCCTGTCATACAATCAAACACGGCGGCTACAACAATACGAACATAAACAAGCTTTCGCCCACCCAAAATAATCCTGCACTGCAGGCTAAGACTATGAAAGAATACGTGCGTTCCTCACCTCCTTAATGGGCGGCTTAAGGCAGTACATATGGTGACCTCTATCACAGGCATCACACAACAGCATATGCTCAGCATCTCCCTTCCTCTTGCACAGCCTACAGCGAGCATTCAGCACTGATTTACTCCAAGCCACGGACTGGTCCAGTGTGTTGAGATGCACAAAGACCTGAGAGAGGTTGGTGCAGGCTAACAGACTCTCCTCCCATCTCTCAAGACATGTCTTTTGTTTGACGGGTTCATCATCTGAGGAGCTGCTACTATCATCGGTTTTATCCTCTTCCTTCGTCTCGTCACTTTGCTTGGCGTTTGCTCCATCATCGTTAACATCAGCTGTGTCAACTTCTTTCTTTTTCTTCTCTTTCTTCGGCTTTTCTGAGGCTTTCATCATCTCGTTGAACTCATTGACAGCAGCGGCGGCTGCCTCTTTCTGCTTCTGTCGTTTTGTCTCCTCATCTTCGCCAAGAGGTGGGTTCAGATATTTTCGCTCAATGCCTTGTTCCACCTGTTAAATCGAATATGATAAAACCAGTCTTCAAAAAAACATTCTGCTAAAAAGAAAACTGACACTAAAAGTATTTTTATCCGGGACCTACTATCCAACATTCAGATCTTCGAAATGCTAACGTCAGCTTTCGAATATCTCGCTTTTTTTTCCTTCGCAAGTGGGAAAACAGCGAGTTTTAAACTTCAAAATCTCAATACATTAAAGGTCAAATATCAAAAGCTGCGAGCAAACAGAAGTTTTATTCACATAGTCAGAAGGTAGGATTTCGTCCTCATGCAAGGCTGACACGAGTGGGAGAGTTAAGACCCTCCGAGTTCTAGATAGGATGCTCTAACCACTTAAGGACTGGTGGCTCTATGGCGAGGAAGGTCGAAAGTTAATTAAAATTACGTCAGCCATTTGACGTACTGGAAATCGGCTGTTTACATGCGTATATTAAAAAAAAACAAGATAAACGACCATCGGTGAAATTTTGAATACCTTTAGCAGCTCCAAAGCGAGCTCTTTAACTGCTGGGTTGATAGGTACAGAGCCTACAACCAAGCTGATCGTGGGTGTGCTGCATCGTGTACTGTCTCCCGCTGGTGAGGAGGATCGACTGCCATCTGGCTGCAGATGGAGAGGAAGTGCTGAAAACGAACGCTCTGCTGGTTGATCGGCTTTCTCTGCTGCTGATTTGTTCAGTTCCTCTGAATTTAGATCACACAAAAAGTTGAATCATCATTTTCTTTAAATAGTGCATGAGCAACTGACAATCGACAGTCTTAGGCCCTGTTCAAACGTCGACCCTTCCACGTACTTAATTGAAGGGATCAGGTTCGGTACATGAAAAGATCGACGTTTGAACTGGGCTTTAAAGGCAAAGGAGAGTCTACTACGTCTGTTACGCATCGTGACCACTCCGATGAATTTTCTTAGATGTGAAGAAGTGACACTGCATGGCCGCTTTAAACTGTCTTTTGGGTATATTTTGATGGTCTAACTGAAAGAATTAGTCCTATTAGTCCAACTTTGTTTTTTCTTGAAAGAGAATCCTTTCAGTTGGATACTGCTAGTCAATAATAAATCATCTCTGGCAACAAGTTTACAGAATTGTAAGGATGATGGGCAGGGAATACCCTGAGTGATAAATAGCGATAAAATTGGGCGAACCAATATGTTCCTTAAAAGACATCGGTTTTGAGGCTTTTAAACGTTTTTTAAATAGCCTTAATGAAGCATTCACTTGAAAAACTGTGATATGGAGTAATCACAACTCACTTTGACAATCCCATTTACAGTTTTTCTTGTACAACGCTGACTGCCCATTTGGCCGGGAGATATCATTAAAACGAGAAAAACGACCACCCTACCCACCTCTCTCTCATACGTACCTGTATTTTCAGTTTCATTTTTCACACCATTCACAACTGGCTTTACATCTGCATCACATTCCATTGGCTTCTCCTCGGCGGCCTCCTTCTTTTCCGCCATTTCACTCGCGGTCTCCATGTTCTGTTTGCTCTCCTTTATGTCAACCTCCATTGGCTCTGAGGCGTCACCATTCTCCTTAACCTCACTAACACCATTAGTTTTCACATCTTCACCACTTTTTGCTTCAATAAAATACCCATAGATCCCATTCTCAACTTTCATTCTCCAAGCATCACGTTCGACGACTCTGATGAAACCCAGGTTTCCCTGCCAAATCCTGTCCTCCAGGTCGAGAATCTGGTCACGCAGGTTAGCCTCGAGAAACTCTTCCATGGTTTTGTACCGTGACTTGTCCACCGTTGGTTGATTCCTGCCTCCTCGCCTTCCTTTAGGCTTAGTATCCTTCTTCTGAGCCTGATTCTCCTCTTTCAGTGGACACTTTTCCACAGCGAACGTTAGTTGCTTGTACTCTTGTTGGATCGCCTCCCTCAAAGGTCTCTCTCGGAAACCCCTGGGATTAAGGGCTTCCAACAGATTATCTATGTCCTCCTTGGAACTGAAAAATGACCACCTAACTATTGGTCTTGTTTTATATACTTCACACCGGTCTTGGCCGTCGGAAGCATTCATCTGGTACGCTTTGAACATGTTCAAAACTTTTCGCTGAAAGTTCTCATGGTTCTTTACAGTCTTTTTAGCATCAGAGTGACCATTAACCAAAGGTTTATCCGCAGTTGTCTCTCCGTTTTCTCGACGTTTTTCTCCCTCTCCCTGTTGTTCATCAGCACTGCCCTCGTCAGTAGCCTGTCGAGATAATGATCACCTCATGTAGATGTTTATTCAAGACCAAAGGAAGCCGAAAAGCCTAAGGTGGTTTGGGCTGGTGTTTTCTTTTTTGTTGTTTTGTTTTGTTTTGTTTTTTTTTGTCACTTCCACATTACACTTTATATTTGGCCAAATGATAAGTATTTTGCTGAACTTTTGTTCATGAGCGCCCTTTGGAGGCAGCTTGGCAACGTGGTTAGAGCACTGAACTTGAAATCCGGAGGCCCCAGATTCAAGTCCCGTGCTGATCGGTAGCTGGATTTGTTTACGGTAGTCCCGAGTTCAAATCCGCAGCCATGCTACATGTAGTTAAAAAGTCGACTGGTTTGCCTCCCGCCATTTTGGGATTCTTAACCTTGTTATGTTCCATTTTAATTACTTGTTTCATTATCCCTGAAAAGTCCCATAAGGGGAGAGGATAATTAAGTATGTAATTTCATGGCTATCATAAGGTATTTGCATCTCATTAGCATTCGATCCTGGACAGATCTCAACCGGATATTTACAATGCGTGCATGGATGATGTTTCCTTATAAGTGCGCAAAATACCGGCAACCAAACAAAGCTTTTTCTATCCAGATATCACCAGGGCTGGGTTGTTCAAAGCTAAATTAAGATAATTCAGGGTTAGAGCGAAATTTGAATTTAGATATGAGCGCTTAAAGAGCAATTTTTGCCGATGATTTGATAACCGGATGCTCCAAAAAGAATAATGATAATTACTCAAGAAAATGCTTTTGAACAAAAGAACAAAAAACCCGAATTAAAATTTAACTTTGGGTTAACTCTAATCGGTCTTCGGACAACTGGGTGCAGTTTTCTCCACTAAACCACCTTACCGCTGATTCCGAGTCTGATTCAGGTTCCAGCAGCAGGTGTTGATCTGGATCGTCATCCTCGACAAACAGTCCTCGCATTGTTTTAAATGCCCAGTAACGCCTGAATACCCTGTCCCTCCCTAGTGGCTGAATGGCGCTCCTGGACACTGCTTTAGCTAACTGATTCAAAAACTCCTGATCTTTCCGCTTTCTGTCTTCTTTTCTCTGCTGTGCCAGTTCTTCTTCCTCTTCTTTGGTTAGAGCAGGAGCCTGGTTTACAACTGTTTTATCCTCTGTAGTCTTGTTTTCTGGGTCTGTGGTTTCCTTAGCTTCACAGGACTGCGCGGTATTTTCGTTGGCTTCCTTCTTTTTGGCCGTTTTCTTGCCTCCTTTTTTTTCCTGGTCTCCTTCATTCTGTTCTGACTGAACTTTAGGCGACTCCTCAGTTTTGGAACTAGAGACAACACATTAAGTTAAGAATCAGGAACAATTAGACACTAGCTCTTCTCTACTTGACTTTAAGTCACATTAGGGCCAAGCACGCGAGTACAAAAGGTATTTTAAAATTAAAAACGTAGATAAGAAATATTAGGCAGATTTAACTTGGACAACAAAATAACAAATCAGCAAGAATGCGAAAGCGCATGGTAAAGACTTGTCTGTCACTGGTCAAGTCGGTTCTTAGATCTGTGGGCTTTTGCGTCGCTGTCGTCACATTGTCTTTGCAAAACTCAGATATGTTGTGGTGTCCATGCATTTATATCCTCCACGTAGTTACGGATGTGTTCATGTATTCACTCAAAGTACACAGTTTTATTCAGCATTAATACTCGCCCAAAAGTTGCAACGAGCCTGTCAAAAAATTACACTGAATAAATTGAACTGATTACCATAGTTTTTTTGGTGGTAACCAATTTAGCAATCACATGTGCTGTGTTACCTTGACTCTCCCTTTGCACCATCTATTCTTTCCTGGTCCTTTTCCTTCTTCCGTTTCTCCAGCTCTTCCTTCTGTCGCTGCCTCTCCTCCTGTTTACGGCGATACCTAGCAGCTGCCTCCTCTTTATCTCTCCTGTGATCCGCCCACTGATCCTCCTGCCATTCACGACGGACTTTGCGACACCTTAGGAACACAGCAAAAGTATATGATATTATAAGCACAACAATCTGACTTAAACAATGACTACGCCTGCTGGCTTTAAACACAATATGCAGTAGAATCCACATTTCTCCACCCCACAGTAACTCAAAACCACTAATAATACAAATTAATAGAAGAGGCTACATGTATCTATAACATTTCATCAGCAAAGAGGTTTATATCACTCACACCTTATACTCTTTGTTTTCTTAACCAGGGGTACACTGAAATAATGGTAGCCGTTTAGAAAGGAGGGATAAAAATGAAAATTGGCTACGTCTTTAGTATTCATTCTTATGTGACTCATTTGTTCCCTTCCCTTTTGTACGTTTGACTTACAAAGACACCAAGCAAAAAATAACATTAAGCAGTAATGGTCCCTTACTGATCAAAGCCATCTTCCACATAGTCTCGGGCAGTTGCATAAGTGATCAGCTGTGTGCACAGGGCAACCAGCACTTTAAGTTTGTCTTCTGCATCCATGTCATAGATATTGGCAGTCACTAGTGCTTTTAACAAACGCGGCTGAGCATGGCGGAACTCTACTCCAGCATCATCACTGTAAGTGAAGCCTCCACGGCGCTGCCAACGATACGACGACTCACCACAACCTTGAAGGCACAAAAGAATTTGCAGTTAAACATGTAATTCCCTTTCATGATTGCATAAAAGAATAGGCCACTTTTAAGCTTTTAAAATTCATACAGTACTTAGTTCCAGGGCTGACGGGTATAAAATGAAAGAATTTCTTTTGTTTTACCGTATTTATTCGAATAAGCGCCCAACCTCGAATTAGCGCCCACCTCGAATAAGCGCCCATCCCAAAGGCAGAAAAAGTTAATAAGCGCCCAGCCTCGAATAAGCGCCCACCCCACCCCACTCCCTCCCACACAAACTCAAATAAGACATAATAAGAGATCCTCCCGAAGACGGAGTTTTCTTCAGAGTATTTTACAGATTGGGCTGTAACCTTGCTTTGTTACTTCTTCGCTTTTTGTTATTACCATTTATTATTTTGTAGCAAAATAAACAAACTACACTTGCTGAGAATGGCGAAAATTTAATAAGCGCCCAGCCTCGAATAAGCGCCCACCTCGAATAAGCGCCCACTATCAAGGTCCAAAAATTTAATAAGCGCCCAGGGCGGTTAATCGAATAAATACGGTATTCCCATCAGCCTTGCAGCTATGAAATATGAATTTTGATGCTTGAAAACTGGTCTAAGACCCATTAGAATGATATTTTGAAAAAAGAATTGAAGGTCCAAAAAATTGGGTTCAACTAAATTTTAGTTCAGATTCTAAGAGGTCTGAGAAACCAGGATTTTACTGTTTATGTGACTATGAACTGAATATACTGGCACTAATTTGTGAACAGTTATTTATTGTAAGTTTTGTTTATTACCGGGGTAATGAGTGAAAATATTCAAGATCTGACATTAATGGTGTTAGCCAGGCCTTCATCAGAGAGATCAAGTCTGAGAATGGCTGATGTACATTGTATAATTAAGTCATGCATTTTGTTTTAATGTTTACCAAAGTCATGCTACACTTCGTTTCTCAACTAACTCATTTTACCATTAATTTAATGACTCAGTTGTCAAACCTCCATGTGCGACAACCTCTCGTAAGCAACCAGAAATTTAAAACACAAAAATTTTTCCAGTCAAAACTGTGATGTTAAAACCTCTTTTCTAAGTGACTGCGACCCCTTTTTGAGCTGAAGGATTTATAATTTATTTTTATATATTTGTTTAACCTCTTGTAAGCAACTGCTTGATCTCCATGTCCACTGTGTGTACTATGCTACTTTTAAAGAGTATGAGAACCTTTAGTGTGAATGTGAACTACACATACATTGTATCATAACTTAGAAATAGCATGCAGTTACTTCTCATCCAAAAAGTTGATGTATCAAGATCCCCTTTAGCCAGATTCTCACAAGTGACCAGCTCCTGTAAGCCACCACTTCTCTCTCATTTTCACTGGTTGCTTACATGAGGTTTGAATGTATTTTATTTTATTGCATACCTATTCTGGCTCCTGAGGACAACAGATGCAGTCTCAGAAGCTCAGAGCTTGTGAAGGGATCCATGATCAACTCATGAAGAGGTTTACCCTGGTACTGCATGGGCCAGGCTGCTGCCATGGTTGCCGAGGCTGACACGGTTGCTTGTGATTTTTGGTCACCCTCTTCCTCCATCTCAACAACAGGCTCATGGTCATGTGTTCCATCAAGCCCCTCTTCTTCTTCTTCCTCTAGGTGAGTGCGCAGTATTGCTCCAAGAAGAAAGAGTAACAAGTCATAATAAACACCTTCTGCATCATGCTCAGTTAGTGCCTCCTCCAACATAGCTATGAAAAAAATACAACAAACAAAGAGTTTGATATCTCCCAAGTTTGAGCATAAACTACGTCGCCATTACCAAAGTTTTACAAAATTATCACCACACCTGTATTTAGATAAATATGAAAATTGGTTATGATCAGGGTTACAATGACATTGGAGCTGTCGCAGCAAAAAAAGCTGCTAACTGGATATGAGGTTGCTGTTTAATACTGACGCAATAACCATCAAATCAGTTGGTGATAGCCCGGGGGTACCCCCATACATTACCTATACGGGTATGTGCCGCCCAACGGGGTCGTGATTTTGAAGCTCCTGATTTAGAACGGGGTATGAATTTCAGAGGCGTTTTCTAGAACGGGGTATAAAAAATTGTGGATCACGGCTTTATCTTCTGCTTAAAATTGTTGCTGATTATGAAGAAGCATTTATTTGATGTATAAGTTGAACAAATAAAGAAATATCTTTTTACAAAATAAGGGCTATTTAATTTACAAACCTTCTAGAACGGAATATAAAAAATTGGCCCATTTCTAGAACGGGGTATCAGTTTTAGGGCGAATTCTAGAACGGGGTATAAAAAATTGGCCCATTTCTAGAACGGGGTATCAATATTAGGGGAATTTTTTTTTAGAACGGGGTGCCAATTTGGAGTCCTGGGCGGCACATACCCACCCAAAAACTACCCAAGTGCCACCCCCCCTCCCCCCCCGGGGTGATTGCCAAGTACATCTTCTACTGTATTTAATATGGTAAGTACAAGCTGGTTATAAAGAAAAAGCCGGGGAATTGAAGCCAATCAGAAACAGCCAAATATTTTGAAATTAATAATAACAGTTATTACATGTATTTATATCTGACAACATTATCAGGTTTGGTGAATAAAATAATTATCATCCTCCACACAAACACTTCTGGTCCAATTTTGGCCAAACATTACACAAAAACATGTACTTTATATCATAATCACTACATCAAAGTCATGATCACTTTGATTGCAGAGAATATCTATCGTGAATACATTACCAAATGTCAAGCCAGAAGGAAATTCATCTTTTATATCAAAAAGATTTCCAAAAATGTTCAGAAATTCCAACACCATCATCATGTCGCCAAACAGATCCGATGGTAGCTTTATACTAACTGGAGTAGTCTTAGGTAACTCCTGCAAATGAATGCATAAGACACACTCAGTGGCATAGCTACGACAATTAATGTTTTGTACAACACAGTTGACCACAAGTAAGTGTGATGTGATAGAGTTGTGGCTTTCAACAATGAGTTGACTAAAGGGAATTAATTTTTTAATGTGTTTTATTTCTACAAAGAATACTGCAATTTGTATATCCAGGGTCAATCGGAATTGAAGTACAGGCATCTGCCCAATCTTAAGTAGGCAGCTGTGCCAAACAGTGGGGCTGTAAACCAAGGAAGGGTCTGAAGCATGTTCCCAAAGCTCTGAAATGCAATTTCAAGGCCATTTTGGGCATCAGCTTCAACTATTACAAAATTACCACATGCCACATTCTGTCAACTTGTTTGAAAAACTTTCACCAGAGGAACAAACTTTCCATTTTCATACAAAGGCATAGTTTTTAGTAGAAAATTGCACATTTTACCTTCAAATCATCCAGTTCAAGATCTTCTCTTGGTTTATTCCATTCTCTTAACCTTATTGCTTCTAGCCTCTTTTCTTCTTTCTGTCTTTCACGTTCCTGAAAATACAATGGCAACAAAATGTCTTTACAAAGCAGCATATGAATGGTTGCATTTCCTCATCAGCACAAAATAAGGTAGCATGCATGATACATGTAGTTTGGTTAAGAACACAATTCTGTGTTAATCTCCCAGCCTGATTTGTGGTGTATTTAAGCCCCTTATTGAAACAGTCTTCTTATCTTCCCTCTGCCTGCCTCACAATGTTTTCCCAAGAACTAGCATAGCTAGTAAATACAGCATAACCCAAATCATACTAGGACTTGTCGTGTGCATCTACAGCAGATTTCTCACAGTACAACTGCTGGTACATGTGCTAAGATTTTACATAATGTTTCAATGTTGCCATGACAGCTGGTTGTATTATGCAATAAATTAAAGGGGTTTCTAGAACAATCCCCTAGTGACCTTTGATAAAATGTGAGATTCTCCTTTCAATTTGCCATGTAAATGCTTGTGAATTAAAGGCAGAATTTCTTATTGAAACACACGTTATTGACAGCTATGGGACCTTACTTCACTGGGACAAATCCCTTCCATCGGGATTTAGGAAGAAAATGGCTCCCATATACAGTGCAATATAATAGTCTGCAAAAACATAATCCGCCCTCACCATAACCAATGGTGACAGTGAAAGCTTCAGTGCAATAACATTCCTGTCATGTGAAGGTATACAGCTGTAACTTGTAACTAAGAGGCCATTTCTGAGTTCCAAAGACTCTCACTTCAAAATGAGGTTAAGTGCAAAACCTTTTTCTAAAAATAGTTGTTTTATATCAATAACGTCGCACTTAGCCTTGCTTTGAAAAAGAGGTGTGGAGCAACTCAGAAATGGCCCATTCACAGGTCAAAACACACTCTGTTAAAAGTCAAAACATACCCTGTCTCTTTCAATTTTCTTAACGGCTCTTTCTTCTTCTCTCTTAGCTTTATTGGCTGCCTTTTCCCTTTCTTTCTCCAGTTTCTTTCTTTCTCTTTCCTCCTCAATTTCTTTTCTCTTTTTTTCTTTTTCCTGCTCCATGAGTCTGCGAAATTCCTCAGGTGGTAGTTTCATCCTATTCTTGCCCTCATTTGATTTGCCATCTTTTTCCTTCTGTTGTTAACAACGCAATAAGTTTAAAACTACATTTTAAACATTTGAAAGTGAACCTCTTTTTGTACTGTTATGTAACATAAGGAGTAAGGATTGGTACAGTTAGTTACTGTAAGGCCATCTGCACAAGAGGTCCTGAGTTCTGTTCCCAGGCATGACCCGCAATCTTCCTTCCCTTCTGTGTTGCTACAAGTAGCTTTGAGGACCCCTAAACTAAAGCAATGATGGAAAAAGGGGGGTCAAAAAGGTCCACTGACAGCCTCAGGATTGTTTGTTGCATGATGACTATTTCAAGCTAACCAATGCAACATAAGGGCCCTTTATCCTTTACAGTCTTTACTACTTGTTAAAACGTGTGAAATTTAAAAAGAAAGAAAAAGGAAGGGAACACAAAAGAAAATGATCACAATTAATGCACAGTAAACTTTCCAAAACACTATAAAAAATATAACACAAAACCTTGACGTAAAATGAAAAACAACATATGATAGACAACATGGTAGAATGATGTCTCTGTTTTTGATGTTGGGAATTTCCTAATACTCTTCCTTGCACAGAGGCCTTCTTATATCTCTACATCAAACTCTCACCTTTGCCTTTTTCTTTGCAGATCCGTCTCCATCAGTTTTTGCTTCCTCATCTTTCTTCCTCTTTCTCTTTTTCTTGACTGGTCCAGCCTCTGTTTGGTCTCCATGACTTCTTTTTCTTTGCTTCTTGTCTTTTGGAGGGGGAGACAACTTCAATGGAATTTCTGGCTCACCAAGATCAAATTTCTTTCGATACTCACGCTATAATAAACAAAGGGGGTATTAAAGACAGAAAACGATTAAAAGCTACTTACAGATAATATTTATAGTGCAAGCTCTGAATTCCATTGTACCATTCTAACAAAGACATTATGCTCCAGTGAGCAACATTAAATTAATGTACTATTACTAGAATTCCTGGAAATAGGCTGTTAGTATGCTACCCAAATAAATGGTATTAGCTACAAGAAAACTAATTGTGTACCATAACAATGTAAACGCCTTCTTCTGAATGTGGAGTGCTCCTTTCACAGCTGATCTTTAGGAACATTTTTAGCTTATCCCTGGTGAAGATACCTTTTCTGCGACTGAAAAATCAATTGATTGTTATACAGTTGTGCCACATCTGCATGTATGTCAAGAACCAAACTTCCCCAAACGGAACAGACCCCAGCCAAACAAGAAGCTTACCTACACCACAAATTCTAGATTTTTTTAGGCATCAAACTGCTGCACTTTACAAACATAAGTGAAACCTCCCTTTCTAGACATCTCTATTCAGGAGCTATCTCCCATAATCTTTGTAAAAATTACCTCTACTGAGGGACACCTCTATCCAAGGGACACTCACATGTATCTTGGCTCTGAGGGTGTCGACGAAGTAGTTACTTCTACTGAAAGGACATCTCTATTCAGGACACACTACTTCTGGTCTAGAGGGTGTCTAATGAAGTCTCCAACTTTATTAAAAATGGCTTGGAGTAGTGAAGTTAATTATTTTTTAAGTTGATTCTTAATTACCCGACAACTGAAGCTTGGACGACAACAATCTCTGGTCGCTTCTCCTTCTTTTTAGATCCTCTGTCAGAATGAAGTCTAATTTCATACTGATACAGTGCAGCCACTGGCCAATTATAAACTGGTTTCTCTTTGGGGGATGACAACTTTGGAGATGGTCCTTTCAAACTGCTGCCTTTATCATCATCACCATCATCATCAATAACTATAATTTCACTTTCCGAACCCATCCTTTTACTACAGCTTGGCGACTTGCTTGCCTTTGGTGACCCCAGCTGAGTAGGAGATTTATTTTTTGGAGATGCAAGCTTTTCATTGCTACTTTTCTTGGAAGTGGGTGTAGATGGAACTTTCTTTGTGCTCTTATCGTCTTTTACACCTTTAGAAGGAGTACCCTTTCCACTAGAGGAATGCTTCCTTGATTTGTTGGGAGTCTTTTCACTACTACTTTCAGCACTGTGTTTTCGGGATTTTGCTTTTGAAGGAGTATCTTCTGAACCTTTCTTGGGAATTTTTCCAGTCGGAGATGACAAAAACACACTGTCTGAATTGCATTTTTTAGCCTGCAAAGATAATGGCTGACTGTCTGAACTACTCGAACTATTTGTCCTTTCCTTTGGTGATTTAATTTTCTCTTCAGAGTGGCTATTTTTCTTAGACTTTGGAGTTGACAATTTCCTTGACTTGTCAGTTTTGTTTGGTGAATAGCTGATAACTTCTCCAGGGGGGATTACTCTTGTTATGACACCACGTCGCCTAACACAGCAAAAAACAAAACAAAACAAAACAAACAAACAATAATAAATAAAAATTTTAAAAAAATGAATATAGCCTCAAAGTTTTAACTTCCTAAATCGAGACAAGCCTAGATAATCTAGCCTGCATTGCAGCTGAACTTGTCACTCAAGACCTAGACAGAGAACTCGATATAGTCCGTCTGCGCAATGACTCCCAAAAGCCTGTTCTGGTATCCCGCAAGTTTGCAGGAAAATCTCTTTCCATTTCTAATGTACTCTGTGATTGGACATTTCTTTATGCAACAATCATGCAATACTCTGTAAAGCTAAAAATAAATTTGTACAAGTTTTAGTAAAAAAAAAGAAATTACTTTTAATGGTGCTTTATATAGCAAAAGGCCAAACAAGTTATGTCTGATTCGGCACTTTATTGTAATTTATGCTGTCATTATTATTAGAAAAAGGGTTTTGCTAGCTAAGGGATGGAAACGATTCGGCATTTTCTCAGAAATCGTGGGTCTAAATTTGTCTTTGACAACTTTTCTTAATATTTTGCACCTACAATTTATTATAAAAACTGTTAAAATTTTAAAATAATTAAAAGCTTTATAAAGTCTTGATAAGTTTTAAGGAGTTTTTTTTTTCGGTGTAAAATGATATAGGAAATCACTTCTTAATTAACTAAAAATCACTAAAAGATCATAGTTAAACAAAATAATTATTTCCTTTCTTTTCCAATTATGTCACAATGAAGACTAATATTATTCATGTGCATTTCATTATTTTAAATTCACATAATTTTTCCCACTCACAACAAATAATAGCTGATCACTTTGCCAGACCTTCCAATTAATTAATATTTTATAGGAAATAACCAATACACAAAGTGTAATGGTATATATTTAAAATGAAATCCTTTGTAAGCTGCACTGCAAACATAAACTGTCAAAAACCTTTAAATATTACAAAATTACAGTTAATCATCGATTTTTCTTATTTCGAAGCTCAAAAATAAAGTTATATATGAAATATGTTATGTTTCTCAGTTTAGAAATCTACCTTGAATGTTCAAAAGTAGAAAAATTTAAAGCACTGAACTATTTTATTGACAGCTGTCAATCAAAAATGCAAATTATCCTTCAAAATAGCTAAGAAATGATTAAAATAAAATTGAAAATAAAAATAAGTAGAGAACTTAGGAATAAGCCAGTGAAACAATATGGCTGCCCTCTTTGTTTCAAACCACAACTGTCTGAAATCCCATCAAAACAACTTGTTCAGCCAAAATGTCCCCCACACCCCACCCCTGGCCAAATTGCACCCCCTTAGTTAATTTAGGTAAGAAAAAGAAAGTATGTAAAGAGAGAAAGAGAGATTTTGCTTCTTTACACTTGCATAATATGAAAGAAGACGCCCGCTGAATGGCATGTGATGCACTATACTACACGACGTCTTGGTACGATCACCTTCAACCAACACCATAGCTAAAATCTGCCCCATTCCCCCCAAAAGTGGTCCCATTTCCGAAAAGGCCTTGTCCACTACGAAAAGCCTGACTTACTTCTGTGAAAGATGCTGGATTTCAACTTCTTCGCCTTCCTGGTAGTGATCCTTCATGTAGGAAAACACTTCATCGCATAAATTAGCTAGCCGGCCACGCTGAGTGTGGTGGACCAGTGTCAGTACCGCTCGTTGGATTGGCTCAGGGAGACTCTGGGCTTGTTTTCTGATCGACTTTTCAGAATCATGTGCTTCTTGGTAAGTTAATCCACTCTTGCCAGTATATTTGCAGCTCCATAACAGGCTGTTACACAGAATTGTACGCTCAAAAAACGACCTGAAACGAAAAATGGCGGTGTTTTACAACAGTAGGTGAAACCGTGAACGGTCAAAAATGAATGACATTGTACCGGATATAGAAATACTGCAACAAGGGGTTAAATTTACCTATAATCGCGAAAAACTTCATTTGTATGGCGGCAAACGAAGACTTCTTCCTCAGGCTTGAGATCTGGTGGCGGTTTTGTAGGTGAAAACGCTTTCCTATTCAGCAAGGGCATCGAGTTGGCAAACTACGAGAGTGCGGTGCTCGACCGCGAAACTCTCCCAAACACGCGCGTAAACCGGCCACGATTTCCACTGTGAGAAATCTGAGATCCTGGAGCAGGTTTGTGACGAAAATTTGTCGTCAAACAGAGATGTCAAGAGAAAATGATCAAAAAGTTTTCTTCCAACACAAAATTCCGCCGGCCACGCAGCTCGTGCGTCCAACTGGCTCACAATGCCGTGATGTTCAATAGACTTCCTCCTAAGTTACCAGTCGCATGAGTGTCAAGGTGGCCACTTCGGGCATGATTTTCTCCAAAACTACTGGCTCAAATTATTCCAAATTTCGTCAGAATAATCTACACTTGATCCTGAATTCCCACAGTGATTAACGTGTTCGAGTGATTTTTCGGAAAGAAATAATCTGTCCTAACAAATCGCAAAAGAAAAATTTTGAGCTCTCTTAAGCACATTTGAGTTTTGCGGGCCTGATGGGCTGGCTTTAGAGGAAAATAACGCGTCTGATTGGCTAAGAAGGGAATGATTGGCATTACAGCAAGCCATATATGGTAGAGATTGCGTGATTCGGTCAGCGGATTTTCTATTTTGCAGTACAATTTTCAATGATTCGTGGTGGTAGCGTTGCTCAAAGCTATTTGCAGAAATTCTTATTTTCAAGGTATTTCAGAGTTATCTTGCTGGTCTTTTTGTTTCATACTATAGATGAATTTTTTATCTCTTAAGAGTTTTGTTGAGATCGTCTCTGGTTTCGGCTAAGAAAGAAGTTACTCTCTGACTACAAAGTGAAGTTGTTGCAAAGTGTAATTTAGTAGTCAAAGAAGGTGAAAATACAAATGTCTTTGCACAACAGAAAATATAGTATACCAAAACTGTGACTGAAGGATCTTGTGCGTAAGGATATTGAGATACTTGCTTTAATTTGATAGCGACAGACTGGATAAATTGTTCTTTGTACACCTCAGACAAGGGGAGCTCAGAAAAACTGATTATCATAAATTCCAAGAAAATTCATGTTATATTTTTCCAAACTATTAAATGAAAAATCAATATCATAGACATCCTTTATAATCATAATTATAACAAAATTCTCCAATCTGATTGGCTATCAACTGTCCTGATTTCAGCACTAATAGGACAGTGTAATAGGACAGTATTCGTCAAGCCTAAGTAATTGGACAGTGCACGCTATCACATGCTTGTATTTAAATGGCTTTTTTTTCACTGCTAGCAAAAAGACTCTCAGGATTTCTTGTGTTTTATGTAGGAAAAAGCCTAAAATATCACAAAGTTTGTTATGGTTATGATTAATAAATTGTAATAGAACTTTGTGATGTCCAATTTGGTCTGTAATCATACTCCTTCTTAATTAAACAAGTCGGACTCCCACTAAGTGGCCCTTTGAGTTTGTTAATCACTTGTATGATTACAGACTTAATATCATAGGTGACGAATTACTCCTTAATTTTGGCATGAAATTTCAGCGTTAATTTGTAATTTCACATGTGAAATTACAAAATTGCCATGGCAACCCTTCCGTACGTCTCAGTGTCAAGATGGTGACGAAGTTCTAAAATGCCATGAATGAAGGTGTCAGGGCACAAAAAGATGCTTTAGAAAACCTGAACACACAAGAGAACATCAAGAAGGATTCTAACAGGTATTTTTCCGAAAAAGTCTGAAAAATTCTGAACTTTAGAAGCCAAATTTAAGGTCTAAACATTTGAGAGAGTGGAGTTCTCGATCGATACGATGTAGGATAAACATGTCAAAAATCCAAGATTGCTAACGTAATTCGTCACCCATGATATTAATAGGTAATCAAATGGTATACTCATGAAAAAGGCTTGGGAAATTATTGGATTTGGACAAAACGTGCATGAAATTATTCCCTAATTTCACTCGTCACCATTTGATTACACATACAAATTGGACTCCACTCAGTCCTAATTTTGGGATAATTTAGTTTAGGTCAAGGAAGTCAGGAGCAGTTTTTACCTTCCTGATTGTCCAGATTTCTGGAAATGGTTAACAATCACTCCTCAAATGAAATTTTTTCTGTGGTTAAGGATGTTGAAACAGGTGGGGATAGTTTTAGCTTTGCACCAACAGCCTATCTAATACTGCTTGACTCTAGTCTTCTCTCTCAAAAATCAGGAAGCTAAGCATTTGGGAGAGTTCTTGCAGGCTTTCTTGATATGTTGGCAAAATCTGAGATGGTCACTACACAGTGAAATCTTTGATTAATAGAAACTTAGCCAACATGATTTTTTCTCTGTAGTAGGGAGTTTAAGCAAAGGGGTTTTTGAGTGACAAATGTCAACCAGGAGTGAGACGTTTTCACTGTTAATATAATTACCTTGATGCTGCAAGATTGATCTTATAGATGACTTGCCCAGATTTGTAGGCGAACCACCGCCAAATATTACAAAATGTCCACTTCCCGATGAGAGCTATGAAAGCCAATTTTTCATGTATTCTGGTATGTGTGTTAAATAGTTATAATAACATTAGGATTTTCTTTTAATTTATATGTGTAACTTCAGAGTTGTGACAAGAAGTGCCAGTAAAGGAAGCAGCTCTTCAAGATGGCTGAAGAGGCAACAAACAGTAAGAGCGATCATTAATATGCGCCAGTAACTATTGATGTGTTACAACTCAGTGTTGAGTTTGAGTACCAAGCAGCAATAGAAATTGAAGGACTGAAATTTGAGCTCAATTTTATATCATTTGACATTTTATTAAATTTTATTCATGGAATTAGGACTTGTTTGTGAAGAAGGCACTTGAGGACAACTATCTTTGCCGTAGCGCCTACAAACTGATTGAGCTGGATGACAGGTTTCATTTCCTTCAACCTGGAAGAGTCGTGATTGACTGCGGTGCAAGTCCAGGTAACTTCTTGATAACAGTTCATGTTACTTTACTTTTAAAGACAAACTTGATGATCATTAACCTGCAACCACAGATGTATTTCCAGTGGTTGCTTCTTTCTCTCTGTCAGAGCGAGAAAAGCAACAACAGGGCTCGAAATTAAAAAAAAATGTCTGGTCGGAAATTTGCGACTAGTTACGAAAATTTGGTCGCAACTTTGAAAATGTTAGTCGCAAAATTTATTGAGGCCATTTAATCAAGAAATAAGTAGGCTTTTAAATGATTAACGCTTTAATTTTCATTCTTTCAACAGCTTTCATGTCATTTCAAGACTTAATAGTACAGAACGTTTAGCATCTTGGACAACACCAGTTCATCTAAATGATCAAGTTGAACCTGCGTTAAGGCACATAAATTAGTGTCTGTTATTTTTTTTTTAAACTAACCGTTACTGTCAAACGAAGAAACAATGAAGCCTTAAGTACTCATTTTTACCAACGAAAGTTATTGACTCCAGTTTTTCTGCTTGTTTCGGTTCCTTTGATCTTGCTCAGTGACTAACGACTGTCAGCGGCAAATCAAAACGAAATATGAGCCTGCAATGTACATGTTTACAGAACCCGCTGAAAATGGCGTGCTGTTGAAGGAATATCGTTGTGTGTATGCATTCCAGGTAAATTACGGTAAACTTTCAGATTGTAACAAAATTATAAGACGCTACTTCAATGAATCTTTTTATTTCTAAATTTATTTAAGCAAAAATTCAAGTGCTAGTCCTTTTACTTCGTATCAGTTAAGGCAAAACCTAGTCGCAAATTTGCGACTACTCTCGTTTTTCTAGTCACAAATAAGAAAAATTAAGTCGCAAATGCGACCGTATCGGTCGCAATTTCGAGCCCTGAACAACCGGAAAAATGTCTGCGGTCACAGGCTAGATGATTATAGGGTAACATTGATGCAGAAATTCAATTGACTGTTTACTTGCACTTTGGGTTTAGATTTTTACATTTGAATTAGGCATCTCCATACCTGGTTTTTATGACAAAACATATGTGGAATTGCAGTGATAGCTGCAATAGAACATCCATTTATTCAAGTTAAATGACATTTTACCCAGTTTCAAGTTGTCTATTTTGTTTAATCATCACCTTCAGGTTCGTGGACTCAAGTGGCAGTTAACCGAGTATTGATAAGGAAGGCTGGTTTGTACAGTATAATAATAAACTTCTAGCAAAATAATTAATTGAATCATGATCATTCATACCACTTATTAACTGAGAGTGATGTCATTACAGGGAAATCTTAGACCGAGGCTTATCAATGCATTGACCAAGCGATACAATGTACATCAAGGCTGAGGTCCGATGTTTCCCTGTAGTGACCAAACAGACAAGGTTAATAAGTTATTTACTATGGCCTTTTCGTTATGAACCTCAGCCGGCAGGGAGAGCAGGTGGTGGTACGTTGCAGTGCAGGAGGTGGAAGAGGAAAGGGTGGGAGATGGGATTTCTACAAGGGTGGGAAGCAGGAGAAATAGGTGGAAATTTTGCAGCAATGCCTAATATTTTTGCAAATGAAAAGAATTAAGAAGGAAGCCAAGAAAAAAGGTGTGGGAGCCCACCCCCCCCAGAAAAAGCCAGTCTTGGACTAGATTGTGAGCTAGCCTGCTCTAAGGCTAGGTTTTGACCCTCTAGTTCACCATAAAAAGTATAGTTTGAAGATGAAGATGTGTTAAAATGTTCAATGTTTATGTTTGGTCTAGGTCAGCAGAGAGGTCTTGTCATTGCAGTGGATTTGTTAGGTAAATAAATCTTTTGAATTAATAAATTGTTTTTCATTGTAAATTTAATGTTTGTTACAAATCACTGACAGTAATTTGTACTAATAGAAGTAATGGAAATACATGAAAAAAAGGATAAACAGCACAGTTAAAAGAGGAGAACTAATTGTTTATTTTTAAATGTGTGATGGAATTCATAAATTAAAGTAGCATTGGCGCATGCAGTAGCTATCTGCATGGATGATCCCCATGTCCCCTACTTATATCAAACATTGCTATGGGTTATTTGCATTTCTGTCAAATTTTCTGACATGTTTACAAGGATGAAGAAGATAAGGCCGGTAAGTTAAATTTGATGGAGCCAGTGTGGCCAAGTGGTCAGTGCGTCGGACTCAACAGGTTCAAGTCTTGCTCTGCCCTCCTGCTGGATTTGTTCTTGGTCATCCCTAGTTCAAATCCTTGGCCACTCTTAACTTGTAAATATGAACTGGTTGTCTCCTGACAGTTGGAGTTTTTAATCCTCTTATGTTGTGTTTGAATTATTTGTTTCTAAGTACCGGTATTTGAGTGGAGTGCCTGCAAACTAGCTGGATAAGCTAAGTGCACTTTCCACTATAAACAAGCCTTTAAACTTGATGGCCTAAGTTACAAATTTTGTCTTTCTTAACTAGACATTGAAGACATTCTTGGAGCAACTACTTTATCAAGATGTGATTTTACAGATGCCAGCACACAGAGGAAAATACTCTCGCTACTACCACCAGCTGGAGCTGATGTTATAATGAGGTACGGTAAAACAGACTGCTGTTTTTTCTTTTCTTTTCTTAACTGCAGCTGATTGGAATGGTATTATAAATTATATTTTATTAAAAACTGAATCACTGGATAATGCAATTCTAGCATTTTGATTGGCTTAGCCGTTATGGTATATGAGCTATTATACCATGCTCTCCATATATGGTCGGTGTACTCGTCAGTTTAAAATTGGAAGCTGGCTGAGATTTTTTTTTGCGAAGGATAGAACGGCGCCCGAAGCAAATCTTTTTAATTCATTTCTTAGAATACTAGAAATGCAATTTCATCGAAAGAAAAAAGACAAAAACAAACAAAAAAGCCACAAGAGCTTGTTTGAAAGTTTGTGGAAAAACACATGAAAACACATGGAACTAAAGTACCTTGACCAGCTACGAAAGAAGACAAGTGTTGTTTCTTCATGGTCGCGAAGCCATTCGCAGATCGAGTCACTTGCCAATAGATAACTGCGGCTTGTTTATCCGACATCAAGAATATAAATCACAAGTAACCAACTACAAATACAGGCTATGCAGCCATTCACTAGAGCAATCGAGGCGGCAGTATAGCTTCTTTTCTCGTTCAGCAAAACCAGCTTGTGGCTTCAAACAACTTCATAACAAGCGTACGAGGTAATAGTTTTTCTCCGTTGTTCTTATGTGAATAGCGGAAGTCCCTTGTCTTTTCCGGTTTGTTCTTGTCGGGGAGATTCAACGAGATTTTGTGGGCGTTTTTAATAAAACAATTATTCCACTCGGCCTTGCTGGATATGAGATGATTATAGCCAACTCGGCGCTTCGCGCCTCGTTGGCTATCTATCATCTCATATCCAACGCGCCCTCGTGGAATAATTGTTAAATATTAATATTTTATATTGTGCCATTTAGATTATTTTTTTTTGATACACAGGTCATTTCATACTCTGCAATAATAATTGGCTAGTTTGCTTCTCACACCCACTGTAAAGACTGAAATTTGATTTGGTTGTATTTTTTTTACTAGGAAATCCTTATATATTTAATATAATGCTTATGCTGGTGCATGAACAAAAAAAAGCAATAAAGTTTTGGATGCCAGTCAAATAACTTGTGAGGTACCTACTTGATCCAGTCATCCAAAAAGAAAGCTATGTCAATAAGAAACATCCTGCTTATCCTTGTATTCTTGTTTTGTGCTATAAATATGAATTCTCATTTCCCCATTGATTCATAGCCCTCCTTTAATACTTTGCGCTGGGGCCATATCTAGAGGGGTGAAAGCAGCGCATAATTAACAAAACAGTGGTTAAACACTGCCATGTACATATGACATTGTTTGTATCTTTGAGCTGCTGTACCCAGGAATTGACTAAACTGCTAATCACTTTTGAACCATGATCACCTGAAATATTTTTGGAATTCCACTGTGTTAGTCTGACAAACAAGCCAATCAAGTGTGAAACAACTAAATCTCAAGCAGTTTTTTTTGTCTTAGCAGAATTAATAATCATGTGTGCAGTTACATCTTTTTTGTTTATTTTCAGTGACATGGCTCCAAATGCGACAGGAAGCCATACTATAAACCATGAAGCCATCTTGGTTAGTGATATATGGATTAATTATTGACCTATAAGAGTAAGTTAGAGATTCAGAAAGTGATGAGGTCTTAAATAATGATAGTTTAAAAGAGTGTTCCTAGAAATACCACGAGAGTTAACTGGAATTTTTTTAGGCTGTGGAGAGGGAGAGTCATATTAGTCGAAACAGGTTTGGGGAGGCTTTCAGAAATATGAAAGAATTGATTGAAAGAGAAATACTTTATTAGTGATGATTTTCATAGAAATTTCCAAAAAATGGCTTAAAATGTGCTCTGTTTTGCATTCACTGCGGTTTTTTTATGCCCATAATGTCAGAGAATTAGGTTAATAATAAAATACACTGCTGATATGAAAGAAGACCTCTGGGCTCTGGTAATAACTCCACTTATAGGCTACGAAGAAAGGCCCATTAAAAAGAGATACTAGTTATTAAATTTAAGCCATCTTATCCGCAGAACCTTTGTGAATCAGCCTTTGAATTCAGCAAAGATGTGTTGAAGCCTGGTGGGCGTTTTCTGTGTAAACTCTGGGATGGTTATGGCACACAAGGTGAGGAGAGGGAACATACACATGTTAAGTAAACCAAAAAAATCTTTCCTTAAAACTTAGCACTCACCAGAAAGAAAAATGACATTACAGCCATCTTAAGTTTTAAAAAATAAAAGAAGGTTCTAAATTCCTTTAGAATTTCTCTAAACTTTGTCCAACAAGGCACTAAGATTTCAAATTGCCGGGTATTTGCAATTAGTGGGCCGGGAGCTGTATTGCTGACTTTTCTACTCATTTACTTTTTAATTTTGCAGATTTTTTTTTAAAAATTTTCAGATTTTATCAAAATGTTACAAGGTTATTTCAAGCAAGTTAAAGAATGCAAGCCCCAAGCAAGCAGGAAGGAATCAGCCGAAATTTACCTTTATGCTGAGAACTTTAAAAAATAATGCACATGATGTTACATGTGCACAAATACAGCTGACAACATAACGCAACATGCTTCATTCTCACTACCGTAGTCAAGATAAAGGAGCGGTTGTTGTTTTACGTGTTTAATTTACTAATGTTAAGTTATCGAATTCTTTTTCTGAGTATCGACTGTTTGAATCGGTTCCTTGGTCAAAACATTAAGAACTGCCTGTGGACAACTACGCGATACAACTAATTAGCGTAACTTTATAGGCCGGTGCAAGACTTCTACGTACTTCTGTTATATGGGGATGTGACAGATGTGGCATAGTGAGGGATGGTTTACAAGTGGAGCTCACGAGCGCTGCAACAGCGCTTGCATGGTCCAGATGAAAAGCAAATGTGCCATTTTCGAGCCTTTTGCGGACGAAGTCAAAAGGCTCGAAAGAGAGAGGAAGACCGTTTGTGACGACTTGGCAACGACTTTATCCATTTTCATGACCCTCTGCTTATGTATTGCGGTATAAAGCTGTACAAAGTGGAATATCAAAAGTATTTTCAAGCAAAAGGTGCGGTGCACCTACACTTGCGTGCAAAGCATACATTAATCCTGTGTTGTCACTTCTTGAATAAATCGTCCTCTCTAGTTATTAAGTCCCCTTTTTATAAAGAAAGAGAGTTTTTAAGCCCCTCTGTTCAGTTAGCCCTATCCTCTCCCACGTTTGAAGACCCCGAATGTTCCCCTTGATCCGCCACTCGACTGTAAACAATTTCCTCCAGCAGTGCTTGAACTCACTGAAGCCCCTGGGAGACTTTAAGGGCAAACCACATGACTCTATTTCAGCCTTATGATTTTGATCGAAAACTGCACCAAAATTGTAATTCCATACCGTAAAATTCCGAAAATAAGCCGCGGGGCTTATATTTTTCAAAGGCCCTTTTGGAGGGGCTTATGTATGATTGGGCTAGCTTGTATTGGGAAGGAAATTTACCATTTTTGCTTTGTTGTACTTTGTATTCGAGAACAAATTCCATGTATAAGCCCCTCGGCGGAGGGCTTATATTTGGAGGGGCGATTTAACGGAGGTTTTTTTGCGTTACGATTTTGAGGGGCTTATATTTGGTGGAGCTTATACATGGAGGGGCTTATTTTCGGAATTTTACGGTACTTTCCTCTGGGTCCAAAATTGCGATGAAATCAAGTAAACTCAAAGAAATAAAAAGAAGCAAAGTTTTCACCAATTTCTTCTTTGACCTAAGCTGCACGATTCGACTGAACGCTTTCCTGGAGAAAAGCTAGTAAAGTTGCCTTCGATTCACCTTAAGGACCCCTTAAGAACAAGTCATAACATTTCGGCTCGAAGGGCGAAAATTAAAGTTGCGTGGGGTTCCTGTGATTAAGTCGGCTAATCAGAGAAGCGAGGCTACCAAGTTGCTTATCAAAGATGGCGGATCATCAAGGTAAGGAAGGAACTTTTGCCTGTTGTAACTTTCATTTTCTTCGGACATTGTGGGTAATCAAGTGTTTTTGCGTCGTTTTCATCTCTTAGAATGAACACGGATGTTGTAGTTCAAGCTTTTTTCATTTAACGTTTTCTTTAAAGCTGTGGTTTGATTATTTGCAAAAGAATGATTCTGATCGACGTCAGCTGTCAGGTTAATTCATTGTGACAAATCAATGAATTAAAAATTATTAATATTTAGGGTTACCCTTTATATGAAATTAAGTGTAACTGTTTAAAGACATACGAACAGGGAGTTTCAGAAATCAAGTTTTTGTGGGGACTTTTTGATAATAAACTGTTTTAAAATTGGCCATTTAATAACAGTTGTGTGCCCAGGCCTTTGAATAGAAGCGAGGATGGCGGTGACTTTGTTTTGTTACAAACCTTCTTGTTTTTCATATGTAAATGATCATGTTCACGGGGTTGTTAGCATGAGAATACCACGATTTGCACAGGCAGGAAAGTTTGTAACAAAACAATGTCACCGCCGGCCGCGCTTCATTTCAAACGCCGGGGCATTGAGCACACAACTGTAAAATGGCCTATTAGTGATAACATATGTAAACATTATTCACAATTTCAATGACGCTTTTTATATGTTTGACGCCAATAACAATAGTAATATTTGAACGACATGTCACAACATTTTACAAGTTGCTTTTACTTAACTCAAAGGTTCATATCCTGAGTAAATTCTATGATTAAATTTCCCTTGTTTCATTATATACAAAATCAGATGCCAGCCTTCAAGAATGTTTCAGTTTTGGCTTTGCACTTCTCTCTAAAAATTTCTGCCTTTCAGACCCTACTCCCCCTTGAAATTTCTATTGATCTTTGATCCATGAGAAGTATGGATATTTTCTGAAACCACACATTGGTTCAAAAAGTGTTCTGTTACAAATTTGGTCAGTAACTTGAAGGGCTATCATTAAGAGCCGGGGGCTGGGGATTTCCCCCTACTAATATGAATGTGGCCCCTGGCTACTCTCAATGGAAAATAGAAGAAAAATTCAACCAAAAGAAATCCCTAGCTGTATGATTCCCCGCCTACTTGTTGTATTTACCTGGCAACTCGAAATCGTAGTGACAACCCTGGCAACTGTGCCACATCTCCCTAACGAAACCTCCATTATTTTTTTTTTGGATTAACCTGTTGAGTAATTAGTGGCTTGGTAGGACACAGGCTTGGATTTTTGGTCTGCTGATCTTGTAGGCTCAAAAATTCTAGACTCGGCCTTTTGCCACCTGTAACACTGACCCTTTTTTCCCATCTGTAGGCACTGGAAACTATGATGAGGCCATCATGGCCCAGGTGGATAATATCCAGAAAGAGGTACTATCACCCTAGGAACACAATTTCCGTTTGAAATGCAACAGGGATGCTTTTCAGACAGTTGAATTCTTAGGGAGTCCAATCTGGACATGGCTTGTGCTCAGGCTTTGTTTAACCTCACAAGAGGACTGCATAAAAGCAGACAATCAAATAAGAGCCATATTGATTTTCATACTGCTTAAGACATCAAAATTTAATGCTTTGCTTGATGGTGCCTCATTTGTTTAATATATTATGACAAATTGTTGACACACAACCCAAAGCAATACTTGTATAGGTAAAAATAGAGGCTTTTATAGTCCTGGGGGTACTCACTAAAATTTTATATGGGAAGGCTTCGCCCTGAGTTCCTACCCCTTACCGCAGATTGACTCTTGTAAGCTACCACAAAAACTTGGATTTTCCACTGGCTACTATTGGGAGTTGCAGTGTAATAACAACAGTTTTCCTCTCCATTTAATTTGTCATTTTATTCCTAGATTGCAGATATACACAAACTTGTAAGTGACAAAATGGACATCACCTGCCTAGAAAACGAATATGCTATGGATGATTTTGTATACCAGTCTAAAATCAAGGTACACTACAAAACAAAACTTATCCATATCTCGTTTAGTATAATATTTAAATACTAATTCTGTAAGCTTCTTGAAAATGTTTATACTATAAGTTTAAACCTGCACTCTTTTAATCAACACTAATATTATAGGTTAAACACAAGGCTACAGCTTAAAAAACAGAGTAATCCCTCCCACCCAGAGAAGTTGTTGATTTTTTTCATTTTCATTTTCTTTTCTCTTAATTAACTACAGGACCTAGCTTTGACATATTCACATGTGAGAAAAACAAGAGGTGATGGGAACTGTTTCTACAGAGCTTTTGGATTTTCTTACCTTCAGGAACTGATTGGCAATCAAAAGGAATATGAGAGGTGAGACATGGCAATAAAAAATATTGCATGACCAAGAAATACACTGGTCAGCAGAGGAGATGCTTAAGTACCCCATATCTGCAAGCCAGTTGACTGCGGTCAAACAAGTCTTTACAAATGTACAAAAACTTAATTAGAGTGCTTCTAAAGTTTGACACTTTACCATAGTACTGGGACATCATTCAAGGGGAATGACAACACTCTTCACTGCTTTAAGTTACTGATAACTGTGTAATGCTCTTCTTTTGTTTGGGGCATGGCTTTAGCTTTAAGTGGGATTTATTAGCTTCTGACAAAAAGACTCCAGGACATGAGACTCTCATGTGTGATATTATATCCCATGTCAATGATATTTCATCACCCTTTACTTACATGTACAGTTGTAGTCACTGTAAACCATTTTAATAGCCCACATTCAATGTATTATAATATTCTAACATGACTCCAAACAGGCTTTAGGCTCAAAATTGCAAATTTTTTACAACTCTGTTGTCTCGCAATTCCCAGAGGAGACTTGAGCACAAAGAAAACCAAGTATAGAAAAATGACCAGAAAGCCTCAGAGTCATTAGAATTTTAATATATCAAATGTTGGCTATTAAAATACAACATTTGACCAATTTTTTTTAAACATTCCACCATCCGTTGTAGACCACAATTTCCTGCAGCATTTCTCTGTGTAGTCACACAAAATGAAAATGCTTCTCTTAAAGCAGTCTGTAATACTCTGTTGCGAGTGAAGACGTAATTGGTAAATAAATAAATACACTGGGGAGCATTGTGCAACAACACAAAGAATGGATTCATGGGAGACTAGTTTTAAGGTCTAGGCTCTGGTGTTTAGACTTAATTAATGCTGTCACTTTTCGTTGTGTCTTTAAACAGATTTCATTCCTTAGCATCTCAAAGTAAAGATGAACTTGTCTCTCTTGGATTCCCTTCCTTTACAATTGAGGACTTTCATCAAGTTGTAAGTTAACCAAAAGTTAATCAAAATGGTCAAATTGTCATACCATGAATGTCCGAAATATGCCTGTATCTTTTGTGGTACTAATAAGTGAAATTTCCTTTAAAAAAAAAAAAACAAAACAAAACAAGAACTGTTATCCTTTAATGTCTTTAAATGTCTTAATCTCCAAAACATCTGTGGGGTATTGAGGGGAGTTGTCAGTTGCTAATCACTACTTAACTAGCAGAGGTGGTATGTTTGTGTGTTTTCAGGGGATACTGCTCGATACACTGTCTGAGTTTTTGAGGAAGATGGAGAAATATAAAGCCTTTCCTAGACCACATTCTACTTGTGATTGCATTTTATATAACAGACTTAATTCTTTTCACCCATGGACTAGCCATTATCTTCATGTGCATTCACTTTTTGAGCTTACTGGTTTATTGAGTCAAAACAAAATGCTTAGCTCTACTAACTATGTAACCTTTTTTACTCAGACGTGGTTCTCATCGAGTGTTAGTTCATTAAAATAATATATGTCCTTTTGTCTGAATACCAGTTCATGGAAACAATTGAAGCTGTTGGAAAAGAACAGTCTGTTGAAGAGCTTGAAAAGGTATGAATAAAAATTAAACTTCAACTGATCACGATGAGGTATTTTATTTGGGTTGTTTTCCTACTCATAGGCCTTGTCAGGTACTCGCATTGTGGGTGGCTCCCTGATCCTAAAATGTTGTACAATAATTGGTATTATAGGATTTAGTGAAGCTGAAAGCAATGGCGGAATTGCACACATTTTAGGTATCCTACTGATGAACAGTTACAACTTAAATACATGTTTTGAGCCACAACAATTAATTTGCTGTCCTTCATCTTTGAATTAACAGATAATTAATTCTAAGCAAAAGCAATTTTTACACCAGTAATTCTGCCTAAAACCAAACAGTGTCTTTTTTGTTGCAGTTGTTCTGTTACCTCCCTCTTATGGCCATGTAGCCATGCACCTATACACCAATATTATTCCTCTCCTCCCTACAATGGGTCTCTGTTGTTCTTTGTATGCTTCACCCTTCATGAATTTGGCCTTTGGGTGGAGATGTGTTGATTCATGGTTAGACTAGCTAGACTGTTCACATTCCCTTATTTTTTCAAAGATCATGAGGATTGAGCACTTACCAGTACGGGCAGCCAGCATGGTTTCATGTGTACTGTCCACCACTCCCTAAGTAGATTTGACACTCATTTAAGATGGCCACCCATAATGCAAAGTTCTCAACCGCAACGATCTTATGGCCAACCCCAAAACTTACTCTCTGTACAAGAACAAAGTTTTAGAACCCAAGGTATTCTCTCCCTTTTTGAATGTCTGCTATGATGCCTTTAATTATGCAACATTACAAAAAAATGTTACTCAATAGCTTTTGTGTTTGGGGGCATACTGTGTGTAGTAACAGGTTTCCCAGTACTGAAGAAATTTTCCATATATTTAGTTTATTGTGGAGCTACCTAACTTTCAGGAATTATTTAAATGACAGTTTTCTTTGTTTTCTCAGATATTCTGTGATGATGGCCTTTCAAACTACATTGTTGTATATCTACGACTTTTAACATCAGCTCAACTTCAGAGAAAGTCTGACTTTTTCCAGAATTTCATAGAAGGAGAGAGGTCAATTAAAGAATTCTGTAGCCAGGTACACATTTTCCCTGCTTATTATTACAGGTATTAATTTTTAGGCTTGGGCATTCCACAGGAAGCTAATTATTAATGTTGCCCTTGTCAATGCTTTGAATGTTCTTCCTCTCTCATCAGGAAGTAGAACCAATGGCCAAAGAAAGTGACCATATCCATATCATAGCACTGACTGATGCCCTTGGTGTTTGTGTCCGTGTGGTATACATGGATAGGGGTGGAGATTCGTCTGTCAATCATCATGACTTCCCAGAGGATGGCTCACGCCCCCTAGTCTTTCTACTGTATAGACCTGGACATTATGATGTTTTGTACCAGAAACAACTATAATAGAATTTTTTTAAAATCAGTTAATTTCAACATGAAATAAATACATTTTTTTCTGTAGGATATTTATTTTTACTAAAAGTGGTTTGTACAGAATATTTGTGAATAAAGGTATCTGTTAAGTTTGATGTTTCGTTGATTGTTCTTGTGGTAGATAGTACTATTCTTTCATAACAAGTGTTTCCAAAGTTCACAACATAATCTGCAATACTTCTTTTTGGATGTGGCCCAGGGTAAAGAAAGACATTTATATTCTATTTCGCGAACAGTCAAGTTCACAGGGGGTGAGGGTGGGGGGTACTCCTTACAATGGCCTATACAGCAGGGAGGCTCCTCTGGAAAGGGGTACGTTTTTTAGACTTCAGGTATATGAAAGGGTAGGGAAATCTTTCATTTTTGTTTATAAAAAGGCCCACGATGGCTAACAGATGAATTTTATGGTTTAAAAAGTCAAGAAAACGTTCTGGTTTTGATTGATTCACATTTAAGAGACAGTGCATTTGAGGTAGTTAAAAAGGATGCTAAGTTGGAAACAAACTTATCTGATTATCTGAAAGGGGTACCTCTTTCGTGAAAAATGGTATATAAATGGGTAAGGGGCCCGGGGGGCACTTGGGCATCTTTTGGGTGGGTATGTGCCTCCCGGGAGACCAAATTTGCATCCCGTTCTAAAAAAAATTTCCCCTAACATTGATACCCCGTTCTAGAAATGGGCCAATTTTTATACCCCGTTCTATAATTCGCCCTAAAACTGATACCCCGTTTTAGAAATGGGCCAAATTTTTTATACTCCGTTCTAGAAAGTTTGTAAATTGAGATAGCCCTGTTTTTTTTTTAAAGATATTTCTTTATTTGTTCGACTTATACATCAACTAAATGCTTCTTCATAATCATCCGGATTACGTTTCCTGTGCATGTGGTAGCAAGATCTCTCACCACGCACAGAACCACGCTCGTAAGCTAACGATTTTCGTTCTCCTCCCCCTTCCCTTTCTTTTGAGCCCGTCTTCATCCCCCTCGGGTACATTATGGACTCGTTCCAGACTTTATCCAAGATGGCGCGGAGTCAGCGCTCGCCGCTCGCGCCAAAAAACGCCCGCCCTGCACGCCAAAACACAGGGTGCATCAAGAGTACAACAGTTTGCTTGTTAACGCATTGAACCGTATTAAGAGCAATCTGTTCTTGAATAATTTCAAATGGCTGTTTACAAAACTGGAGCTTTCGTGCGTTCGAAATATAAATACATCGACTCATGAATAAAGTTCATCATCATCATCGTCGTCATCATCAGTACACGCCCCCAGGGGTAAAATTACACCCATTCCATAACCCCTTTTCAGACCTTAAAAACCTTCACAGAAAGAAAATAGGACCCCTCCCTTGTCGCTCGTACTGTGTATAGCGTATACAGGGTATAGTACACCCTTTCCCACTCCCCCACCCTCACGGACCATGCGGAAAGTTCTGCCATCGCCGGACCTTCTACTGTAAAACTGTGACGTGATTGTATACTTATATGGTACTTGTCATCCTTATATTTTGGGGTAATTGTTTGACAGCAGCTTTTAGAAGCATTTTCAAGATGTCATGGAACGACTATATCGACAATCTTATTGCTCAGTCGAAAGGTAGCTCGGGTAAAGCCAACATCGACAAAGCTTGCATCATTGGCTTGTAGAACGGAAATATGTGGACAACGCAAGAAAACCCTCACGTTTTAAGGCTAACACCAGGAGAAGGAATGATTATCGCTGAATGCTTCAGGAAAAAGGATTTTACTGGGTTTTCAACAGATATCCGTGTTGAAGATGAGGGCTATATTTTCTTACGCGATATTGACAACAAAATGGTTCTGGCAAGGAGGAGCGATGCCGGAATCACGATGCAGGCTTCTAAAAGTGCAGTTGTTATAGCTCGCACACGCGAAGGTGGCCAACAAGGGATCACTAACATAGCCGTTGCAAAGATTGCTTATTACCTTGAAAGTGTGAATATGTAATTGCAATAGAACTAGAAGGCCTTCAAAAACGCTACAACACCGATATTGAACATGAACTAGCGAGAGTTCCGGTTAGGACAGATTATAGCGTGACTTTGATTTTTACTTCATCACGCAATAAGGATGATAAAAGGAAACTTAACATAAAAAGGATCAATAGGACCTGAAATTGCAATAAAATCAATGTTTTCATAAGCTTTTCAAAAACATATTTGTAGAATGTTGCTGTTTTCATGTTTGTTCATTTCTTTTTTTTTTTTTTTTCAGTGCAGTATTTCCTGTAATCTTGTACGCGGACGTTCTTTGTGTCGTAACGCAACGTTCCTCCCCAAGTTTTACTCGACGACACAAAGGAGCTTGATCCGATTCAGGGTCATTCAGGTTTTGTGGACGCATGTGTGCATCATTTTGCGAGGGTCAGGGAGTCCTAAAGACGAGATACTAGCCCCTGCCCCAAGTGTGCCCCCCCCAAAAAAAAAGTGTCCAAGGGTCTCCAAGAAGCTAAGACATTGAAGAGGTACAAAGTGGTAGAAGTACTAGCTCCTTCTGCTTCACACCTAAAAGTGATGGGACAGGGAGGGATGATTGGGAGATGTAAGGAAGTTGTCTTTCTTGCACTCCTAGTTTTTATCCCAATTTTCCTTAATAGTTTTCTAAAGGTTCAGTCTTAATCTAGTAAAAAAAGCTCACCGATTTAATAAACGAGGACGAATTTCCCCGTCCACATGGACCATCCTCCTGTCGCGTATTTCCAGGACATTTCATGGAAGCTTACATGGCACGGTGTCAACAGTATATTTTATTTCCCACAGGTCTTAGCGACACATTTCCATGGTGATTCGCCATTTTGACCATCTGTGGTGCATGTGAAAAAGAAAGTTGTATATTATTTTAAATTCTACGCCTACATTTTCACAGATATGGTAAGTCTTTTTGTTTTCAAAAGTGAAAAATATTTTTTGTTACCTAAATAACGTTTATATCTCGTTTTTGTAGTCCAAGGGAACAACAATCAAAGACGCTTTAGCGAGCTGGGTGAGTACAAAGTTCTCATGTAACGCTAAACTTTATTTTTTAAATTCTTGAAGCTTCATAGAGAGTTGGTGGCGTGTTCAAAGTAATATACTGCTCCTTTTTTTAATATAAAGTATAATTGTGACACTCTACTTATCATGTTTCGCATGAACCATGTGTCCAGACCTCAAAAGTAAATTCAGTGTTCGTTTATTAATATTGCCTTTCTTCTAATGTGTCACAGGAAAAGAAAAATGAGCAAAAAGCCTCAGAATCAACAGAAATCAAGTTGTATGCACAATATCCTCCAATAGAAAAGATGGATGCCTCCTTGTCTACTCTTTCTTGCTGCGAGTAAGTACTGCTCAGCACAGGCATCCCAAACTCACTAAGGGAGCACTCCTTGTTGAAAATTAATACAATTTATAGGGTTCATATGGGAACAGCAAAAATTCAAAAAAACTTGCCTTATTTTAGCTTATTGTAAAGAAACGAAATGAAATACACTTACTGGTGCTGTATTTTGTATCCTAGTGTATTTCTGAGGCAATTTTGGCTGGTTTTGCCATACTGTCTTAACCTTCATTAGAAGAACTTAAAGCTACACACTTCAGTGGCTCCAAGGCCCAGACTTTCCCTCGATCAAGGGGGATTTTTATCGCAAAAATTGGCCTGATCGGCCTTTTGACTGTTATAACATGAAGCTCAATAACATACACATTTATTGTGAGTATTTTTTGAGAGGATTGTCGCCAGTTTTCAGGGCCCCTGTTACTTGTCGCTTTTTCCACTTGGATGTTCTCAGCCATTGAGCATTGAGTTGAGAATCAAGACTTGCACAACAAAAAATAATAGATGTAAATTTGCCTGATGTTTAAATACAGGTCATATTTCTCACTCAAATATTTACTGCTAACAAATTCATTGCCTTGTTTTTTATTGTGTACTAATCATTTGGAACTGTTGATTTTGCAGAAAACTGTCTTTGTCAACAAACTGCATTGAGAAAATTGCCAACCTCAACGGTTTAAGTAAGTTTCCACTCTTTGATGAATCTGCATGTATATTGTAGCTCATGGGAATTACCTTATTTCTTGCAAGCTACGTGTACATGAACATACATGTTCTTACATATTTCTTGAATGTCTATGTCCTTAAGAAGTAAATTGTTTGTTCCCATTGATCTTGTACAGTAGTTGCATTTGAGATTTCTTTCATTAACCTGCAAAGAAACTAGAATTTTTCTCTATACTAGGCAAAATTGTTTGCCTTTGCCACTCAGGCATAAACTATATATGGCATTACTTTGTGACAGTTCTGCAAGGCCTATGTAAACCCTGGTGATTTAGTGATCTGTTTGCAAATATCTGTTCTCTAACAGCAGTGTTTATCTTTTTCAGGAAATATCAAAATCTTGTCACTGGGAAGAAATAACATAAAAAATCTCAATGGTTTGGTAAGTGGTCAGATCGCAATACCAGGTGTAATATTCAATTAGATTATTATTCATTACTGTCGAAATGCAGTTCAGTAGTTTTTTCTGTGTTTTAACTTGGAGAATGTTTGATTTGTCTCTAGGAAGCAGTAGCAGACACACTGGAAGAGCTTTGGATATCCTACAATAACATTGAAAAGTTAAAGGGTATTGGTGTACTGAAAAAACTTAAGGTAAATGTTGTTTTATTTAGCCTTGTCTCTCATTTATAAAAGCTGTGCAAGTATTTTTTTGGTGTGGAAAATTCAAACCCTTTTAAGTGTTCCTTTGCTTTGCAATCTGTAGGTTATTTTTATAGGAACTCTGATAGTCATAGTTCCTCACTTAACCTTACAAAAAATATTAATATGTACATTACATACTGACCTTGCAGTTGTAAGTTTTTAAAACTTCTCTTTTAGAAAATTATAAGAAAAATATGGTTAAAGGAAAGTAAAATTTAGTAACCCTAAAATAAAATATCAGGAAGATGGTGGTACTGTTGCTCATGTTCACTTGTCTTGATATTGTGTACTGTCCACATAGGGAATTTTATCTGTGATTATTATATTTGCTAGGTTCTATATATGTCAAACAATCAAGTCAAGGCATGGGATGAATTTCAGAAGCTGGTGAGTGAAACTATACAACATCAAAAAAATCGCTTGAAACTGTTGGGTAATTTTAGACTGAACCAAATGATGACAGAATTGACTGAAATATAACAACATAGTGGCTTCATACTGTAGAAGAATACGGTCAATTCTCACCCTGTGGACGCCATGCTATTACGGACACCAAAGTAGACAGATAAATTCCTGGCAAAAGTAATTATTACATATTTTGGATTGGAATAAACTCCTGTTGACAATGACTCTAGCCACTAAGGGCACATTTAACTTGTGGTCCCAAAGTTTGCCCACAATGAAGTGATTTACTGTGAATGGGCCTGTTTTTCTCCATTTGTATTATGACGTGATTAATGATCATCAGGAGCGTTATCTGCCTGTACATGTACGGCAATAACTTTGTTAATAGATGGTATTTCTTTCACCAATTTGTACTTTTAAATATGCCAGAAGTAATGAAAAAAGCAAGGTCTGCGTCATTGAAAAGTATCTTTACTTACAGTGCTGTTAGAGTAGCCGAGGATAAAGATATAAACAAATAAATAAATAATGTAGAGGTTAGACTATTCACAGTCCCCTATTTTTTCGTAAGATTGTCAGGATAAAGGGCTTACCAGTACGAGTTGCTATCTTGGTTTCAGATGTACCAAGGGGAAGGCATCAGGGTTTATCATCCTCTGCCCCCTAAGTAGATTTGACACCCATCCACAGGCTAAGTTTGGAATATTTGAAACCAAGACTTAAAATGCTAAATCTCAACGATCTTACGAGAAATTAGGGGACTTTGAACAGTCTATTTGGAGGTAGTTCATTGACATGTTGAGAGATCTGTTGTAACTGTTCTGTTTGACTTCCAACTTGCTTCTTTACAGGCTGAGCTCCCACTTCTCGAAGATCTTTTGTTTGTTGGTAAGAAAGTTACAATCCTGCTACCACTCAATAAAGTTGCAATTAGTGCACTAGTAATTGTCAACAAATGTGACAAAGTACGGTGGGGACAACAAACTATTTATCGTCCATAGAGTTCAAAAGTACTGTGCATAATAATACTATAGGCCACGTCTCACGACACCTGCACATAACATTGTAAATTCTGTGGGACGTTAAAGAACCCACACACTTTTCGTAAAGAGTAGGGGATGTAGTCCCTGGTGTGGTTCTCTATCTCTCATGGGGGGAGGGACTGTTATGGGCCCACAGTAATTGGCACCACGCACTGTTGTGGTGACCCTACCAAGTATTGGCAAACCTAAGTAAAAAACGTTTTGTGGTTACATTAAGTTATGAGCCATTTTTACACAATCTTTTGGCTTCAATTAGTCTTCAATCAGTCAAAAAGCTTAACCAGTGTCTTGGGTTTTATACGTTGCCCAAAATAAATACCGGTATGTTGTTTTTTTAGGGAACCCACTTGAAGAAAAACACTCTGCTGATGGTGACTGGAGAGAGCAAGCGACCAAAAGACTGCCACGCCTGAAAAAACTTGATGGTAGGATAATAATGTGCTTTTCGACTTGGCTCATTAGAAATGCCAGTCTTTGATTATTATTGGGTCAAATTCTGCCACGGTGAATCATCGTGGTTATAGGGCCGTTAATAACGGATTACAGGAGCGAAAGATCTTTTGATATTTTTCTACAGGTGTTCCTGTGGTACGGCAAGATGAAGAAGAGGAAGAAGAAAGTTGAAAGAAAAATTGATCAAAACGAGTTTCTAAACAGAAGTGTAAATTGCGGGCCGTTTGATTGTCTTATGCAGAGTATGACCTTGTTTAACAATGTATTTTGCAAGGGCGTTGTCAGTGGGTATACATATTTCTTTGTACATTGTTTGTTTTCTCTTGTATAACTACAGGGCGTGGTTTTGGATCGTATAATTATCTTTTATTTAAGCTATGGATTTAGGATGTAACAAAAAAATTAAATGGTACATAGTGTACTAAATTTATGTTGCCAGTCAAAGTGTGACCTGCATCGAAATAGTGTGATTTCATTTACTGATGATGGTCGAGAAACATTTTTAACGCATAAACTCCTTTTTGAATAAAAAGGGGAAAAAAGTGAATTGCCTGTATTTCCACTGGGTGAACGAAATCTTACCAAGTAAAGACAACTGCCGTCCATTTTTCTCCCTCGTTTCGGCCAAGAAACGTTTGTCCTCGGAAGTTACAGCACGTTCTGTCCTTCCGCAATTTTTCGCGCGATTTTCATATTTTTGCGTTACGCGTTCGACGTTCGCGTTCGCCTTTCCATGTTGCACTGTGTGGCCAGTTTCTTCATGGTCTGTAACGAATGAAGGGTGTGTCCGTAATCCAAGGCATTCCTTATTCATCGGTTTCGAAAACTTCACTGTAATGAGTGTCTGCAAAGGTTTTATTTCGAAACGTTGCTAGGGTAATAATTTTAATTTGTTGTCATTTTTGTTGTTTTTGATTTAGGAAGCTTATCCAAAAAATTTCTTGTCAGCAGAGGCCTTTTCTCCCTGGTATTTGCCCGCCGAAAACCTGAGAAAAGAGACCTCTACTAGAAGGAAAATTAAAAAGAGCCTGTTACCAACATTACAACAGGGGCTGGGTGTAGAATAGACTGCTTGCAATCCATCTATTTCTTAAAATCCGTCCAGTTCTTGTCCCAGCCAGCGTGATTGCAAGTAACGACGTCACAATAAGTATATTAGGAGTCCTGGGTATTTATATTACGAGACGCCCTCGTTTATTGCGGCTCGTGTACATGGGTTCATCGTGGAGTAACTTAACAAAGAAAAATGAGAGACTGGTCGCAGTCTAGGAACAGAACGGGTGCATCGTAGCATGGCAAATACTTAGATCTGTATAGTATAACCTAAACAACATTTCGTGACGTTGTTATTTTATTTTTCAGTTTTTAACTCGCTATAATTATACACACTGTACTTGCGAACCTTTTTAAAAACAATATATTAATATATTATAGCTTTAATTTGTCATGAAACACAAATTTGTTTTAAAAGTCATAAAACTGTTAATGCAATGACGGCGAAATTTCGACCATGTTCTTTGTTACTGTTTGTCTATCTTCAAGGACTATTTAACAAACTTTGTTAGTAAAGGGCTAAGTATTTGTTTGATTATTTAAATGCCCATTGTCCGTGACGTTTATACTAATTTTGTCAGTAATTGTGTTATTCTTCTGCTTTGCATGATATACCGAGTGGAAAGCAAAAATAAAACGCGATCCTACGGTACTCCAAGGCGTTTTGGAAGTGGTGCGTTTTCAGTGATGCAGTTGTTTTCCTCAATAACATGTTCTGTCAGTAGCTGTGCTCACATTGTTGGTGGTTGCTTCTAAAATGTTCTGCCGGCAATGAAGCCAACTGAAAACCAACTGTGTAATTTCACCGGCGCATTTTGGGCATCCTACTGAAGAATTATTTCGCACATGTTTTTGCGCAAACAACAATCGCCCACAGTCTGTCCTCTTTAAATTCAATTCAGTACTTTTTGGGAGAAAAACCCGTTATAATGTGTGTTCAAATCAGCTGGAGAGTCTAACAGTAGTTAAAAAACTTGCATCGTCTTTACCGACGGCTATGCCTTCCCAAACGAAATGGCGCGAAAAATTTGATTCTCCAACCGGAATTTCTGGTTTCTGGGATCGCCCCGAGATCACTCGGCTGGCTTTTTAAAGAGACTTGATTGTATTACAATTTACCAAACTCGACTTTTCACACATGTCCAATATACACAAACGGATACGATTCGTCAAACCAATGGTCCATTGAAAAGAGCTCTTGGTACCAGTCTATCACATGACTTTAACAAGCACTGATATACTGAATTTATACCGGTCCTCCTAAAAATCGGCCACAGATAGCCAGAATGAAAATGGACTTCACTGAAAAAGAGATGTCGTAGATGAAAGTGGATTATCCTCTGAGAATTCACTAACTAATGTCCATTTTTTTGTACAAAGACTATTTTGATCAGAAACAACCAGTTTAACTTTTTTGTTCACGTATTCAGTTGTCTAACTATGCTGACGATATCACAGGGCAGGTATGATTTCTTGATTCTGGGAATCCACGACGTCTTAGCAGCACTGTTTTTCATTTTCAGCACGGTTTTTGCTTGCGTGAAGTCTTTAGTCATCTGAAACCAGCAAACGAAAATGTGTTAATTTAAGAAACACTCATCTATACAGTAGCTTAGATTCGAGATAAAATGAATTGTAAATCCAAAGTTTGTGCCTGACTCTGGAGCATCAAACTGAACCTGGTGAACTTGGGAACGAGGAATTTGGGGCAAATTCCTCCCCAGGCCTAACAAATTCGGAGAATGAGGTGGTTGTCTGGCAAAAAATGTTAATTGTGTGTGTAGGAATGTCTTTTCCCAGAGGCCCTCGGCTCTTCTTTTAGAACGAGATATTTCTTAGTTTCTACAACTCGTGGTCGAGGAGTCTAAAAGGCTCTTGGAAGAAGAACGAGTTCTCCTGTTTTGCTCGGTCCAGGAGGCTGGGTGTTTCTGCCTTGGTGTTGCGGGAATCCTGTAGGTTAGCTATTGTTTTGTGGTGTAGGTAATTTTCAGTTTCTTCTGTATCACAAACATCATTTGGTGATTGCACCTAACCGCAACATCAAGAAACTACCAGAGAACCATTGTTCAGGGGCACCCAACGAGAATATAGTTCAAAACCACATAAACATAACATTGTTGAACGTACTTTAGCATTTAAAGGGTATATAAAGGCTTATTTTTATCCCCTAAAAATTTTTCATCTGTTCGGTTTTCCTAGCTGAAAGTATAGTGATCCGAAAATTATAGGGATCAAAATTTACCTAATTTCAGCCAGAAGAAAGGCTCCCGAAAATTCTAGGTGACCTTTTTCGGGTAAAAATCCGTTAAAAATGGGCAATTACACGATTTTTTTTGAAGTTCGAAAATCCCAGGAGAGGCAGGCAAGCAAGAAATGTTTCAGAAAATGATCCGAAAATTCTAGACCTCAAATCGTCTTCCGAACAGATAATGTTCCGAAAATTGTCGTTGGGTGCCCCTGATTATTTTCAAATTCCAAAAAGACCAGCAATTCGATGGGTATAAGATTATCAATTATTTATCTACAAACCGATATGTTCATAAATAAAGTCCATTTATTTATCTATTTATTTTCCTTGGACAAGTCCATCGGTGAATTCTCATTGGTAAATAAAAATGAGAGCTCTGAATCATATGACGTAGGGTCTATAATCATGATTTTGACTTGTAATTAGTTTAACTCTACAAGGTTAGTTTAGATATTTCGGATGCGCTTTCACTTTCTGTGATATGCAAATCAGCTAAGAAAATGGTATCTAATGCGCATGTGCATCAGCTGACTGTGTCCCTTTTAAAAGGTTATCTTACCTCCGCAAAATCTTTCCCTTGCAGCAACTACAATTCTCCTCAGTCTTGAAAACGATCTTGCAGTAACCACGTCTCTTGAACTAGAAGCTATAGATAAAGCCTCCTTCATGTAAAAATTGTGACCAACTGCCACTACCATGATATGAATGCCTCTTTTCTTCAATTCCGCGGCCTCCAGTGCCGTTATCTTTGGATTTGAGGAGATACCATCCGTCATCACCATAAGGAACTTGGGAACCCCGGGACGGGACATCCCTGCGGGTTTCTCAAGGAACATTTTATTTCTCGCCAGTCTCAAGGCGTGGTCCGTTCTTGTTCCGCCTTTGACCCATTTCATTCTATCAATGGCAGCGTTGACGTCACTATGGGTAAAGTAATCTTCGAATCCAAATATGGTATTGGCTCTGGATGAAAAGCGCGTGAGAGCCACGTGAATGTCTGTCTGGGAGATTTTAAATTTCTGTAGCAAGAATTTGATGAATTCTTTGGATTTTCGGAAACCAGACTGCCCAACACTACGAGATGAATCAACGAGAAAACCGATGTCTGCACGTTGGTTGCAAACTGAAGAAATTAAAAATAAAACACGCCATCATGTCAACTCAGCCGATGAATATTCGTCACCCAATGCCCAAATTAATACTACGTGGTTCTCAGTCGTAATCGTTCCCTTGTTTTTCGTGATGAACAGGTTTTCTTATCATGGCATATTTTTAACAACGCAGGTGGGGGCGAGAGAAATGTTGGTTTTCGTTGACGTCACTAAAATTTGAACTACAAAACTATCGATCCTACAGAGATTTTTTTCATGATATACTGGAGCAGCTGAAAACTAATATTCATACAAATGTAAAAAGTATCACTTTTATGTTTATGAGTTCCTTGAGAGATAAGTTCATGCTTTTGTTGCAAAACACGGCGGCAGATGTTTCTGTTTTTTTCCGGCTGCCATGCTGGTACCCATCCGGATGGGCACCAGCATGGCGTCCACACAAACCTCTATTAATAACATTTCCTTCAGATAGCTCGTATACGAAATATTCCTCTGACCTGGATCTTGGCGAGGGTTTTTGCATATTTACCTCCTTTCATTTCCCAGATTCTGTTCTGTGGGACGGTTTAGACTTTTATGTTGATCTATTTTGAATGGCGTGACACTGAAAACCAGCAATAATATAGAAATGAACTTACCTCTGATTTGACAAATAAACGGCAGGTGATGCAAACAATATTCATCTTTCCATTTTGCCCAGTGAGGATAATCTGCAGTAATAACAGCACAGTCTTCCTTTCTACCCCTCTGTTGCCCCGACGGCTCCCCCCTGATCCATCGTTGGTACGTCACGGGCGTGCCATCGGACCAAGAAAAATGGCTCTCGTTGTAAAGATCTGAGGCCCCTATCCACAGTTTGGAGAAACCAAAATGATTCCTGAGCATGCGCAAGTTCTTTTCAAGGAATTTGCTTTCTCTTGCGTTGCGCACGCTGGCCAGGTGAGCGCCCTCTGCTTCCCGACAGTAAATTTCTGCTTCCGGCCACGTGAGCATTTCGTACTGAAGGAAAACGAACTTATATATGTAGCGACCGCTGTCAAACTCTGAAAAAAAATTGTGATGAGAACAAGAAATGAGCCCATCATTACTACTTCTTCCATTTTTTTTTGAGAAATTGTTGGTTATCCCATAGAGTTAATTTGGGCAGCATGTTCCCTTTTTCCTACGCAACCTCGTAATAGCAAATAGAGTTTTCACATGACGTCACACCCGCCATATTGGTGTCCAAAAACAATGAAACGGTGGCCATATTGGTGTTCCAAACCAATCATGTGGGAGTTGAACCTTCTTATGTTTTAACATATTCTTTTTTCTAATACTTTCGCAATACTGCTGGCCACGTGAGTGACAAGGCTGTTTAGGAAAAAAGAAACAGCTCCTTCCTCTTATATGGAACGCAACCCTAGTGTATAAATGAAGAAAATGTCAAGAAGCTGGAGACTTGTTGGATGGAGTAGTTGAGGGAAATGGTTAATGGTCGATGGAGTGGACTCCCAACCCCTGAAGACGCAGAGGATACAGAATTTACTCCGATACGCCAACAGGCGCATTCTACACATAACAAAAATCAACCGTCTCAGAAATAGGACCCTTGGATAAATATCGCTAAATTATATAAATGTCTCTATTGAGCAGGCAAGGAGTTCTACGGAAGATAAGAGTGGTTTCGCTGCATTGGCTGACCGAGTGGTCGTCAATACAACTCCATGGTAACATGATCACTGACTTGAGGATTTAACTGTACTGTACTGTATTCCCCAAAACATTCCCATAGTGCAATTCGACCCAAACCGATTCTGTCTCACTCTCAAACTCAGACTTACCGTAGCCAAATCTCTTGTAATCCACAAGTCTTTTCGGGACACCTGTGAAGAGCAAAAAGAGACCGTCAACTTGTACTCCTCGATGCTTCTCTTACCGTAAGGGAAAATCAAGAAAGACTCTATTCTAATCATAATCAACTTTTTTTACTCTCCGAAAACAATTATCAGTCGTATCTATTCGCTTCCTCTTAGCTAACCTTTAATTTTGCAAATGTAGCCTTTGGTTTCATAACAGTCAGCTTCTATCCAGCTAGCTATATCTCCAGTGGATTTTAGCACAATGCACATATCGTAATCATGATCTGCCGCGTTAAGTCCACGTTCCCGGAATGCAGCGCCATACCTATGCGAAGGGAATCAGAAAAACCAGTGTTAAACCAATAAAAGACACTCGCATTGAACGGCTTGGATGTTTATCAGTTCCTCCCTCGATAGATCTTCAAAGAAGGTGATTCTTTATATCATTATCTTTAATCGTTTTATTACCAGTAGTATAGGCTAATTTTGGCAATGGGCGGTCAGCTAGCTAGGCAGTAGGTGATGATAGATAGGGTTTGGTTTTAAAGACGGAGCCATAACGGCAGTAGATGGGAGACCGTTCCACACAGAAAACAGAGTACTTGTAGGCATCAACAAAAGCAAAGATTCAGAGGGGTTTGAATAAATTAATATCCCTTCCCTTGCTACCCCATCCTCGCTTCCCGTGAGCTTACTAGTAGGAAACGTTTTTTATGGTTCTCTTGTAAGTTGTTCATATTCAGACTCTTAGGACCAATCACAATTCGCTGAAACAACAGAACAAACCAATCAGAACTCGAAGAAAATGCGAGTAGCTGGCGCATCGCTAAGCGCGGGAAAACCTGTGTGAACAGGCCGGTTTTTGGTTTTCTCTTTACAACTGTACTGACTGATCTCTTACTCCTTATTGGCCGAGAAATTGACGCGAGATCAGATTCAGCCAATCACAAGCCGTGGTACTGATGCGAAACCAAGCAATCACAAAATGATTTCGACATTAGGATCTCTCTATTAAAAGAGGCCATGGCAACAACTGGTTACCGGTCGTTTCGATACAAGTTAATTCGGTCAAGTTTTAAATAGTTTCACGTCCTTGGCTTAAAGAATGAAGAATATTCACCCAAAATGTTTTCTTTTTCACGCTCAAACTAAGTGAACGAAATTTGTGTGCAGTTTCACTTCTTGAGTTCGTATCGAAACGACCGGTTTTCCGACAACTACTTACTCATTGAAGTTTTGTCCATCAGCCCATTTGTAAGCCTTTCCAAAGAGCTCCTGCTCTTCCTTAGCTCCAATCCAGAGTAGTTCAGGTTCATTTGGCGAGCTAGTCAGATGCTGAATCTTCTCGTTCAAAAACGAATTCTCATCCTCGTGATCGTTCGTTATGGTCACCAAGTGCCCGCCTTCGTGCCCTTGGCATATCTCTTCAGCCTCGTACCATGTTCGTCTGTCATCGCTGGCCAATACTATCTTGTAAGAGTATTCACCCTTTTCGAAAACTGCGAGAAAAGAGGACAAAGAGTTACCAGGACCTTAGTTTGTTGAAAGGGTTCTTCAACAAAAAAAGTAAATGAAAAAATAACTGTTTTAGTTCAAGATGATAGTAAATTTAGTTAGCTTGGTTATTCGATTTTCGTGGATAAAAAGCAAAGAAAGAAATTTTAAGAACCGTGGAAGGGATTTTCGGTCAGTCTGCTACAATCGGCCCCACGCACCTTTCCCGGTTGTAACTGTCACCTTCCGGCTTCCCAGAAAACAAGCTGGAAAATATTATGATGTTTACTTTTCTGGCAGAGAAATTCTTAAACTGACTTCACTTAAAACTATGCATCATCTGGATGCACAAAGAGACTGTTGATCAGTTAGACAAGTAAATTAGATGGTTATGGCTGTCTGGATTGCTTTATGAGAAAAAATTCAGCCGGTTAAAGAGGTTTGATTTGTTAATGCCCGAGGGCGAAATCTACACAAGCTTTGAATTTCATAGCTTCCTTTCTTACGTAATGGCAGAATAACTTTCCGTTATAAAAACACTCTTTTTATCGTCAATCACTACGGTCGGACTGAAGGGGTTAAAATCTTGAAAACTGCCATTTAAAGTAGGATTAAGTTCGGAGTCTTCTCACGATCATCCCCTAGACTAAAGGCATTGTTTTACAATACATCATCATCTATAACCGGTTGTTTGTACGTTGCACGTTGTCAATGACATTCCCCGAAGGTGGTATATTTTGAATTTACAGAAAAGTTATTGCTAATCGACCGTTTTGGAAGAGTCAAAAGGTACCCACTCGTGACAAGTACCTATGAAAAATTAATACTCTTTTTTAAAAAAGAACACCATAGTCTATTACATTTCAGGAAAAACCAGTTTAAGTTAAGTAACCCACACCTTGAAATCCGAACCGACTGAATTCAGGAAATTACAAAAGTGCTGAATGCCTTCATGTTTTTGCAAAAATGCCCACTGTTTGCCGGTAAATGAAATCAGAAAGAGTTGTCCTTCTATATTTCGCATGTTTTGGATACCAAGTACTCGCACAGTTTAAAATATTCAAAGGTCAAATAATTGAAATTTAGTTCTCGCTTGGATAAAATCCTTCTCCGTGGTCCTTTTAAACGTGCTTTCTACAACTGAAATTCTTATTTTGTGATACTTTTAGCAAAGCGGATGAAAAAGGCGGGTTTTTTATCTGTAAAGTTTGTTCAGTGATACTGCAGTAAACAATTAACTCGAAACTACTTTTGAGTTTAAATTACCCTAACTTCCCCCCTCCCCCTCCAAAAAAGATATGTTCTATGCTGTACTTGCTTTTAAATGATGGATCAATAAATTTGAATGAATCAATCGATACATCAACTCAAAACTACTAATTTTGAATACTTTCCTTTGGTAATTTTTTGTACGTCTGTCCAAATTAACGCTGTTTACGCCCAACAACTGCGACATTGGGGACTTAACGGAAATCCCCGTATAACCAAGCAAATGATACTTTCACGTACATGTAGGGTATTCTTACAATATGGTAGGTAACGATCCGCTGAAAACTGTAGAATTCTGTTCATATCTTGTTGTCAGTAATAATTTAAACGAGGGAGCCAATACCTTATAAGCCCGGTGATATCCCCTTGGGCTTCCTCGCCATTAGCTTTTAAAATATTTAGATTTTCCTCCTTACGTACATCTTATGGCAAAACAAGAAACTGAAATGAACTGAACTAATAAGTTTGCTCAGTAGCTCAAAACGATTAAGGATCAAAAAGTGTACGCAGCCTATGCAGATGGTGTTTTCAGTGTTGTAACTCAGTTATTCCCGAATAAAAACGGCTCGATAACGCTCCAAGTAAGAAGTTATATTAGAACAAAAAGTTAAGTAAACTTACGATATCCTTTAGATGGAGAAAAAACATGAAACAACAACGCAACGAGCAAAAACTTCATCATGTGGCGTTATGTCAGGGGGTAATTCTTTTCTCAGCGAGGTTTCTTCCGTGCAAGCTATAGGAACGAACTAAACTTCTAAGTTCTAACCCCAGCTTAAAAAGCTTTTTTTTAGACGAAACTTAATCTTTCATGATATAAAGACGCATAAAACGCTACACTGATCTCAGTATAAATACTTTCAATGACAGCTGAACAGTGCGGCTGCTAAACTATCTGACCTTTTCTATCAGTTTACTATCATGTACAAGAGCGCCGACATATCTAATAATTTTGAAACATTTAAACCGGCCTGACCCAAGGAAAAAAGAAAAAACGAGACAATAGCCAAATTCATGCCAGGAAAAATAAGACGTAACTTACGTAAAACGCAAACTTCCCGCTAAGTCGCTTTTTATGTACTCATAAAAATGGTACAGTTGAGTCTAATTTAAGACTCTTCTTACGTCAGACACAGCTCTTTTTCCCCCTCATTTAGTTCCAATTTTAATTTGAGTTGCATTCAGTTTCATCATTTTAGTGTCATCAGAAATATATGGGAATTGTAACCTGAGGTCATCAAATCTGAATGTTTTTAACTTTAAAATTGGAAACGACTTCTCGAAAAAGTTTACTTACTAAAGCTTTACTCTTTGATTAGCTTAATTATAGTTAAGGTACAAAAACGTGGTTTTGCTAACTGCAATTGTGTCAATAACGTGAATTTACGATCTTAACGCAAGGTTGTCGTTAAGGTTAATTAACTATATAAATCTTGTTTGACTTTAATGAGTAAATTAGCCAACTGATTCACCTCCCACCAGTTGGGATTCTTAAACCTATTTTTTTTGCCATTTGAATAATTGATTCATTATCCTTGAAACGCCCCATAAGGAAAGAAGATAATCAAGTATTTAATTTTTTTTTAAATTTTGGGAAGGCAGGTTATTTATATCTCATACATGCGAGGACCTGATGATTTAACAATTTTTTTATTTTATCTTATACTTTATCATTTAATGCCGTTTAGTATTCTTTCCTTGTTAGTCATCTCTGCTTACTTTCTCTCCGATTAAATTATTTATGAAAGAGTGACTTTTGTTTCCTGCGGCGCCGAAGACCAAAATCAGCCGTTATAAGATACCCCATCATAAGTACGCTGCGTAGGTCTATATGCCGATTCATTGTATAAACGCTAGGGTTTCAGTTTAGTGAGAACAGATGGAGGCAAAATAGGCTACGACCTTGATCAAGCCTTTAATCTGACCATAGATCGATGTTTTACTCCAATAAGGGGGCGTTTGTATCAAGTCATCAATAGGAGGTCTCTTCCGTTACGTAATCCTGGTAGCTATGAAATTCAAGGCTTGTATGAAGTTTAATTAACTGGCCTTCAGGCCACAACAAACCTCTTGAACAGTGAAATGTTCTTTGATAACACTTCAGACAGTTAACGCCTCCTTAGACGCGTACACGACTGAACATGCACGTGCAAAGATGCACTAAAAGTGTGATTAGTTATTGCATAGAAGGGGGCATGTCTCGCCCCAAGGAATGGAATCCGTCGAGAAAGTCTTGGATTCTAGATTCCACTCCGTGGATTTCGGATGCTTTGTCAGTGGAACTGGAATTCCGGACTTTATAGTGGGATTCCAGATTCCTTGAAATGTTTTTTACAAGCAAAAATTCCCCGAATTCGGGATTCCACATGCAGAAATTTCCCGGATTTTGGACTCCGGATTCCCTTATATGGAGCAACAATTATCTTACTATTCGCTCTCTTTTTAAAAAGCTGAGACGTTTTCTTCGCATCAACTGAATTTTAAAATAATGGTCCAGTTTTGTTATTTCAAACCCATATTTAGGCACTGATAGAAGCTATTTCCTGTGCTCTGTTGCTAAGGATGGTAAGAATCATAGCTAATCATGGACTGACGGTTGAAAAAGTTGGGCCAACTTTTTCAAGTTTTAATGTCACGTCTGCAAAAATCACCAAACACCTATTATGTTTACTGCTGCCTCATGATGAAATTTGTTTGATACCTTCTTAATAACTCAGTTCTGTGTATAGGTAAAGGTCTTCAGCACAGAATTGAACTAAAACACCCTTTTCTTCCTCTACTCCAAGAGTCTGCACCATAAATAGTTGAAAAATTGTAGTCGTATTTAGACAGCTGTTTAGGCTCATCATCAACTCATTTTCCCGGCGTTTCTCCTGTTGTACATCTTAACACAATTCAGTCTTTCGACTGACGTTGAACATGAATATCATTGTATAATTTTATCTCTCTCTGACCGCCTCCTTAAAACCTTAACTTAACGTCACGGAAAAAACAGGCCGAGATAATAGGATTTTAAAGATAGTTTGATGGCATTTAGCCTGTGTTGCTAATCGCATATAGTAAGTTGGGGAACATTTTTTGGCTAAAATTCGATGAAACTTCACATAAAGCAATACATAATTGTAACAAAAATGGCGGAAAACGTGTCGGTGCCTGCGTGGCAGGCATTGGAAGGGGCTGGGGGTAATTTGGGCGCGCGAGAAATCTGAAATGGCTTAAACGAAAGCGGTTCAATTTTTTGTCACTTTGCTATTAGAAATACTTTAAACATGAACTAAGCATTGATTCATTAAGAATGTTTTATCAGGGTCAAGGTTTTTCATTTGTTTTAAGCTAATCCATGCACTTAGACTAAAGACAAGGTCAAGAAACTAATTTAAGAAACATTAAAAACATTTCATGAAAGCAGTTGGATTATCGCCAAGCCTAGGTTTTAAGAACGTCTACCTTGTTTCTTTTAAAAGGTAAGGGAAAACTACTCAACATTGATGAAGAAAGACAAAGCTACCCATAACCGAGATGATATATCGCTCATTTTTTCTTTTTGTACTCAAGACTATACCGAAAAATGAATGACAACTCGTTTGTGCCGATTGGAATTAACCAGTTACTGCAATTTTATACCCTCAAACTTAATAGTTTTGTTAAGTCCACTCAGACGATCGACTACGATTGCTTATCGCACGTGCCATAGATAAAAGGAACGTTAAAAATGCAATAAGTTGTATAAGCAAAATAACAACTATGCACGTGCATCACACTTTTTGATACATTTCTTTGCGTGACTAAAACGACGTTCTGCGCATGCGTTTTTTTAAAGGAAAACGAAAACAGACGATGACATAATTCACTTTCTCTTGTACAATTGGGTGCTGTCTTTAAAATTCAACTCTTGGAAAATTCGCCTAAATTCGACAAAATGAGCGGTCTGGGAAAAATAATCGCTATGAATTTTGAAAGAGCGCGAATGCAACTTAAAATTACAGTACGTAGTAACGTCGCCGTCGTTTAATACCTCCGAGCTTAAGTACACTTTCCGATTGAAGGAAAAGTTTTCTCGTGCTAAAGTCTCAAAGCACTTCATGAAAATTGCTTCCTTAGAAAGGAATTTTGTTTGCTAATCAGTTCTGCTTTTTCATGCTGATAAGATAAGACTACAAAGCGTCAGATTTTTATTAAAATATCGTGACTAAGTTATAAGCCCATGCAATCCATTTCTATCATAATCTGTAAGCGCATCTACTAAAATTAGAAAGATCTCTCACGATGCCAGTGTCTGATGATTATGATTGTAGGATGAGCGATGAAAAGATGGGTAACACTGACGACCTTTGATCGAACTGATAAAAGAGACATATGCTGGGGAAGTACTTTAGGCCGGACGAGTGTTGGTCAAGCAAGCCTAGACAGGACTCCTGAATTTTTCAACGTTTTCTCGCGTCTTTATGGACCGAGACGAAGTCGAGGTCGTTAAATACGCAAAAGATGAAAAATTGACGAGGCTTATTCTGTGGTCAAGAGGAGTTTTTCTCGCGGGATCCTGAGAGGGCGAGATGGGCTCATCTTGCCAACTCGGGCAGCCAATCCGAATACAGCATTCTCTTTATCTTGCCTGTAATGTAACATATCCGTTTACGAACAAATAGAGAAACACCCGTCCCATCCCATCACAATCCATAATCAGTACTCGTACTCAGATTTCTCACGGTCAGGCGGAACCTACAAACAGACGCTAGGGAGGTCTGGGTACGAAATTAATTTGAACCCGGGTAGGGAAATCATCATGCCTCTGATTTTCCCAAACGGCAGTTTCACTTTCTGTCATTAATTGAGTACGCGGCACTTCATTATAATGGCTATATACCTGCCAACTTTTTCAGAGTCAAATGCGTGTCATTTTCATCTTGTCAGCGACTTCGGAATATATCCGACGATTTTCCGAAGACTTCCGAACTTTGGCGAAAATGTACGAAGATGTTCCGACAACCTTTGAGCACTTCCCAAGATATTACAAAACAACAATTTTTGTGTTATGTGATACAGTTAGGACACAAGGTCAACAAATCACGTTCCCATAGTGCTACATGAAAGTTTTCTTGCACCGCGGTCATGAAAGTAACTGCACTGACTGCCCTAGGGAAGCCCAAACAATAATTATTCTTAGACAACATATTCTGGAAACAAAACTCGAATAAAAAACAAAAATCAACTTTTGTAATTTCGGCAATCCTGATCTCTGTTTCTTCCATACTTCAAGTTGAACGTGCAGATATTCTTGACTCGCGATTTTTTCACTCAACTCAAGATCACAATCCTCGCTAATCTGACAGGCAAGAATTTGGAACTTGTAAGAAATTAACGCTTGTTCTGACTTCTGTGTCAAAGAAATCCAAAGAGATCAACGTTTCATTTTGTTTGAGATTTGCGGTTAAATTATGTAATAATTGTCATTACTTTAGCGACAAAGACGGTTTCTTTCGTTACTTTTGTACACTATGCATGTATATTAGTACTGATAAACAAAGGCCTTGTCAGATCCACTAACAGCTTTGCTCGCCGTCAATACAATACCATCTTTGATCATCTTTCAGTGTTAAAGTTCTTAAATTGTCCTCTAATAAACCAACAGAAGAGGTGGGTGTTGTCGGCATAGCGGATTCGATTGTATTCTAAAGTGCATATTGTTTTAGCTCATTTGTGCATGGTTGATCTCCCCTCAATCCAAGAAGTTGTTATGCAGACATATATTTTCAGTAATCGGAGTAATGCAGTGTTGTTTTAAGTTTGTTGTGAAGTATTTAGAAAGTTATTTTTAAGACGGATTTCTCTCATCTTTTAAGTTTAGTTTTGTTTCATCAAGTGGGTCAAGGTTAGTCTTGATCGACGTAGGTGTTTTCCTGTTTTGATCCTTTGCTTTTTCTTGTACTTGAATTTATGCTTAGCTCTCGAATTTACTTATTGCCATTTTAGGAATATACTTCGCTTTTCGTTGTCAGATGTTATTTTTTCATAAGTGGTCGTGTTTGTAATGTTAGAGCTGACCTTGGTTTACTAGTCTCGTTGAAGTTCCTGTTTGGGTTTGTTAACCAGAGTTTTAGTTTTTCAGTGATTTGTACACTCTTGCCGATCACAACCATGTAGGCTCTGTCATACCAAGACATTCCCCACACCGAGTTCACCGTAATTTTATTCTCATGGTCAGTTAACCCAAACATGTCCAGCTGTGGCTATAAAACCGCTACTATTTATATGCTTGAACTAAGGAGTAGAAGTTGGTAGGAGAAAGTTAGTGTAAAAGTAGAAGAGTTACGAGAAGAGTAAGAAGATAAAGATTGTTAGCAGAAGTCGAAGAAGAATAAAGGCAAGATGTAAATCAGATTCCTAGTACCTCTTCGTATAGCGAGCGAGTTGCTCGAACATACCCCCACAAGTTTGTGGAAAGAATTCTAGTTATGACCAATCAATGGAAGCCTCTTCAGCAGTACTTTCACATGGTAAAGCTTATTTAACTCTTATTTATCATGCAGTATAACATGGGTGTACCTTATAAGTCAATGAAACCTGTGAAGCATTTTTGTATGGCACTATTTACTATAGCTGCATAAAAAGGTTCTAAAATTGAGTTTGCTAATGAAACGGTGTGACCATTAAAATGAAACATCTTGACGAATACTTTCACTCGTATCATCTTATCATGAACAAGAGAGATCATTCTCTCTTGTCATGAACTACTACTATTTGTCACGCTGCCAAACAGGTTTTAACTGTTAGTTTTTCAGTATTTTACCAAACGAAATCTTGGTAAACTTATTTTTGGGCACCGGTTCTTGGGAATGAAAGGATTACCGGTCTATAAGAAGAAATCAAAACATCCTGTGTACAATTCAACGAAATTAAGCACCTGTCGAAAGGACATCCTGCGCCTGTCTCAAAGCCCAAGTTCACGCTGTTTTTAGGGAGGCAAAGATGAAAGAGTTGTCCACACTTTATACCGAAGTTATTTCCGAGTTGTAAGAAGTGTTTCGCACGTTAAAGCCTTCAAAACACCTTCAGAATTTCAGAATTCAAGAGATGTTTGCTATTGAAGACATTCAAGGCTGCCTTCGGTAAAAAAATGTTGCTAATTCATCAAATTTCTTTTTTTTTTTAAGAACAAATCTTTGCAGAAAGTGGTTGTTCTAAGTTTGGAACATCTTTGTACAAGCCGACTCCGGTTTGATTTATTTTCCTTGCAAGATATTCATACCCGACTGTAAATGCGTGAGGTCTTCAGTAGTATTTGTATCAGGTCGCTTGTGAACTCAGGATAGGGGTTTAGGCTGCAATTTGTCCCCAAGGGGGGGGGGGTATGTGCCGCCCCATCTGCGTAGGGTTTTTGCGGCTTCTTGGTCTTCAAACGGGTATAGCTTTTGCCCATGTTGATCTGGAATCAAGTTTGGTTTTCGAGGGATCTACGGGAGTGTATGAACGTATTTATCGTTTCAATTCCAAATGGGTAAGAAAGAAAGAAAAATGTGCGAATTTTAAGTGGATTTGCAGAATTTTTTTTGTTTGCGCTCTAATCTAAGTAATGATGACATAATTTCTGCCTACAGGCCAGGTCTGAAAACGGGTTTGGATTTTAGAAGTCTGGTCTGAAAACGGGTGTTGAAAATAACATTTTTTGATCTGAAACAGGGTCAGGATTTGAAGAACCGGACAGCACATCGAAATTCCCCACCAAGAATTCCAAGGAGTACCCACCCCGGGCAATTTGGGCTATGTAGAAATTAAAGTTCATGTTCACTTTCAGTTGTAATTATTGGTTTCCTAGGAAGCCTGTAAGAACATTGAAATCTCAAGAGTGAAAGCTTCACAATGCAACGTTCATCGACGGGAAAACCCACACACTTGTTTGTCTGTCAAGGTCCGACCAACGTGCCGGGAAAAACGCCGAATAAATTTCACCGCAAGAGGAAACTGTTTGCTAATTAAAAACATGGAAATCAACGCAAAAAAATGTGAATATTTTGGTTTCCTGCAGATGACTTAAATAAGTGTGTTTTTATAAGGGATCAGCGTTTTTTTTCCCTTAACCCTTTGACTCCTGAGTTTTTCTGTAATATTGCTCCACTTTAAACGGAAATCCCTTTATAAATGACAAGTTTTGGTCCTGCATGTTGCGTTCTGTGAAAGAAATTCTGCAATAAATTATGGTTTTCAATCGTGGTAACATATATATTTTCCACGACGCTGTTTATTTATTTGTTTATCTATTTGTTTTTCAAAACTTTAAGAAAACTATTATGAAAATTCGCTTAACTTAGTTACTAAAAAAGAAGATCGATATCATCATCATCCTCAACATCCAGTCGTCGGTCGACCGAAGAACAGTCGACTGTAAGTCTTCTTCAACTGGCTAGTCTAAAGTCTAAAGCAGTGCGCACGATGTAATCCTCTGAGAAATGCTTGTTGGAGTCGATCCATTACTGTCCTTGGTTGGACAAGGACCAAGCACAGAAATGAATCAACTGTAAATATACGTCTGGACTTCATCGTATTAGCTGTAGATGATTGTCTAGAACCTACCGCACCCGTTATACTTCCTGCTTAGTTACTTTGACGAGCGAGAGGATTTTAAGATGTCCCTAAGTCGTAAAGAATAGGACCGAAAGGTCATTTTCTTTACAAAGTAGCATATTCAACAAAAACATGCCCTGCTTAACGAAAGTAATCAACTGATATATAGATAACTGATTTTATTGGAGGTCTGTCCCGGTCTTTATAAATGCCATAGCATATAGTTCCAAGGTGTGAGACTTCGTGTTTATTTGAGTCATACATGTTAGAGAAACGTTCAAGCTTGGATAACAGTAATAAAAATCTTTCAATGTCACGGAAGGAAATAACTCAAACCTGTCCTTGTTCTAAGTTTGGTCTGTCAGGGATGAAACTAGGCTTCAATTTTGGTTGTTTCCTGACTGCCAACCAAAGCAATTGCGTTTTACCTCCGCAAATCTGTCTATTTCAGGAATAAACCATTGCGAACATAACTGAAGTTTAACAATACAAGCTAATCGGAGTTTTTATACTTACTGTATCCGCCATACTCTTGCTGGAAACTTAAGCGCATAAGCCCCAGAAGAAGGACCACGATGCCTTGTGCAAACTTTTGAGACATTACTTTTCCTCGCGGTTTTCCTTCGTGACTGTCATAGAGACCGAATTGCCCAACTAATCCATTACTTTCCTTAAATACACCGGCCACGATCGTGTCATCTTGCGTGTCACAGGCGTGCTGCTTAATGTTGTGGGCGCGTCTAACTCCGACGGTGGCCGAAAAGGGAGGAATTTCTTCCTTAGCTTTTCAATTTTTTCCGGGAGTCTTATATCCACAGCTCTCCGCACACCTGTCAACGTCAACAACTCATACTTCAAAACAACATAGGAAGAACCACGAGCAAATGGCTAAATTATGTCGTGTCTCACTCGAAGATTAGAGTCGTAGAAAATGGCCAGACTGGAAGTACGGGGAGGCTCTGTAACTCTTTGTGGCTAAAATGTCATAAAATTGTCGATTTTGACGCGCGATTTTCCGCCTATTTTGGTCACTTACTTTTGAGTAAAGATTGACCAACATCGATATCATTGGTTTCGGCAAATACAGCTCAGAAACCAAAACATTTGATAAGTGGTTTAGTCATAAGACGAGTTCCCCTAACCTCTTAGAAACTGATAGGAAGCTATGATCTTTTGTTATTTTTTACTGCTATTAGGATTAAAGGAATCGTGTGAGCGTAACATAAGTGAAGTTACGGTACTTATCCCAAAATATCACGCAAACAAATAGCACATCCAGGTCTGAAAAGTAGTGGGAGGGGGACAGGGGGTCCATACCTCCCGCACCCCGTTCCTTGCATCTCCGGATCTTGCCCCTTTTTTTCTTGCCTTCCTCCCTTTAGCCCCCCGCCCCCCTATTTCTCCCGCTTCCCACTCCTTTGGAACCCCGACCTCTGCTTTCCGCCTCCTGTCCGTCCCCGACCCCATTCTCTTAAGCTCCCCCCCCCCCGAGATTTCAGCGGCTTTGCCTGAAGAGTTTGTACTTTCCGCCATATTGGATTCTTAGGAGTGTGCTTAAGTATTTGTGACAGAAAAAGAACGTAAGCAACTATTAGTGCTGTTCATTCGAAGCGAATCCCTTAACAATTGATTCCATCAAGTTTTGAACGGCGATAATAAACAACAGAACAACTCCTTTTATAACACTGCATGGCTTTTTTTATTATTACGAACCAGCCACGGATTTTCATACACGGGACACACAGTTGTCAGCGGCGTTCCGCACCACAGACGCCACAAACCTATACTCTGTAGATCTCTGTATTTCTTACAACACAGACGAGTGCCAGTGTCTAATCCACCTGCTGATAGATATTGAAATATCTCGGACACGAAAAACAAGTGCCATCGTATCAAGTAATATTCAGTATTTGCCAAGTAAGTTGAAACAGTGATTTTAAACAATGGCATTGTTTTCGCACTTGGTTATAGTACACATTATGGTAGTTGATAAACGCTATTCATGTTCAGCCATTGTTGCTTTAGAATTTTCGAGATGAAACAGGTCAAGCTTTTAGTTTTACCCAGTGTTGCCAAGTCTCAGCTCTAATTGAAAACCCAACAGAAGAGCCGTTTAAGTCCATGGGATTCACCCGGGGGGGGGGGAGGAATATTCCGGGAAATTCTTGATGGGGGCGTGCCGCCCGGTTTTCAAATCCTAACGTTATTTCAGACTAAAAAAAATTCATTTCCCACACCATTTTGGATTCGCATGATACTCTTTCTTTCTGTTTTCATTGGAATTGAAACGACAGTTACGTTCGTACACTTCCCTCGAAAACCATACCTGATTCCTGGCCAAAATGGGCAAAGTCTCTACCCGTTTTCAGACCAAAAGGGTGCGAAAATTATACCCTTGTCAGGAAGTACCCCCCCCCACCACCACTTGAATGAATGCATGAATTTCAAAAATAACTTATCCTTTAATATTTGATTAATTGATTAATTGATTAATACAAGTGTTCTTGCGAAACGTGCCACTACTATGTTAATTTTTTTATTCTACCAATTATCATAGTTACATAGAGCATTAGCTATCACATTACTTATGGCGTTCTCCACTACTCCCCCACAGTCTCCTCTCTCCATCCTTTTGGCATAGTGCGTCTGATCATGCGTAGCACCTATGCGACTGTTGGATATCTGAAAAGCGTCTACAATCTGAACACTGCCCAGGCGCATTGCCTCGTCTGTTAGACCGTTCAATTGCGCAACACGAGTAGGAGATGGGTTTTCCAACCATTCTATCATGGCCCGATCTTCTCTCCAAGGAAGACTAACCGTGTTCACCCAAAGAAATCTCTTGGGAGCTTCGCCAGAGTTGTTCATTGCTTGAATTGCTTCAACAAAAGCGCGCAGTTTTTCAGCCATAAACCTTCTCTTGGTGCTTTCCCGCAAAATCCAGTGACCAAAGTTCATGAGAAATAGTTTGCCACTGAATACAGAGGAAGGTAGTTCTTTGGAGAACATAGAGCGCCTTGTCCTCGGATGAACATATATCTCGTGTGGCATCGAAATGTTTGGGAAAGTGAGAGGCCATCGCGTTCCACGCGCGTCGAACACCCACTCAATGCGTGGAATTTTGTCAAACACCATCTTGACGTGTGTTTTAATGCAGCCGTGACATGAGCCATGCAATCTCGTGACCCAGTGATAAGTTCTATAGCGCATGTGCGAGTCTCCCGTAAAAACAATCTCTGACCAACCTTGTTTTGCGAAGCATTTCTTGATTTCATCACTGCTGTAATGATGCAGTTGACAAAAATATGGCAGCCAGTGAAAACCGTGGATCTGATCAAAGTCGTACAAGGGATCAAGCTGCCACTGCCCGCATCTTTCAATCCCCGGAATACTGCCACATTCAACCCACCTTCCTGGGGCAGTACCACTTTCTTCTTGACTACAGTATCGGGTATACCCCCCGGGGTAAGGACCCGGGGATACCGGGAGATCAAACGGACTGTTACCCACGTGTTGCAGAACAGCTTTAGTGTGGTGACGATATTCGAGACTATCGTTGTTAATGTACGTCAAAATAACAAGGATTATATATTCTCCAGCAAACGTTAGCCGCAGTGTAGCATTGTAAGTATCGTTGCCAATGTGAGTCACGCTACCTGTAACCATTTCTTGTGACCCAAAGGCTTGTATTCGAAAATTTGAATTTCCGTGTGCATTTCCACGTATTTTGCTCCTCGCAGCAAGACTGCATTTGTCCGTTGTAGTTGGGCTGATTGTGAATGAAACAACTTGCCATGCCTGGGCTTCCTGGGGAAGCTACACTGTGTACAGGCAACCCAAGTCAACGGGTTGCTGTATTACTTTCTTTACGGGCTCGACTCGCCTCCAGAATTTTTTGAAAACGACTGCAAGAGTGACGATGAGAAGAAGCAGGAAGAGGACACGCGCTTGTTTATGGCACCCCTTGAAGTATTCCCCAGGCACACCCTTCCTCATCACATGCCCCTCAGACCGGGGGGCCTGGGACAAAACTGTACAATGAATCAAATTAGGCCACATTAATAAACTAAATCGTAGATACTTTTTTTTTTTTTTGTAACTTGTTTTGCCTTTAAAATAATCTTATAGTAACTAGCCGAAAGCGAGTTTGCACGCAACTCAGAAACTCAAGCGCCATTTTGAAGCAAGAACTTTCTCCCTACCCAAGGGTATTTCATCGTCCAGTCGACAAAATTTATTTGAGGACCTACCCCCACTGCGCATTTTATTGACACACATTTCCACGTGACCAGCCGCAACCAGGGTTTTTTTCTCGAAGCAAGAGGGAGAACCCTGGGAACGAGGTTGACTCATCTGCTATTGTCTAGGCGTTGTCGGCTCGGTCAGTCCTGGACTCTACCGTGAGCTGTGACGTTACCAAGAGATACTCTCCCGCTCTTTCACAGACCCCGCGCGTGCAACGGGTCAAGAGAGAACGCCTAGGGACTAGGCTGGGTCATAAAATGAAATGAGACCATTTCGAAATTTTGGCGAGAGGACGGTCGGAACCCCATTGCAAGATATGGCTGTGCGCATGCGTAAGGCACTGGCTAAGCTGGCAATGGCTTAGTGTCTGAGAGCGTTTATCAAAAGTCAGAACTGCTTGCTTGCCAGGCCGCTAATTTTCAAATGAAAGAGTGGTCCAGATTTTCTCGAAGTTTTCGAAAAAACCATCAATTCCGTGCATACCACGTAGTAATAAACTGATCTGTCAAAAAAGTAGTGATGAATAGTGGAATTCCTTTATACAACTGCATCAGTCTGGCTAGTCAGTTCTGACAGATGGTTAGCATCCTTAGGCTCGGTTCAGACGCCGAACTTTTCATGAGCCGAACCTAATTCGAATTAAGGCCGACCCAAATTATTTAGACCGGCTAAATTGATTCAGACGCCGATCTTAATTCCAGCCGAACTAAATTCAAGAGGAGAAAAATGGTCATTTCGGTTAAACTACCTACAAAATACGGTTTAATAATTTATGCATTAGGTTCGGTACATGAAAAGTTCGGCGTCTACATCAAAGCCGTTCCAAAGTCGCTGCAAAGGCGAAATTCCCGGCCGGGGAACGCGAAAAGAACGGCTGAGCCGTTCTGAGTTGAAACAGGCCTTCCTAACTGATTCAGACGCCGAACGTTTCGTGTACTTAATTCAATGTATTAGGTTCGGGTCATGAAAATTTCGGTGTCTGAACCGGGCCTTAGTGTCACTTGCTTCTTTAAGGCTGCGGTTTTCCTTACAATCAGGCATTCAATGCTTTGTAAACGACAGACTCATAAGCCGAGTCGAAAGAAAATGGAAATATTCTGAATTTTTCGACCACAATTCGGTCGACCAAGTCTATCCTATATGACTCAGCCAAAGCCTTGTTTTTTTTCATCTTTACTAGGTCGTAAGCGCTTTTGGGACTCCGATGACGAATGACTTCGATTCCGATTACGACCGCTCTGGTTCCGATCACGACGCCTCTGTTGCTGTTGAAACAACCCTTTAAAAACTGAAGTACTTGCGTCTATTACTGAATCTCGCGGTGAAAAGGTATAACAATAATTTCGTTCTCGACCATAAAACACTTACACTGCAAGCTACTCGCCGAGGCCTGCATCATAATAATACAAAATTTCTCATTTTAATCTTCTGAAAAAACAAATAGAACCGTGGAAAAGGAAAGTTTTTTCAAAGCGGTTTCATTTGAATGGACACACCAAATGATTTTGCCTGAACAATCCAAACGTTCGAAGAGCATGTTGCATTAACCCAAAGAGAAAAGTGAACTGACTGTTAATGCGTGCAGTTCAACACTGACTAGTAATCCTTTGTGTAATTAAATTGTCAGAAAATCTGTTCACTTAATAAGACTTATTGGCTTACGTAACCTAAGCCCATTCAAGCTAATTAAGCTTGGTACACAACTCTTATATTACCATAATAACAGAGACTACACGCTAGAGAATTCGCCAAATAAAATCCGTTCAAACCGTGAAATTGATAAATAAGATAGGAAAAGCACTATAGTAGTAGTAACTATGATATTTGAACGCTGCATTTCACCAAAAAGTATGATTTTTGAAAATTGTGGTAAAACTTAGATATTACTAGTGCGAAGAAATACATGACAGTGGTCTGGCCTCAATTAAGGCTTGTATCGCTTACCTGTACAGCTAGGAAAGGAACCTGATATCTTGAACGAAAAGCAATCCGATTTTTGATGGCAACAACAATGGATGTTCTCGAAAACGACGTGGGGTGTTGTTTTGGCCCGCCGGTGAGAACTCAAAAAGCTGTTTTTATTTTCGAACTGTCGTTACACGAGGCTTTTATTGTGCACGCTTGTCGTATCGCTTTATAATTCATGATAATTGAAAGTAATATATGCACGCAGTCATGAATAGCGTGATGCTGGTACCTGCTTCATGGTCTGATCCAGGTTCCTTAACCTCGTTATCACGGCTTTTCGCTTAGAAAATGGGAAAGAAAAGTCCCGGGGACGAGGTTTCCAGGCATGGAGCGCAGGCTAATTTCCCGAACAGCGGCCGATAATCGGGTAGGTACTTCATATAATAATCATATGTGAAGTACCTACCGATAATCGAGCTAATTCAGTGACCTTTCAGAAGTGATCAAATAAAAGTGATACGCTGAGCACGCGAATGTACGATAAGCCTTCAGAGGTACACTCTATTTTAAACTCACGCATCTTAGTTAATAAGATGCAAAATGAGTATATCTTTTTTTAGGACAAAACGATTTACGTCATTGTGATTGGCTCCTGTTTAGGTAAGATTTTTATCTCGCTCAATACTTTGGAGAAATCGGGTTACGCTGTTTCTCGTTACGCCATTACGCCGTTACGGGGTTTACTAACAACCTAGACCATATTTGTTTGGAAATGTCTGGCTACAGTGTACGCTTCGTTTAGTTGGCTTCAAAATAGCTTTGAGAAATATCTTTTTTTTTGCTCTTAACTGGTTTTTAGAATATATCATATAAAAATCATAGACAAATCCTTTGTACCCTTCTTTTGAAAAACGGTTTTTTCTCCAACTTAGCTCTCCATAATTTACCCAATAAAAGTTTAAAAAATGAGATGTACATCAATAAAAACTAATTAAGGATCAAACTCACTAAAATTATGAACATAAATTAAAGTATGTAATAAAAGAGATACTTCCAATAAGCAAAGTTGTCTGCGTGTTCGTAGGTTATACGGGCTCCGATTCGATCCTACATCTTTAAATGACTTTGACTACCTCAAAAATGTAAGCTATTGCCGAAATGCCAGTTGTTGTAGTAGTTATTCTAAGTAATAACAAATAAGCTAAGTAGGATTGCGAAAAAACGGCACAACACTTTTTTTATGAGTTAAACAAGATTTAATGAAAGCCACTGGTTCTTAAAGTTGGTGTACTGATGATTATTTTCATTTCAATTTCAAGATTTTAACACCCAGAAAAATTCCTCCTTATTAGTCAATAGAAATCAATTATTTTTGGCAAACTTTCTTAAAATTACTCAAGGTACTGTCTTAAATAAGCTATACCGGTACGTTTTGCTCGTTTTGATCGTTTTTCAAGCTATCAGCTAGAGTCAAATATGCTGACTCCGATATTTGTACACCGTAAAATTACAACAGGAACTGTTGAAAAAGGACCGGCTTTTAATACTTGGGGGTAGGGGGGTAGGGATATAATAAAGCTAACAGTAATGATTAGATATGACCCCGGGGGGGGGGACTACACTGGGAGGCAGGTATATGAAGGACTACACTGGGAGGGGGTCAGGTATATGAAGGATTGGGATTTCACTAGCTTAAGTGATATGAAAAGACAAGAGCCGTTGACGAAAAATTCTTTTAAAAGTCATTTTTACGGCCAAGATATTGTCTCTTTCGCCAAAAAGGTTGTTTGCTCCTAAAGGGGGGTCACCATTCTCTCTGTCATTTTGAAAAGGACTTAAAGGACTTACAGATGCATTTTCTTGGAGCCTGCAGGTAGACGTCTCTTATTTTTGTGTATTGCATTTCAGTTATGGCTGTGAAAAGGCCCGAGAGAACACGTTCTGGTTTGATGTCTATTCTTATATAAAGCGTGCATTTACAGCAGTTAAAAGGGATGCAGAGTTCTAAACTAGTACGGAAAAGGGGCACCATTTGTCAATAGAAGGTATACGAAATATAGTAGGTACCTTTTTTTGCCAAAAATAGGATACAAAAGGGTGAAGAGTTGGACCTCAGGGTGGAGCCTCCCCAGGATGCTTCAGTCCAAATAAAACAAGAGAGTATTTTTTTATCATGCATATTTTATTTCTGAGTAGTCATGAACATCCAGAAAGTAAAGTTCCCCAATCCCCATTTCTATTAGCTAAAGATAAGTGCAGGCTTGTTTTAACCTATGATCAATCACATAACATCATCAGCTCAACCTGTGGATGCTGCAAAAGAAATGAATAAACTATTAATATACGGAGCAACATAAGGAAAGTATTAAAAACATTTTAAAATCCATTTGTGCCACAGTTTTAAGGCGCTTTAAAAGAATGTCGTGAAATGATACACCTTTACTTTAGAAATTCATTCATATATAATATCTGAGATAGTATACGGCTATTTTTTTCCAAGGTTTTTTTTATTT